GACTTCATGTCTCACGTGGTATCATTTAAATGGGTTCTGTACATTTACTAGCAATTTAATTTCCCAGATGAAAACTCAAAAAAACATGTACAGTGCACGTAATTATAGCTACAGAACTGTCACGTTAAAAATTCCCAACCGACTGTAGAGCGCATGAATAGGCAACACACAAGGCCCCATGGGCCAGGCGCAGCTCAGTCTTTCAATGCCGTCCAATTAGGAAGCGCGGTTTACTACTTGCAATCCACTTCACACGTGAATGGAGAAGCGTGGCCGTCTTGAAAAAGCCGCCTGGGCCCGGCCCCACGAGGCCTGGACTTGCCCCATTCCTCTTCCACCACTGTGGCTTGTGAGATTGTGTTTGTGCGACGGAGCTCCCCGAGTGAGATGTGGTGGCACCGTAGGGAATTCACATCCTGCACCTGTGCAAGTCACGGGGATGTTTATGGGACGGCACCAGCTGCATTGGCAGACATCGGGTGGTGCTCGCCTCGTGTGACTGCGCTTGCGCACGTTTTGTGTACGAAAAAACCGGGACATATTCTCAGTATATATTTTTTTACTCAACTAAAAAAAACTGTTTTTTTTATTATCCCAGGTAAGGTCCACTGAGCTATATAGCTCTTTTTCAGAAGCGACCTGGCCACAAATGATAGCTTATCATGTGGAAATTTATAGCAGCCAAATAACTCTTAACGCATGTTTCTTAATGTGGAGACAAAAACCGGAGGACCAGGAGAAAACTCCACACAACCACAGGGAGAACATGCAAACTCCCAGGTAGTTAACGTCCCACCACCTCGGCGCCTTTGCACACTGTGACCACTTGTGCACTGATCTCTTCTCCAAAAGGTGTAGTACAGTAACTCGCAAATGCAAATTTGTATGAAAAATCAGGGAGGCCCGGCATTGAGATGTTTGGTCAGCACCATTTAACGAGTGGCTTCATGTTAGAGGCAAGTGGCGTACCTGGAGAAACCACGTGGATATGAGGGGATGACCCTCGGCACTACCATCACCTGGACAACTCGCCGCCTCAAAAGTACAACACCAGCAAACGTCCGGTGGTCACCCATCGTATCACGGCTCAACCCCTCTGCTGTTTAGCTTCAAATTATTAATGTAATACGTACAGAATAGTACCATGATGTCGATTATGTCTTGCATATAATGCAGTATGTCAAGGCTTTGCGCACTGCGCTCTGATCCCATCGACATGAGTTTGACTCCCAGCCAGAGCTGCTAACGTGAGTGATGGGTGACGCACTGTGACCTACGTGGTGAAACATGGTCAACCCCCATGGCCGTGACACAGCATGGGACCCCCATCGATGGGTAGGCAAAGCTCTGGAAAGGTTTTATGATGATGATGTCATGGCAACAAACCGATCTAAGACCAAGAGTTTGGAGAATAAACTCAAATCTCGGATGTTTTCTTAGGTTTAGTATTCATCATCGTCGTGTGAGGGGGATGGGAGTGTAACGGTTGGCGCTTTGCGCGACGAATCCGGTCACCCGAGTTCGATTTCTGCTCACGGCCAACACCAGTGACGATTGTTTGAACCGGTCCTGGGCCTCCCCTAGGTGGACTTAGCCTCAAATGAGTACCTGGTGTAGTGTGTAAACGTCGCCATTTGAGAGACAAAGGCGGCCGGGCGTGGTGCTGGCCACCCACCCCCTCGTCTACTGTGCCAGCCTTCATAGGTGCTCGCTGACAGCGCTTCCCCCAAACAGTCTGTTAAGGCTATACAGGGGATCTTTGTCTTGTAGGGAGAGTGACAGTGACATGCTTACTGAGTGCCATGTGCTTTTTGCCCCCCACCCCCATGCACCTCCCCCATCGTAGTAGCGAAGTTACAGTTGCCGGTGGCAGTAGCGCGTGAGGCCATATGTTGGTTTTGAGTGTTGTGTTACATCGATGGGGATGTCACAGTGCACGCACACGCACACGCATGTACGAGGGTGCTGGCCTGTGGTGTCGCACCTTCTTGCTCGTTCAGACCATATGGCGAGCCAATGAACCCAAGACATGGAAACCCCCCCACAACATTCGGCAAAAAAAAAAATGCAAAGTTGATACTTATTATTTGGGTCTGGCGACGGGTAATTTTATGCATTACAGCTTTTATTTATTTCAACAAAAACAGCACTTTTTGTGGCCGAGTGATTTCGCGTTAATTATTTACATCAATTTTAATGAATCGTGCTTAACGCCTCAGCGACTCCCTCAATCTCTGTGCCAGTTTTTTGTTAATTATGTAATATTAAAGCATTTTAATACCCTCCAATTTATATACTCGAAATGTGGAGCCTGTGTCTTGCCTGAAGCTAAATAAAAAATATAAACTCGTCAAATAGTGCAAAATCATACCATGCATATCTTTTGAGTTATTACTGGTCATTGGTGATGATGGCTGCATATCCAAGCTTATCCCACGATGTGAGCACAGTTGGGCATTTTACATGACAGTCCAGCTTTCAAAACATCCACACACTTGCTTGGGGTTGACAAATGTTACGTCTAAATTCCAGTGGTCCAGAACAATGAGTTGAATAAATGTATGAAACTCATTGTGCGTTGTGGTGGAGATCCAAGGGTAACACATAAATCATGGACGGACAGGAAGCCCTTCTTTGCGGTGTTTTTTTTGTTCATCAGCCACTGGGTGGACCAGTGTTTTCCATCAGATAAACCGAGCCCGTTTCGATTTACCGAGTTTCATCAGCATATTGGTGCTGGGTTGCCAGATGTTACAGTAAATAGCGCTCCGTGAAAATTGTGCCCCTCAAAAGTGTACATAACTCATTATTCGGTCATCATTAGTTTATTTATTTTCCAACGATTCTCAACCACAATTCACACGAACCACAACGAAGTTGTGACTGTCAAAGTGGTGACCGGACTCCCAAACATCAAAGTGCAGAGATCTTGAATGTAATATCTGGCAACCCAGCACTGCTTCTTGGTTCTTTCGGTAAAGTCACGTAGAAGGGAAATAATAAAGTAATAATTTTTTTTTTATTATTTCCCTTCTACGTGACTTTACCGAAAGAACCAAGAAGATGAATCCCTGCAGTCACGAAAGATTTAAATCGAAATTTAACCCAGCACTTGTCATTTAATAATCCTGATTCTGCTGATTGAAAACAAGAAGTAAAATCCAGTCCTGAGTTTGCTTGTTTAAACACATGCTGCTGTGAAGCACTGGTGTGAAAGGCCCTTATGCTGATAGATATTTGTATTTCATATTCAAATATCGTCTTTCTGTCCTTTAATTAATAAGCCATTCGTCTAACCACTGCTGCAAAAAAGTCCTCCCCATGCCGTGTCGGTCTTGAGCATACTTCACCATACTCTTAGTTCTTTCGGTAAAGTCACGTAGGTAAAAAATGAAATTAAAAGTAATAAAAATAAAACAATACAAATCACGACGTTTCGGAGACTTGTGTTGCCTCCAAAACGTCGTGATTTTTATTGTTTTATTTTTATTAATTTTAATTTCATTTTTTACTTACGTGACTTTACCGAAAGAACTAAGAGTATGAATCCTTGCAGTCACGAAAGCTTCAAATCTAGAATCATACTTCACCACTCTGGCCATTATGGGTTGGTGAAGGAGTGGCCCAGGACCGGTGTCAGATGGTATTCCCCACTCTTGTTAGCCATAGCCAGGCATCGAACTCAAATTGATGGGTTCAGCGCACAGCAAGATGGCTGTTTAGGCGCCTGCAGCACCACCTCGCCAAATGTTTTGAGCCACCTACCGCCACCGCTCACTTCAGTATCCAACAATTAGGCCTATGCATTGATGCGGTGCCGACCTCGGGAGTGAGGGGTGTCCAGGGTAGCCACCCTGCCCTCCCCATACTTTGTCTGTTTACGAAAGGGGCACATTGGTTGGGAGATGTTAACTTCCTTGCCTGCTATGCAGGAGATCGCGGGTTCGATCCCGATCCTGACGCCTGTATATTTGGAGTTTGCTGCAGCTCAGTGGGCCTTACCTGGTAAAATAAAAAAAATTGTTTAGTTTCACTTGCTTATAGCACTGGCACTAAGATTATTGAATAAAGTTGAATCTCATGGAAGGAGCATGCTATAAATTGTGTGTGTGTGTCCATGAGGGGGAGCGGTAGTGTAGCGGTTAGCGCGCTGCGCTATGAACCTGGCGACCCGGGTTCGATTCCCGCTCACGGCTAACACCAGTGACGATTATCTGAACCGGTCCTGGGCCTCCCCTAGGTCGACTCAGCCTTAAATGAGTAGCTGGTGCGGTGTGTAAACATCGCCACTGGGGAGACAAAGGCGGTCGGGCATGGTGCTGGCCACCCACCCCCTCGTGTACCGTTCCGGCCTTCATAGGTGCTCGCTGACAGCACTTGCCCCTACAATCTGTTAAGGCTATACGAGGGATCTTTGTCTTTGTCCATGAGGAGGCCAAGGATAAAGGCATGAGACAAGAGCCGACTGTTGGCCATAGTCTGCCAACGTGGAAATGTGCAGGGAGTCGTGACTTTTTAACCGAGAGAGCAATTACCAACCTCACGGAAGAGTTGTCTTTTCATTACCAGAGAAGCATGTACCACATTCCACCCTTATTCCATCTTAAACATTCTACATCAGTTTTTCATAAATAGGTTTATCGTTTGCCAATTATTTCTACAGCATGTGTACAATAAATAGGCTACAAAAGGTCATGGAGAAAACCAACTCAAAAAAATGTTGCTATTCAATTAGGCTGGCCAAACCACAGCGTCATACTTTTAACTCGAACGTATCAATAACTCGTCTTACAGGTATAGTGGAGATTCAGGGGAATTTGTGTAAGTTTAAACGTATAACTCGGAGTGCTCAACAAAGGCGATGCATACCTTTACTTTCCAAAGCACTCACCCTGTAGTTCCCTCCACATTCTGAAGGCTGAATTCGGTGTAATTTGCTGCTCTTCTTACGTTACCCTTTAAATAACGCCCCCCCCCCTCCCCCGTCTTTTCGTTGCCAGTGAGTCCGGCGTGGTCCCCGGTGGCGTCCAGCATTCGGCATGGCCATGCTCCAGGCTCTGCTTCTCTTCTCGGCTGAGTCCACGTCCCCTACCTCTCCACCGCCGCTGCTCTCCGACCGCCGACAAGGCGTGCGACAGCCTCCACCTCCGCGTACACCGCCAGCACAGACACAGACGCAGTCCCGGGCTTGGCCGCCGCCACCGGCCGCCCCCCTGCGAACCTCGGCCTCCGATCCCAGCCTCGCGCAAAGTGCCGCCGCCGCCGCTAGCGCCGGTGCCGGGGCCGGCTGCGGTGTTGGCAACATGGGCAGCGTGAGCAGCCTGATCTCGGGCGGCGGCGGCGGCGGAGGCGGCAACGGCGGACCCCAGCACGCCGGAGCCAAGGGCCTGCGCAGCAACGCGGGCCGCGCGCCGCATCTCAAGCAGGGTCTGCTGCAGCGCAACGGGCTGCTCAAGAAGGGCTTCTCCTCCAAGGAGTCGGTGGCGAACCTGCTGAGCGAGGAGCGCGTCGCGGCCGCCAAACCGGCCGTGGCTCGGCTCATCAAGGACGAGCGGTCGGCAGCCGAAAGGCTCGGCGGCGCCAACGGACTCGGGCAGGGCGAGTACGTGCAGCTCAACAGCGGCAGCCTTAGGGGCGACGAGAGGGGCGCGATGGAGCCTGCCGACGGCAGCGCGGGTGGCGGCGGCGGCGGCGTGCAGGTGGCCGGCGTGCCGCTCATCAAGGACATACGGGGGCCTCCGCCCAAGATCGTGCCCATCTCTGGGAGGCTGGAAAAGGTGAGCAGAGAAGTTCAGTTTCATTTATTTGGTATAGCCCTGTGAGCCATTCGGGTCCTTGAATCGGGTGCAACTGCAACAAATAAAAACATGAACAAGAAACATATTAAAGTGACTACTCGCAAACAGAAGAATCCAGGAAAAAAACAGCAAAGTTTTCCAGAAAAAGCACCGTATATCAATGCTGTGTGCAAAAATCCCAGTGGGATGCAAGTCTCTTGCTGGGTCACAGTTCGGTTGGCAATGCGTTATCACAAACGGGAGTTTAGAAAGAGACGTGTATTCATCTTTGCCCTGCCTTTAAAGCAGGGGTCTTCAACTGGGCGGCCGGCAGGTCAGATGTGGCCTGTGAAGGCAGTTTATTGGGAGTGGTCAATCAAACTGTGACCCAGCAAGAGATTTGGCTCGCAGGCGGACGGAGATATACAGATATTAAAAATAGAAAACAACAGATAGAGATGAGAGCACTGTATACAAGAGATACAGATTAACAAGAGATATCTGAGAGACCTGAAGACACGGGTATAGATTAGAAGGCACATGTACGCGATGCCAGCACATTGCAATCTCATTATGTGGCCCACCATAAAATATAGTTTTAGAACCCTGCCTTAAAGAATAAATAGGGTTAGCCATTGCCATTCACTACAAATTCAGATTTTCACACCGCAGTGTGGGAAATCAAAAGTGACATTCGTAACATGTGAATGGAAGTTAAATAATATTTTATCAGTGCGCAATTATCTGCGTGTGAGTGGGGTGTTCGCTGTAGTGTGGTGCACTCCATCGTGTCTGCTAATGCATAATTTAGATTTCCTTTATCATCGTAAGTTTCTTTTTGTGCTGCTGCCTCTTTGTCTGTACAAATGCCTCATGACGCTCTTGAAAAGGTGGCACAACACAAGGCTGTTTTACTCCTTGTACTGTGTAAAAACTACATAAATTAAATGTAAAAAAATGTGTGAACAAGCATATATTTGAACAAGGTGGCTGTGCCAAGGACGGCTTGCGAGGTTTCTCACGCTGCGCTTAGAATTTTTGACAAGTCGCTTCAGTTTGACTGAGCCTTTTTGGCGTTTATATTGACTGACATCCTTAACATGATCTGGTATAATATAGGCAACTTTCAATGTTGCATGGTTGTTAAATGCATTAGTTGTGAAGGTATTTATTTTTCCTTATCTTGAACGGTTGATTACTCGGAGTTCTATCATACTCTATTTGAAAAAAGTTTTGCCGGCTGGCTAGCCCACAGGCGGCGGGCAAGTGCACGGCGGTGACATCACCTACGTCACACAGCCTTGACACGGTCCGTGTGTGTCACGCTGATGTGACACCTCCCACGCCAGCTGTGGCAGTGCTCGTTATTATTATGTGTATGCTCGTGTCCATGGTTGGTGAGCTTACATTTGACGGCAACCTTAGGCGGGCAGTCGTGGCACACACCTCTTGTCCAGCACTGTGGAGGCAAGGATTGATTGATGAATCGTGCCCCCTTCCCGTCGGCGTTGAGGCGCTAATCCTCTGGCTTGCCAGGAGAGGGCAGTACAGCAGACTGCCTGTTCTGTTTGGAATTGGTGCTTCTCCCCTCGCACGCATGGGGTTTTCCGGATGCTACAGTTTTCCCCCCACATTTAAACACTCATTAATTTTCGATTTAAAGCTTTCGTGACTGCAGGGATTCATCTTCTAGGTTCTTTCGGTAAAGTCACGTAGAATGGAAATAATAAAATTATAAAAATAAAACAACAGACTCTGTCTTCTCGACAGACCTGTTCTCCACCTGAGGACGGCTGCTTGCGTTGTGGCCGAAACGTCGTGAGAATTATTTAATGATGTTTTATTTTTATTATTTTATTATTTCCATTCTACGTGACTTTACCGAAAGAACCAAGAAGACTCATTCATTTTCCAATGACACCTTAATATACAGAGGAATGCAGAGCTTTGGCAATTGCTGGTACCGGCTCATTGCCCCCAGGCTGCCTTCATTGCGCGTCTGTGGTTCCCTCTCGCCTCAGCGGCGTTCCCTCTCCAATGGTGTGGATGAAGATCAGGATACAGATTATATATTTACATTATATAAGATCTCTGATGTATTATATAATAAATATCTCCTTGCAGGAAAAACAAAAACAAACTGATGGGTGCTAAAGCATGTGCACTTGCTCAGAGGGGGTGACAGTGCTACACACTGGTCCCAATAGATTTTGGGGGCCGTCCATAAATGACGTCACGCACCTATGGGGGGGGGGGGGTCAGACATTTGTGACGATCTCCTACAACATCAGAGTGCAGCGCCACATTAAATACGCACTACAATGACAATAGTTTAAAGCGATTTGAAGCATGTTCTTATTTTGGGGTGCGGGGGGCAGAGCTTTGTGACGTCATATTTTAGGGGGGTCTGACTTTTTGTGACGCCGTGTGCCGATGGAGGGTGGGTCAAAAATCGTCCAAAATCGCGTGACGTCATTTATGGACGGTCCCTTTGAGCAAAATAACCAAGAGGTGAAGTCAACCAATCTCATTGTGTTTTGGGAGTAATTTCATAGTAAGTAGTACGTTATTTAATTCAATTCTAATAGCATTTCAGAAATGTGTTTATCGAAGGCGTTAGGGTGGAGGACTTTAAGTTCACTGTTCTGTTTGTGACGAGGGCCTGCCCTAACTTGTTAAACATCCTTGTCATCTGCATAAACAAACATTCAAGTTATTTTTAGCGCGGAGTACTGTATTCTGAAAATAATAAAAACATGTTTTTTAGAAATCACCTTGACAGCTTCTGTGAAAAAGGCAGCTCTGGTACATTTTGAGGTTTTCATTTTTTTTGCAACAGATTCATCATGAAGGGCCTTTCCCAAACTTATCTCCACAGACACCCGCCGCATTAACAAAACCCAAATGCACCACAACTAAGGAAGATTGCACTGGTGGTCGTGATGCGTGTTAATGTACATCAAAGTTATTTAAGAATTGTAGTTTACAGCCATTTTTCATGCCACTGCTGGATGGAGCCCCCCCCCCCTCTCCTTTCAAGCGTGGGGGTTGTTTGACCTTACTGCACCACATTTGTCAGTGTGGGTTGGTGATGACGGATGCCCGATGCCAATTCAATTCAGATATCGCTCGTCACTGATGTTATTAGCCACGGCCGGAAATTAAACTCGGGTCACTGAATGTATATCACAGAGTTCGAACCACTGTACCACCACCCGCCCCATCCCTTTTTACTGATGAATAAAAAAAAGAATTGTAACGTTGCAAGCAAAACTTACATAAATATAACGTATTTAAGACTGAAGCTTTCGGGCATTTTCCTGAGTAAAGATGAATAATAATACCGCGTGTTCCTATTTTATAAATAAGCACAGCGTGAGCTAAACAGGTTTTCTTCTTAGTTATTTTTGGAATAAATGCAAAGGTAATTTGTCACTTTGTCTCATTATTCATCCTACGTATTTTGGACATGCACCAGGGTGTTCCTGGGTTTTTCTTTTAGTGAACGAAACCACACGTAAGCTAATTCACCGAGGTGAAAGAAGCCATTGCACTTACTGTGCAAGCCCTTATTGAAATTCTTCAGGGCGTCTTCATAAATTCCATCCATCGCATGCGTTCCTTCCTCGCCTGTCAGCAATAATGGATTGCTTACATGCAGAAACAGACGCTCGCTCGCTCATTCCATTGGCTGCGAATATACATTTTTTTGTCAAGACCACCCTGCACAGAAACAATGAAAATGTGTAAGTATTTGTAAGTACAAATATCGTAAATACAAATACTCAATTAATCGAATCGGTAATACTTTAGCTCAGAGTTATATTAACATCTTTAACACGGGCAGAAGACAACCGTCACGTTTAAAATCGTTTCACCCCGGCTGCTTGCCAAACGTTCGTCTTAATTGCAGTGGCCAACGTTGTTGTGGCGTTCACACTGCAGTGGGACGAGTTCCTTTTTGGGCAGAATGCGCTGTGGAGACAGCCAGTCCTGTGGGCGTTTGCAGGTGTCACCCGTCACCCAGACAATGGCCACACGCTGCCGCCGCCTCACTGACGCGGCTTATCAATGCCGCCCACATTCCAATGAAATGACCGAATTCTCGGCCGCGGCGGTGTGGGGCAAGTTAAAACTCGCTTATCCGATCGGTCAGCATTCAGAAGGATCGCACGAGGCGGTGACATTCATAACGGTGAGAGGCTCTAGGCAAAACATACTTTTTAGATTAACCCAGGTTTTGGCAATAACTGCGTAGCGTCTTTCCACGCAACACAAAGGTTGCTTTTGTTTTCTCTGACATTTATTTGTTTTCGTTTCTCCGCCTTCATCCCTCGTACCTCCTCTACCCCCCCCCCCCACCACCACCACCACCCATTTTGTTTCAGAGTGTGGAGAAGAAGCTCATCCGTCCCATCGCCCTCAAGCCGGCGGCGACAACGTTGTCTGGCGGCGGTGGCGGCGGCTCCTCCCGCGGTGGTGGTGGCGGCGGCAGCAGCTCCCAGCGGCCCTCGCAAACCTCGGGGCCTCGACCCCTCAAGGGCATCTTCCCGCTGGAGCAGGTCAAGTGCGCCGTGCCCAACTCGATCGCGCCTCCCAGCAAGTGGAGCTCCACCGAGGGCCTCTACCAGAACGTGGGCCAGCACGCGGCTGCTGCGGGACAGTGCCTCCTCTCGGACTCGGGCCGCAACTCGCTGTCCAGTCTGCCCACGTCCGTGGGGGCCGGAGTGGCCGGTGCCATCGGGCGGGTGGACGGGCTGTGCGTGGTGGGAGGGCCCGGGGGGGTGCAGCACCAGCAGCAGCACCAGCAGCAGCAGCTACATCATCATCATCAGCACATCGTGGGGAAGATCAGTGCCTCGACGGGGCACATCGACCACATCGCGAGCGGAGCGCCGCTGCAGCCGCCCCCGCCTGCCACGATGATGTCCCATCACCACCACAATGGGCTCTCATCCGGCAGGAAGGCCTCGGCCGTTGAGGTTTGTGACGCACGCGACAATTGGATTTGTTTCCCACACTGTTTAATGTCTTTCTTCGTTGCTCTCTGACGTGTTTTTGGGTCGTACTGCATGTTGTTTGGCATGATGTCTTACGTTTTTCTTCCCTGCACGTGCCGAGAGCTTCAGGAACTTAATTGGTTATTTGCCCCGTTGTTGAACTTGGTTTTACGTTGTTGCATTAATTTTTTTCGTCATTTTGGTGACCCGAGTAACTCTTGCAAATCGGATTATCTTTGGTCTCTTTGATTTCCCACATGGCTAAACAACATAAAGTAAACTGTCCGAACAGCAAGCGACAAAACCCAACAACACAATCGGGGGAGCTGTTAAGTACGTAGCAATAAAATCACGAGCAGTATTACAATGAAATGCACGCTTTTCCAGACTGTGAACGAGCGGAGTTGGCTGTGTGATGTATTGTGCCTTATATATTTAGCAGAATGGAAATTCAATGTTCAAAAATGTCTTATCAACTGAATACATTGTACTGCAAATCCACACATAACACCTGACTGTAAATCCCATGGCTTTTCGTAGCTCGTGAGCGGAAGAGACAATTGTTTCACACGTGCCTCTTGTTCCATTTGTTCGTCTATTTTTGGGGAAATTACACACATCCATGCTCGTGCATTCACGAGCGTTTCACACACGCACACGCACACACACGCACACACTCACAGAGCTGTTAAAACCACGAGGCGCGTGGACCCATTCTCATGACCGCATGATTTGTTCTCTCCGATGTACGTTTGCAAGAGCGCGCACGCATCATCTCTGCGAGTCGTCTGCCGCGCGCGTCCGCTCACGCTAGCGCGCACACTTTATCCTCGCACCCCAAGCTCGCCCGTGCGCTGCCACGCTCGCCCTTCTGTGCACCTCTTCTGCTCGCTCGCTCGTCCGTTTGCCCGTCCGTCCGCTCACCCCGCTCGCGTCGTGGTTCTCCCCCCCCTCCCCCCCGCGCAGTCAGGGATGCTCAGCGGCGGCTCCACGCTGGACAGCGGCCGCGGCTCCTCCTCCAGCAGCAGCGGCGGCAAAGGGGGGGGACGGCGGCCGACGGGCACTGGCGGCAGCGAGGCGGGGGGCTCGTGCGACCAGTCGCCGTGCTCCGACGACCCGTACGACGTGGAGGAGGAGTTCCGGCGGCGGTGGACGCGGCAGGCGGGCGGCGAGGGCGGCCCGACCGTCCCCTACGCCCGCGACGACCGAGGGCCCGGGCCCTCGGAGGCTGAGCTTGCCGAACTGAGGTACGACGCTGAGCGAATGGATTTTTTGGCGTTGTTTGGTTGGTACACTGTCTCCCGCGTTGTTGGCAAGTTCCCCGTAGCTGAATCTTTTACGTGTACAGAGAAAACACGAAAATGCACAACCTCTACTGGTTGAGGCACCCTGTCACATGACCTCGCCACCATTACTTTTTCTCTCTATAAGCCGTTGACTGCGGGTGGTGATAGCTGCCAAGGAAAATTTTATTTTCCTTAATAATTTTTTTCATTAAATTTTTTGTCTGGTCAGCGCACCATTGGGTCCGGGATCCTTCCATTTCACACGTAGTATATCTTTTTTATTGTGGCTCCTCTGGGTTGCAAATCTGCAAATACCAAGGGCCGAGGGCTGTCGAGGGCCAGGCTTGCTGAGCTGAGGTATGACGCGGCTGAGAATTTCCGCCCGTGTAACGATTTATATCTGGCCATTGAAGCAGTCATAAAAAATATATTATTCAGAGAAGCCCAAAATAGCGGCCCCCGAACATGCTCCACACATGCCTCCGCAGCCTCATCCGCGCCGTATAAAATATGGTCGGCAAGTGATAAATTAGGTGGCATGATGCAATTAAAAAAGGGATGTTCATTAAAACTTGTGCCTCGCATGTCAGTGGCTTTGGCATGGAATTTTCGTCATTCCTGATTTGTTGGATTTGCTTGGACCCTTGGGGGCACTTAAATAACCCACAAAAAATAACTGCACAGCTTTGTGTTGCCGCTGTCTTCACATGGAATGTGTGTAGGTAGTGGAGAATTTACGGCAATGGCTGCTAAACCGACGGTTGCTTTTCTTATCAGGGCTTGTGTTATGAGGCTTGTTATCCAAAATAACCACAAAGCAGAGAGGTATGATGAAGGGCCATTGGCTGAAATGTTGGCTAATGGCATATCTTTTTTTGTTCCTTTCAGGGCAGAGTTATTGATGGATGTTTTGACGTTTTGTTATTGTTCTGAATGCACCAAAGCCAAAGCATTATATCGCAAAAAATAAAAAGTTTAAACTATCTCAAACGGTGAGAATTATTATTTATGCTATATAAGCATCAGGAAATGTTGTTCATCCAGTTGTAATGCAAATCGGTGGGTTTTATTTGGCTGTGAGTGTATTTAAGCGAAACTTCAATTGCACTCGCATTAGAATTACAGCGAAACCCCATTCCCAGATTCTCCAGGAGTTCCAGAGAAATTTAACATCATGGACCAGAGAAAACCATGGACCAGAGAATAATGTTTCTTCCCAGAACACAGTTCACTTCATGCTGTCTGTTTATCCTAAACCTGTTCGCCTCTTTCTTCCTCTCACACCTCTCTCATGCTGTATTTGTCTCCCTCCATACATCCTTGCAATGTTTAACACGCAGTAGCCTTTCTCGACCAATATCCATAATAGAGGTTTTTTTGGGTTAGATCGTGTGCTTATAAATGTGTCGATAAAAACTCCACCACCCGGCACAGCCAATTAGTAATTCGTAACTAATTGGTGTGCTGAACGAGTAACTAATTGCCATGTTCTGTTTACGTGACAAACCTTAGTAATTGGCTGTGTCGGGCGGTGGCAGGTTTAACGACACTTTTATATTCACGCGATCTAACCCAAAAAAAACCTTTAATGGATCTCCTTGTAATGTCTTCAGATCTCTCACTGCATACATCTGGAAGTCCGGTCTTTGCTTCTCACGGCTCGTGCCACATCTTGGTGCGATAAACGTTTTGATGGGGAAAAAACAGTTAAAAATATATTTACAATATATGGTAGAGGCAGAATTCTAAACGATGCAATGCCTGGAAAATGTTGGGAGGATGCTTGTAGAAGGAAAATGTAACATCATGCTGATAGGGATCTTTGGGGATCTCCCAAAAATGTGATGATGCAAGAAAAACCATGACAAATAGGAATGTTATGTCAAAGTTTGTATATTCACTGTTTCCAACATCACTCCCGCACAATTGAAAGTACAGTCTATTATAAAGTGATGCGGATTACCTAAAAGCTGGAAAATAGTGTAGTGCTCTGACTATCAAGGAAAGGTTTAATTAATATGTATCCATTACCGCACGAAGTTGTGTGATCACATGCAAAAAAAAAATGTGTGCAGCAATAGTTACATCTGCTGCGAAAGGATTAAGAACAACTCAATACTCTAGGCAGTGGTAATAAGGGGTGGCCTGGATTCGATTCGGTCAACACCGGTGACGATTATCTAAACCTGTCCTGGGCTTCCTCTTGGTCGGCTTGGCCTCAAATGAGTACCTGGTGCAGTGTGTAAACATCGCCACTGCGGATACAAAGGCGGCAGGGCATGGTGTTGCTTACCCCCCACCCCCGCACAGTGCCGTGCCGGCCTTCATAGGTGTTCGCGAACAGCACTTCGCCCAAAAATCTGTTCAGGCTACACGGGGGATCTTTATCTTTGTGTATTCGTATGTGTAGAGGATGCTTTTATTTTAATGCCACTTCTCACCCTGCTTTCATATAATGTATGAGTGTGACATTATGTAACTTGTTATATTTACATACATATTGTTTCCCATACACACATCTCTTCATTCTTACGAGCTCACTCTGCCACCTTCTTTATATTCATGCCCTCTTCTTATTGTGTGTCTATGTTGAACTTCTTTTGCACCGTACGTAGCCAACCGTACTAATCAGAGGTACGGGGGAAGGACAACAAACACAACAGATCTAAAGAAATTCGTTTTCTTTCTCGATTTAAAATTGCATAGCTGCAAGTAGCTTATTAACATCGGAAGGAAGAGCATTCCAGACGGCCGCAGAAGCACATCTGAAAGGGATGCTATGCAGTACCCGTCTTTGTTCTATCGCTCGCCAAAAGCCACTGTCCATCTCAACTCAAACGTGCACCCTCTACCTCTCGTACGTCTCTCTACCACCCAACACTACCACCAGCCTCACGCCCCGACCATTCCTTGTTGACCCTTGCCTCCACCTCCCCCGCCACCCCCGCCCCAATGCCACAATTTCCGCTCGTGGACCAGCAGGCAGGCGTACGGGGCACGCCTGCGCCAGGCCGGGCAGAAGGCTCAGCGGGCGCAGCACATGGCGCAGCTGCAGGTGTTCCAGCTGACGCAGGAGAAGCGCCGGCTGCAGGAGGAGGTGGGGCGCCTGCAGGACGAGGTGGCCCGCATGCAGGGGAACTGCCAGACGCTGGAGAAGCACTGCTCCGCGTTCCAGCGCCAGCAGAACGAGCTGGCCCCGCGCCTGGAGGAGACCAAGTGGGAGGTGACGTTAACGCACAGCTGCGCCACCCGCGTACCCGCACCTCCGATTTAAGCACGGTTGGCCTACGTACGGTGCGCAAAGAAGTTCGGCGAAACGCACCGCTGCTGCCTACGACGACGTAACGCGTCGCTGCCATCGCGAAACGCACCGCCGCATTAAGAGCGGCCGCGCATGTACGAGTAAGGAGAGACGCCACTTCTCCGGGCGTGTTCGGTGCGAATCCTGTCACGTGTGTGTGTGTGTCCGCACAGATTGCTCCTCTTCATCCAAACGGTGAAACGTCTGTTTGACCAAATCGGCTGACACGCGTCCGATCTCACTAGGCTTAAAAAACTTGAGCAGGGGTTTCCGTGGCTACGTGGCAAGCAGTCGAAGGGAATGCAGCACATTTCATCGTTATACTGTACTTTCATGCTCCCCGCCTTCACCAATTTGCACTGACCTGTGTGATGAAGTCTCGTCAAATAACCCGAGTGACCCGCACAGTATATGTATACACAGAGTGCAGATGAACACGTAAACGGAAAGAATGTGCCATCACCTCCAGCTGACTCCTTATTTTATATTTATAGAACACTTCAGCTCAAGGCACTTCACATAATAAAATAAAGCTGTATAAATATATTATTTAGATGGTGCGGGATGTTCAAGGGATACGGAATGGGTGACCACGATAGAGTAGGGTGAGTTTGGGGTTAGGGGAGTGGATGGGGGGGGGGGGTATTGAGGGGGGAGGGAAGAGGAAGAGAATGGGCAATGGAGAAGAGGTGAGTTTTAAGCTTGAGAGGCGAGGATAATAAGATGCATTCAGCACTTCGTAGACATCACTTCTGGGTGACTCGTCCGTCCGTGCGAAGATTGGGAGTATAGAAAAACATTTGCCACAACGAATCGGCCACCCATCTTACCCGGGCACTTTATTTGGCGATCCTGCATTGGCAGCGGTGCACAAGCAGAAATGACAAACAGCTCGAAACATTCCTCAGTAACACTGCCTTACAAAGAAAACGAATATATTGAGGAAAACTTATCCGGGCAAAAGCTTTGTGTCGTGCGGCAGCTGACGGCCACGATAACAGGAACGTGAACTGATTGATTTTTAGGAGGAATGGATAATAGATATACTGTAGCGATGGAAGGAGTTTCATTCACCCCATTAGCATGGAGACGACTGTTGTTGTGACCACTCGCACTTTGAGTGAGTGTTGCCATCTGCTCTGTGTGGTGCTGGCCACCCCCCACCCCCTCGTGTGCCGTGCCGGCCTTAATCGGTGCTACTTGCTAACAGCACTTGCCCCAAAAGTCTGTTAGCGCTGTACAGAGAGGATCTTTGTCTTTGTTTTCGCTCTCTCCATCCAGGACACAATGAGTCCATCTGCGACCAGTATCCCTTAACCAGAGCATAGCTCCTTTTATGTTTTGCTCGGGGCCTACGTGGAGGGGAATGAGTGTCGGCAGTGTCAATATTAGCGTGGGTTTATCAGATCCAGATACAGGCAAACCCATGTGCAATGTGTACACGCGTGGGTGGGCACAGTACGATTTCATGTTTTACATTCTCTTCTCAATCATGGATATCAGAGTGTTAAGAGATTTTGCATGCCAACGTTGTAACCTACGGTAAGCTACGGTAATTGTATAGCTGTATTTCCAGGTGTGCGACAATACGACTGCGTATGTTCTCGTGGTCCAGCTCAGGTGTAAACACATTGGAAAACCCTGACTCGTCACGTTCGTCTCTTCCCCCACGCGTGTGCCCCTTTTTTTTTGTCGGGTTTCGTTCGTCCCTCATATAATTTCCCCCCCATTCTCGAATTTAAAAATTTTTAATTTTCAGAGTCCTCGGTGTGTTTCTGACGACGGCGTGCCACAGGTGTGCCAGAAGTCGGGGGAGATCTCCCTGCTCAAGCAGCAGCTCAAGGAGGCCCAGGCGGAGCTGGCGGGTCGCCTCGGCGAGCTGCTCGCGGTGCGCGCGCAGGCACGCGACGCGCGCTCCGAGCTGGCCTCGCGCGACGAGCAGACGCGCGCCCTGCAGGCCCGCCTCCACGCCAAGACGGCCGAGCTCGAGGTGTGCGCCAACGAGCTGCAGCGCCGCGCCAGCGAGGCCGCGCTGCTCCGCGAGAAGCTGGCCCAAAACGAGGCGCAGGCGGCCGAGCTCCGCCGCAAGCTGGCGGACGTGGCGGCCGCCCCCCCCGCCGGCGGCCGGGGCATTGACGACGCAGACAGAAGGGTGCGCGAGGATGAGGAGGAGGAGGACGACGAAGAGGGCGAGGCGGAGGAGGCCGAAAACCACCGTGGGGAAAACAGGACCGACGGAGCGCAACCGGGGCCAGGGAAGCCACCCGTCGGCACGCGGGGCCTGACGGAGCTCCCGCCCGAGGGCGACGACCGCAGCGGAAGCGCGGGGGACGGGTCGGAGGCGGAGAGCCGGCTGCAGGGCCTGCGGCGCGATGTTAGCAGGATGCAGGTGGAGGTGGAGGCCCTGCGCGAGAAGCTCGGCGAGCAGGCGGGCGCGTTCGAGGAGGAGCGGCGCGTGTGGCTCGAGGAGAAAGACAAGGTGATCCGCTACCAGCGGCAGCTGCAGCAGAGCTACCTGCAGACCTTCCAGAGGAACCGCGCGCTGGAGGATGAGGTGAGGCGCATGGCGGCCGAGCTGGAGAGCAGGGACATGGAGGAGGTGGACGCTCACAGCGAGTTTTCTTACAAGAACGCGGCGACTGCCGGCGCCGTGGTCTCCGCGGTGGCTCCGACTGAAATCTGACGGCACCGCTCGACGGCCGTGCTGCACGGCAGGGACTTGGCGCGTTTGCTTACCGCCAGACAGACAATCGACCAGTCGCCATCTCTGCCCCTGAGAAATGTGCACCACGAAGAATGGAGCCTTAATTAATGATTGATTTCTATTGACCTTATGGCCAAGAGCAGAATGTTGTCACACCGAAACCAGTTTTCTTTTTAACATTGCAAAATATTTACATTGCAAAGTCCGTGAGATGACTATTTAATTCAACTTCCTGGTAAACGGGATGCCCGCTGTGATGGGGGATGGAATATTCTACCCCCAAAATGCTACAGATGGTTCATTGTGAAAATTACTTTCCTGACCCCCGCGTGCGTGTGTGTGTATCTGTCTGTCCTTGTACTTTGTTAATTCTCTGCAGTACAGTATTTATCTCTTGCCATAACCCGAGGCAATATTTATTCATCAGTGTTCGCTTGCACTTACTGTAAACAGACAGTGGAATAAGCACATCTAGTTCGGTTTGTACAAGCACATGACCGCCATTATATGTGTACATATAGCAGTTCGCCGGTTTGTATATATTGGTGATGGCTGTCAAACCCTCGCAGATGTCCTTGTGTAGGTTTGTAATGTAGCTTTTTCTACGTTTAGAGGTTACGTGGACATTAATGTTTCTACTACCGTCATGACGAAAATGTGAATATTTGTGCGTGTTTCTTTTTTTCTACGTGCTGCATGGTTGCCCCATTGTTGCCGAATTAACGTCAAACCGTTGTGTAAATGTGCATGTGTTCCCGCAAACGGTGTCCACGATGAACGAGACGAAGTTGGCGTCGGTGCCATATGTGCGAGTTTCCAAAGAATTCCGAATCCCCGCTGAAGACGCGCTCCGTGTTCGACGGTTAACTGACTAGCTTTGCTCGCTCGAATACACGGCGGTCTTGTCCAACGTGCGACATCCTTCCCCGCCGTACTTATGCGGCTTCGAGCGTGTTTCGTATAATCATCGACTGTCGCGGCTTAATGACCACTCGCATTTGTATGTGAAAATAATACGTCTAAAAATGCCAGTGGTGAATATCTTTAAATGCGTTTTGAAGGCCATAATTCTCACACCCTTCAATATCGTGGTGCTGCTCATTTACAGTGCCGTGGATTCAGGCTCGCCTAGTCAAAGCTCTGTAAAGACGTCGTACACATTTTGGTGCACTGCTATATACACTGTACGGTAAATGTTTGCTTATTGTTTTTCACTCGATAGAAATTGCTTCATCACCAAAGTCCACGGGGGACTCTGCATATGGACTCGATTTGGTATATACAGTACCTCATACTCAACATTTTTCAAAAGAGTCCACTCGAGGCTAACTACAGAAATTACATATTGTGTACGTACCAAAATCTCACAGAATGTTTCCAGCTGGTGATTGTGTAGAATGTCTGTGTCATGTGATTGCGGCTACTTGGGTTTTATAGTTTGGTAATTATTGGCAACTGGGTGTAAAAACATAACACATTTTGTATGACAGTGGTTCTCAACCATTTTGTTATTCTGCCCCCTCAGCCTCAGACTCCCATACTGCATTAGTGTTTTGTTACCACATCATGTGATGTGACGCTGACGTTCCCCGGCCACATTCACGATGCATCCTGCACGGTATCCACGCCGCAGCCTGCGCCCTCTAGGCCTCCTAGGGGGTGCATCACACAGGTTGAGAACCACTGCCCTCAGAACTCGTAATGTTTGTCCCATGTTTCAAATAGTAAATGGCTAAGACAACAGCTGGTGTGTTAGGCTGAGCTGTAGTTTAAATGTGGGTTCAATTGTTTATCTCTCCTGCCTTGAGGCTTCCAACGTGTTGGAATATGTGTTCCCTTTTTATTTATTTAAGTATTAATATTTTAGCAATAATTAATACAAAGCAATTTGCCAATCTTATGTTACACTTCTGAGCGTTTTAAAAGTCGCCGTTTGTAGTTGAATTGATCGTCGTACATGATGCTTTTCATAGTCCACAACTGTAATTTTTTTCATTTTCAATTAAGGACATTGTGTTACTGAGAATTTTTGGTCTATTTCCCATATTACACATGTCCTCATAGTATACATATACACAATACAGCGTATAAAACAACCGTTTATGCAATATAAATAAAATCCCAAAAGTAGGAAACTTAACAGGATAAAAATACAGTACATAAATACGATGTCGTTAACCTAGGGGCCTGTATTCAGTGTTGCCAACTTATCGATTTTGTTGCTAGATCTAGCTACTTGTTGGGTTTCTCTCGTGGAAAGCTTGTCGAAACGACTAAGCTACATATCTAGCGACTTCTTGAGATGAGGACATGATGCAGATTTAGGAGCTATTCCCCATGGTGGGTATGAAGGATTTTTCACCGGTGTTTACTCTGCTCAACGCTCTGTAAATTGTCTCGCAACATTTTTCGAAGGCAACATCTCGTGACCTCTTCGAGGTTCGTTTCGGCAACTCTCTCCGCGTTAAGGAGTTCCCAACGCTGCCTACGATTGCGAGCGTCGTGTGCACACGCATACCCTGCGGTGTCGTTGCAAGAGAAATAGCGGACGAGGCTGTTGATGCTGCTGGATCGACGATAGTATTGCTATAGCGGTGTGCTTCGAGTGTGACGGGGGGGTAGTGCAAACCTGCCAAGCATTATTGTGTCACACCTTTCACCGCTGCCGCCATTGTGCCCAGACTGTGTAGCCATGTTATTTTTGTACTTGGTGCTTCCATATTTGGAGCCAGGATGTCTGTGGCATGTGTACATTGGCTCTGCATGGCTGGACAGAGAGTGCTTGCACACGTAACACCTTTTGTAAATAAACTTAAGTGAACTTAAACTCGCGCAAGTTTCGCGTCCTCGTGGTGCATGTTGTGTGCGTTGCGTCTATCCCAACTGCCGTTGTTGGCTCCAACATTATCGTCGATAAGATTGTAAGCTGATGTCCAAACACTGATTAGAAGTAATTGTGTACAATTAAACAAATATATACATGTGCAGTTGTCGAAAGAAAAACATACTGTCATAATCCGTGGTAAAATTGCCCTTTATTTTACATCAGACATTCTCATTGACTTTTGAAGACTTTTCTAATCAGGTGCTCCTGCATCTGGATGTTTGGCCAAATTTGTTCATGACTCTAGATTTGAAGCTTTCGTGACTTCAAGGATTCATATTCTTAGGTTTTTTCGGTAAAGTCACGTAGGTAAAAAAATGTAAATTAATAAAAGTAAAATAAAATAAAAATCATGACGTTTCCTCTCACTTGATACAGCAATCGTGCTGTGACGGTTCCACCTGAAGACGGAGGCTTGTGTTGCCTCCTAAACGTCATGATTTTTATTTTATTTTACTTTTATTAATTTTAATTTTAATTGTTCATGACTACTTGGCATGTGAAAGGAAACTGGAATTTTTGAAGAAACCCCACCACGAATACAAGAGGATAACGGTCAAAGCTCCACACAGATACATTCTCTCCACAGACAGGGTAAAGCTGCAGATTTAAAGTATTGCTGTCCTCTTCTTGGTTCTTTCGGTAAAGTCACGTAGAAGGGAAGTAATAAAATAATAAAAATAAAACATAATAAAATAATTTTAAAACATAATAATAAAATAATTTTATTATGTTTTATTTTTATTATTTTATTACTTCCCTTCTACGTGACTTTACCGAAAGAACCAAGAAGATGAATCCCTGCAGTCACGAAAGCTTTAAATCGAAATTTATTGCTGTCCTGCTATCATCGGGATAGCTCACAGCCCCACAGCTACAACACCTGGTATTCCCGCTGATATACCAGACGAGGCCAGTTAAATTACAGGCTAGTCCATAGTATTATCAACTACTCATGACATGCTTTCTAAAAAAAAACCGAGCATGGTCAAGCATCGTCGACCCCCGTGGCGAATGTGATGTGGGGAGGCCTTCATTCAGGAGTGGATTGACAAAAGGGGGGGAAAACGGAAACTGTGGTTAGGAATGGCAGGGCATGTATGCTGCTTTATAATTAAGCCCTCACAAATGAGACATTGCCTATTCATCACAAAGCAAAAAAAAATTGGCCCATTAGTGTGGGAGGAATGGAAGTCGGGTAGAAATTAAAATCGTCATAATGTGCAGGTCTGCTTAGGTAGATTTGTGACTCATCCTAAACACGGTAATCATAGGGCCGCTGCAGGCAAGTGGAGTGTCATTGGTGTTCATTATGCTTGTGACAAAGTGGGTGTGCATGCGTCTAAATCATTAAGTAGTTCGTTTTAAGACAGACTCATTATTTGTGTTAATCTTAGCCACTCGGAAGACAGCACCTCCACATGCAACATGGTCAAACAATGGTGACACGGGGTTGGAGATTCCTTCTTGATCCAGCACTGCATTTTCTAAGAGCTGTAAATGATTCCTCAAGCGTTTGTGAAATGAGAGCCAACGGCGTTGGGGATGCCTGCATCCAGCAGCGGTGATTATGGCTGATGATGGATGAATGTGGTTTTTTTTTAAATATTAGATGGTTCGCTACCGCATTTATCCCCTTAAATTATCCGCCGAAATCGTGTAATTTTTCACCACTCGGCAGTGCTCTCGTGCGATTTAATGTTTCCTGCCCGTCGTTAAATGGCACGCACACCCGAATTAAAAAAAGAATCTAATAGCAGCCTCACAATCGGGACTGCTGTGTGCTCTGCTATCAGGGCCTCGTGGTCACATTAACTTGGCACAAAAAAGTCCTCATTTCCTGAAAACAATTAGGGGCATTCTTGTAAACAAGCCTTCCAGTCTGCCTCATAACGTTCTCATGTATAAAATGTAAGTGTGTAATTCATTGCAACCAACAGGGCCTCCGTTATGAGCAGCTACCCTGCTTATGCCTCGAATTGTGCAGGATTTTGACAGAATAATAATAATGGCATTTAGCTGCTGCAATATGAAAACATCTTGTGCATCCCAGCGTCCTGAACAACCCTGTCACTTGCCTTCTTTTTAATATGGACATTTTGTCATGAAAAATTATACCTTGTGCAATATTGCGACACCCGTAGAGGTATTTTGTTCATGGCATCATTCAGTCTGCTAAGAAGGAAAACAAGTTGACTTGGAGAGAACACGTCGCTAGATGAGATGATGATAATACAATGTTTTAGTTTTATATTGCATCATTCATGCAAAATACATCTCACAAAGTTTTACAATTCGTAACGCAGGGAGGCGTGAGGAACGGCAATGGAAAGCGCATCCAGGCGGTGAGCCAACACCAACAATTGCCAAAGCTCTGTGGTTCTCTATATAATAAGATGTTTTTAACCAGTTAATGTGTTTATACACGTGGGAGGCCATCCGAACACCCGGTGAAAACCCAGACATGCGAGGGGGCAATACCCTATCTCGTACAGATTGATACAGATGGGGATTCATCTTCTTGGTTCTTCACGTAGAAGGGAAGTAACAAAATAATAAAAATAAAACATAATACAATTATTTTATTATGTTTTATTTTTATTATCACGTAGAAGGGAAGTAATAAAATAATAAAAATAAAACATAATAAAATAATTTTAAAACATAATAATAAAATAATTTTATTATGTTTTATTTTTATTATTTTATTACTTCCCTTCTACGTGACTTTACCGAAAGAACCAAGAAGATGAATCCCTGCAGTCACGAAAGCTTTAAATCAAAAGATGGGGATTAGTTCACATTTGCCGTATCCCCCTTTTCCTGGCAAGCCAGAGCATGGCACTGCAACACCCATGAAAAGGAAGTTTCACAACATTTGTGTGTGATCCACCGAACCTGGCATCATTCAGACCGCTAAGTAAAGTAAGTGGACTTGGGCCGAACGCGTCGCTAGAACAGATGATGGTCGATCGTCAAAGATTGGTGACCATGGTGGCAAAGTAATGGGACGGAGCCGAGAGGACGATGAAAGCAACTCGTGTGCAGCTGCCATGTGGATTGTTACATCACAGGAGCGTGAGAGATGGTGGTGGCTTTGGGGGAGGCCTTCAAAAATAGACTGCCCAAGGCTGATAATGATGATGAGCACTTATCATCGAGCATTACTGCATACGCTTTGGAGATTCTGGAGATGCTGGTTGGAATATCACAACAAGTCTGAGGTTTGAGGTAAGTCGATCATGTAAAGCAATCTCAATGTACATAATATACAGTGTCAATTATTGTACACCAATATACCAAATAACTTCGCATTACGATATACGGTATTTACGCTTCCTCTTTAGAATACATTGGTTCTTGTAGTAATAATACAGAATTTAATACAACAAAAATAATCTTTTGGTCCATGCTTCCCCTTGAAATCACCACCTATATGAATGAGCCTTATAACGGTATTTCTGTAGGACCCTTATAACAACAACAACAACCGCCATTCGCCACTAAGTGGCGGTGACGTCACCACGATGCTTGTGCCAGGCCAAGTGCACCTTGAGGCCACGTGAAGTGTCGAAAGCCCGCTGGCAGGAGGTCACGGGGCAGACCCAGCAGGTGCCACGGGTCGACTGACCGAGATGACCGAGATGACTGGCCGATGCACCACCTGTGCCCCCTACTGTGCCAACTTGCTGTGCTTTAGCCACCCGGCGCTCCGCTCGTTGTTATACAACCTCAAACACAGTCAGCAATATATGACAAAGCGGGGAACAGGCACACTCCAGCCTCTTGCTGGGGTTGGGGGGGGGGGGGGAAACACACAATAATGTTGAAAATAAAGTAATGCATACACAGGAGCCTTTACTATATCATGAAATGTAATCAGAAATTGTGGAGAGAGAAAGAGAGCGAGAGAAAAAAAAACCCCACCACACTTTCGTCCATTACTTTAAGTGGTTCTAATCTGTCACGCGGCGATTGCCGCCCGATAAATGTCGGACCCATCATTCCCATCACGTGCATTATTCTAACGGAGCCCTATATTGTATCTCGACTAAGTAACGTACAGTGTGCCAAGTGCCTCGTCTCTCTCACGTCTCTCTCTCTCTCTGCTACCTCCACCATTTACGTGACACAATGCTAAGTGCGTCCCAACTGAAACGAGGGGTGGGGGGGTGGGATTTTGAAATCCAACGATTGACCCCCAGCCCCCCGCAACTCGGGCAGTAAAGTCTGGCCGCACCCCGCACCGCCGAAAGGGAATAAATGCGCAGTGCCGCTAACGAATTGGAATAGAGGGAACGGGTGGGGGCAATCAGCCCCCCCCCCCCCACATAGCTTTAGACAGGAGAGGCGCGGTATGGTCTAGTGCCATCTCGGTCATGGGGGTTATTTTCACCACACGTCACATTGGCCAGCGTGGGTTGCCGCTGAGGGGAGTTCGTGAACCGCTGCACCAATGCTCCCATTCTGTATCTGAATTTGTTTAACGAGTGGCGGCACAAGGTAATAACCCAATTAAATTTAATGTGCATTACCTAACCCATAAAATCCATTGTGAATCATATTGGTTGTCAAAACCTCCGTGCCGAATTGAAGGTATGTTGCCATACCCATTTAATATCGTGTGTATGCAGTATGCCTGTGACCAATTCACCCGGAATGTGTCCCATCTTGTTCGAAGCTGAGCACGGTTGAACCTGCATCGTGCTTGGATTGGTGACCACCGTGCGTAACAGCGTGGCTGCGTGGCGAGACGGTGGTCAGCAAAGGGCAGTGCAGAAAAATACATTGTCGAAGTGCTCCCCTAGGTGCCCTTCACCAACATGCACTAACTAGCATGTTGGTGAAGTGGATGATGAGCTGCACAGATGTAGCTGCACAGATGTAGCTGCGCATCTACGTGACCGTAATTCACAACTTCAGCTGATGACGAGGCATCATCTGGGTTTTAATCATCAACGTGTATGACAACACAACCTCATTGAATGTGTTTATAGAGTTTTGTTAGAAACAAACATGGCTGATTTTTGGCAGCTTGTTAATTTTAATAAATGTGACCAGATGGTGTGATTTTTCTATTTTAATTACACAATTATTTCGATTTTAAACAGCATTTATAAACGCTTGATATAGACATACATCTGAAGCATTGGCATTGCTCCCCTTCCAAAGGGCAAGTCTAAATATACCTGAATTACACTTCATTATTTATAAGTAGTCGTGGGTTTCAAGGAGAACATTTAACAATGAGTTTTTTTTTTTGTCCAGGTCTTAAAGAGCAACCTAAATGTGAGAAAATCCACCCCGAGGCAAATGGCTGGTCGTCTTATTGCGGCAAAGAAGGGGAGCCATCACGGTTAAATGGAAACACACTTGGCATCTTTATTACAGTCATCAGACGCATTGCCATTTTCAAAATCACAGCCTTCAACTTCCAAGTGCCTCAATCTGCCTGTTACCATCAAGAGTGTACAGGGTACACGTTTGTCAAACCTCTCATTATCTAAAGCAAAAAAAAAAACTCTCCATTCCAAATATACAATTGCAATAATGCAACAGTAAATATAACATTCGCTGATTCATTCATTCATTTTCCAGTTTTTAAAGTGCTGAGTGCCAAGCATTGTCAGTAACTCACAGCCATTATATGAATTCTCAATTAGCGCTCTAGTGGATTGTATTTTACATTGGGGTTATTGTTTGTACCGATGAACCATGACGTAGCAGTATTTGCCAAGCACGCCTGACTTTGCTGATGAGCCCAAGCAGAGCGAAACCAGTCCAGCTTGAAAAAATTCTGCTGGTTAACATAAGCGTGGAAGGTTAAAAGGTTGATACATTAAATGTATTAACGTTTGTATCTAGAGATAGGGAATGGAGGGTGATTTGTTTAATTATTACTCAACCACAATTATTGTAGGCCTCATCCTGGCCACAATCTTAGGTGGATCCATCAAAAAGTTAATAGAATAAAATCCCACAAACAACAATCCATTGTCTTCGAGGGCAAATGTCCGATTGCCATGACAGCAATAAACAACTTATGTGTACATTTCCATAAAGTACTGACTTTTCTTGTAAACGTGCTGCCATAAACTTTATAGGTCCATAAATATTCCATTTGACCTCCGATAAGATTACTGCACTGTACACAATGTATCTCACTAATACTTGCCTGGCTTTGCTGTAGTTGATGTCATGTTCTAAATATTTACTCGTGACATGAGTTGGTACCAATTGTTATTCTATATTTGAGACAGATAATGCTATACCAACTCCGAGTTGCACATGTGTTGTTTAGAATCCTTTTCCACACATTGCAAATACAGGGTAGTTTTAAAACGATGTCAGAAAGTTTCATTTTTCTCGATCTTCAACACCTTGTGAAGCATTTTAAAACAAGTACGCGGGTTCAGATGACCTCACATTGCCATGATTTGTTTTCCTCTTCTCCCACATCGTAAGTAGATGATTCTTCTCTCTCGACCCACGGCGCCTTTGTCTCCGTTTGAAAGAGTCACGTACAAAGCGTGACTTTAAAAAACAAATATATTCTTTCTCCTGCACTCAAAAGTGTCCCGTCAATCTCAGAGGGCCGCTTGCCCGGGCCACCTGATCACCAGTGCCATGGGCTCCCGCGCTTTGTTGCGGAAGGCGGCGCGGATGGTACCCACGGCCTCGCAGTGGCTGGCGCTGCGCAGGCTCACGCCGTCCGCCGAGATGAGCTCGACCCCGGGCTGAAAGGACGGGGGGCGCAGGGAGAGAGAGAGAAACGCACAGCGCCGTACGCCACGGGGCCACCGTCGACGTTACAGTCGGAAGACAAGAAGAGATCCAACCACCACCTTTTCCACCCCCCAAACCACCAAACCACCTGGACAGGCTGTAGGGGGAATGTGCTGTAAAGCGAGCGCCTATCAAGGGCCCGGAATGGCACGTGAAAGCCGGCGGTGTTGGCCAGAGCCATGGCTGTAGGCTGCCTTGGTCTCCGCAGTGCTGATGTTCGCACACACCTCGACGGGTATTCATTCGAGGCCGAGTCCACCTAGGGGAGGCCCAAGACTGTTTCAGATAATTGCCACTTACGGTTGGCCACGAGCGGTAATTAAACTTGGAGGAAATTGGGGTTCAAGTGCAGTGCACACTAACCACGATGTTGCCAACACTCATCGGGAAACACACGTTCCCCAACACGTCCTCGGAATGTTACGCTGCATAACGGTGGCGTCGTGTGATTGGCAAGGCTCCCTGGGTGCAAGAAATGAAATAGCGGACGCCTGTCCCAATTTCTCAGCACCGCCTTCATAGCGGAGAACCTGGGCCCTTCTGGCACGTGGACTCCAGTGCAGTTGTGCCGCCTAGAATCTCGGTAGCCACACCACTGCTGCGTAATAATAACAACAACCAGTTTTTAAATGTAATCACTGGTAGTGGAGTGCATACTTGAGCTCAGGCAGATACTTATTTGGAGATTACACACTTGCATATGTATAGCCCTTTTCACTCCACCGCTGGATGAAAGCCTCTCCACGCAGCATCAGTCACGAGGGTTTTTACCATACTTCACCATGCTGGTGTGAGTTGGTGACGTTGCCCAATGCTGTCTAGTGAAATGTGGGTTTGAATTTATGTATTTTTTTGCATAAACATGGTAATGTGTTTAGGAAAAGTAATATAAACCGGTAAGGTAATACAGCACTGTATGTATGCAATGTTTTAATTTTAATAACGGCCAAAGTATTTTCCGTGGGTGCACCTTCCAAGTTTTTAATGCAGGAAAATCTGAAAGACCAAATCACAACACGGCACGAATTGATGACAAATTTTCCACCGCTTAGCCACTTCCAGACAAATATCACTCTGGTTAAAGTGTATTCTACTGTTACTCTCCCGAGTTGGGATACTGCCATCGTGTGACGGTTAGCACGATGGACTTGCAATCCAGAGGTTGATTCGATCTCCTGGTACGGCAGATTAAATAATAGGCCAAGTGTCTCAAATCCCCCTCGACGTCCTCGGGTCTAACACTGTTTGAGACGGGCCTCTAAAGAAATCTGTCTCTAAGACAATGCCATATAATACCAGAGCACGTTATTTTTTGTTTGCATGTTCACCACAAGTATATGTGGTTAATGCAAACATGATTTCTTGCTAAAACGGTTTCTCTTTGGTGTTTTAAAACATTAACACAGCTGTTTTATTGCCAGAAATGATAAAAACCGATTCTGATACAGGTCACATGTGTTGGGGTAAAGTGATTGCACTCCTACTTCTACCGAGACGTCTGATCTGTGTGGAAGAGGGTAAAATACTCTCTAGAGGGGCACTTTCTAGCAGTGTTCTTCACGAATTTGCAGAGGGGGCTCTACTTTCGACCACAAGACATGATCAGTGTGAGGGCCGCCACACTGCCTGCAAGGGGCGTTTTCACTCGTTGTGCATTGTCGGGGGCCGCACTGAAGGCCGACAGGGGCCGCCAGTGGCCCCGCGGGCCTTGCGACGAGATTCCTCTTGTGAAGGCCCTTCCGAAGCAGTGGCGAGGGCCAAGCAATTACTGGGCTGCACCTTTACAACCATTTTACAAGGTGTCCATAGAGGTGTCCATTCTCAGACTATTATTATTAGCAGTTTGAAGTGTGAAAAAAGTTGGCCGAGTGCTTCTTGGGTAATTAAACTGTTTAAACAGAAAAGGTCGGCGATTGTGAGCGTCACGTAGCAGCAGCCACCCGTGACAATCGCAGATTGTTGGTTTACGCCTGAATAATTTTGTTTTATCTTGAGTTGTGTCTCGCCAACACCGTCGCGGATATGAGGATATTAGGATGATTTAACTCTTTGGATAAATTCTTCACACTGCCAATGTGCGAGTGAGTGTCGAGTTTTATCAACCGAGCTCAAACTGACATCATTAAAATTATTTGATAATGGATGATACCTTTATAGACACCATGTACATTAGATGCTGCCCTGAGAACGTGTGCAAATTAAATGTCGGGAACAAATGGAAGAGGGTGTCAATCCCCCATGCACTGATTTGTGTTGCCTGATGTCCTGCTACGTCACATATCTGACAACTAGAATTGCTCCCAATTGCGTGCATACGCAATCCATCGTGCCAAACGTGCGTCCCCCACGTGAATAACTCAACACCGCCCTGCTCATTTACTTGAATGTCCTCTCCACTAGCCTGCCAATGTCCATGTGGTCTTCTTGGTAGTGCTTCAAGTATGATTTGTGTTTCTTATGTAACCCCGATATTTCTCCTCTGTATAGCCCATGGCGGGGTTGAGTTGCCGCGTCGTGCTTTGCGTACTGCGCTCTGAATCCGGCTTCCTGAGTTGAATTCCCGACGGTGGTCGTAACATCGACGGCAAGTCATATCTCAACTGGTCATGCGTCCCCCCTTCACCCAATATGCACTGGCCGGCGTGGTGAAATATGTTCAGAACATTTCCCATATAATTTGATATTATAGTCAACACATCACAATCACTGTGGCTGTAATATTTGCCCCCGAAGAATCAATGTACACTTGTACAGTAGTTCCATAAAACAAAATTCTCATTGTTTTAGTTTTTTGTCTCACCTGTACATCTTTATCGATGAGCTCATATGTAACATTGTTATAGCATTTGTATTCATTGTAAATAATCTATTCGACGATACAGGGTTTGTGAGCTTGAGAATCGATGTCACTTGCCTAATCGTCACGCCAGAGAGAACCAAATCATATGGCACAGAAATGTAAACATAGTCCATGTGAACAACAACAATTAAAAAAATGCATAATTTCATGCGTGTTCAGTGCCACAACTGATCAAATTAGCCCGTGACTTGCTCCTGAGTGGGCGTAAACTCCATTAGCAGGATTTTTTTGATCCGCATCTCAACTGCAGCATCATCACAGAGCTTTTATATCCCCCAATTATTTAAATTGCTTTGTGAACATGGACTCTGTGTATCTTTGTGGACGCACATAATAAATACTATGCCAGTCAACACATTAAAATGTGCTAATGGCACGCGAAATGACTCTCTCAACCGAGTGGTACCTGCACATGCTTTGTGTAAAAAAGAAAAAATTGGGATTTTGTGAGATGAATGTTTGACTACAAGGAATTGATACTCTTTGGTTCTTTCGGTAAGTCACTATAAAATTTTCTACCTACGTGGCTTTACCGAAAGAACAAAAGAGTATGGATTCCTGCAGTCATGAAAGCTTCCTACCAGGAATTGTTTTTTCGCAAAATCTTATTTACAGGCCTGGTGGATTTACACGTGAAGCGTGCCTGGGACCATGCTCAGAGCCGGCTCAAGTTAAGCACATGGCCTTAAGCCAGCTCACCCGAGTCAGGCCTTTGCAAGAGCAAAACTACACCAACACTATCCGCTGAAGCCCTCTGTGTGTATGTTGAACTTCTTTCGCACCGTACGCAGCCAACCTTGATTATAATCGGAGGTGCGGGGGGAAGGACAACAAACTAACCACAAAAAGGCAGTTTTAAAGACATTAGTTCTCAATCGTCACTTAAAAGTGCACAGCTCCAGTTGAATTTCGATTTAAAGCTTTCGTGACTGCAGGGATTCATCTTCTTGGTTTTTTCGGTAAGTAATAAAATAATAAAAGTAAAACATAATAAAATAATTCTCACGACGTTTCGGCCACAACGCAAGCAGCCGTCCTCAGGTGAAAACCAGGTCTGTCGAGGCGACAGCGTCCAGTTGCTCCCTAATATGTGAAGGAAGAGTGTCACAGACCGCCGCAGAAGTGCATATGAGAGCGTGTGACGCAGCGACCGTCTTTGTTCGATGGGCAGCCGAAATCCGCTGCGAGGATGACCGGAGTTTGCGCGATGCTTTATGTTCCTCTCGTGGCTATCGGACCTCGACATTGGCATTTAGCTCCTGGGCCATAGTTCCATCATACACAAGATGAAGGAGAAGGAGAAGAACGTGAAGAACGTGAAGAACGTCCCGGGAAGACCCAAGAGATTCCCCCAGGATTCGCTGCATCGAAAAAGAGGAGCTGGCAAACAACCAGGACAGGTGGCAACCCCCCCTTGTGCGCTGATCGGAAGAAGAAGAAGAAAGGGCATGAATGTTTAACGGCACAGGGGCAGCGCCGCTGCTGGAGCACTCGTGGTGGCTGGGGGCATTAATTATGCATCTCGTCACTCCCGCCGTGCTGGGTGACACAATGCAAACAACAGTGGCACGGGCTCGAGGAAGCAGTTGATATTTTGCAGCTCCAGGTGACCCTTGGCAATGTGAAGGGCAGAAAAATGTTTACGACGGTTTGTGTTATTGCAGTAATAGCCTGGGCTGTAAACACAGCTGGATTCCTTACTCCATTGCCATTGTTTGTTGTTGTTGTTTAAAACAAGAACATCTATAGTAAAAAGTAAATCGCTGGTATAAGAACTCGATAAGCTGTCGCGAAACGTTGTGGGCAGTTAAATAAATAATTTCAACATGTTATTTTATCTCCCCAAATGAAAATGTTAAATCATTTCACCACCCCCGTGGGGTTTCCGTTCCAATTTTTATCCAGCAGCATTTGTTTAAGCAAGCAAACTCTTGACCGCTTTTAACCTTCAAGCATATCAACATGTACTCTTGGAGTCGGGCTTATTAAACAAGTACGACTGGATCGCCAGATGTTACTGGCAAGAGCACTCCATTTACAACACAGTGCCCAAGGCTTTTTTTGTCGATATTTTCAGATCGCAAAGGGTGAATGGGTTATCATTTCACGGGCTGCCCCCTGTTAATAAATTGTGCATTTTATCCCGAGACAATGTACAGTGATAGACAACTTGAGAGCGTGTTTTGTGTCCTGTACAAAGCAAAGCAAAGCTTTGTGCAGGATAAGTGTTGCCCCAGTAAACATGGCCAACGTTGGCATGTTTACTGCGGTGTCTTATGCAACGTAAACAATCATTATGTGCCACGTGTGGGGTGAACGAGAGTAATGACGAACGCGCTGGAATTAATCGTGTGCCCAGAGAAGGACGTTGGATTTAGAAGATGTGTGGGCAGGAGGGCAGGAGGGCGACAGAGACGGACATGGTGGTGGACACCACATTAACGAGTGGACCCAGTTCAGCATAGGGAACATCACGAGAGCCAATGGGAAGTGCTGGCATCCATTGACTGTCGACATCTGAACCCGAAGCTAAGACCTCAATTGATGTATGCATGTTGAATTTCTTTCGCACCGTATGTAGCCAACCGTGCGTGGTAAGGACAACAAACTAAACAACAAAAAACAGTTCTAAATAAATAGTTTCAATCTTGATTTAAACGTGCATACTTCCCCGTGGCTTCCGAATATCGGAAGATGAACACGTAAACTTTCGCGACCAATATCATCAATAATATAGGTATTTTGGGTAAGATTGCGTAAATATGTGTCGTTAAACCTGCCACCACCCGACACGGCCATTTATTAAGTTTTGTCACCTAAACAGAACATGCCAATTCGTTACTAGCACAGCACACCGGTGTGTTGGAGAGCAGATGGCCGCAAAAGTGCATCTGCGAGCGATGCAGTGACCGTCTTTGCTCGATGGCTCGTCAAAAGCCGCTGCTGCGAGGATGACCGGAGTTTGCGTGATGGTTTATGCTCCTTGACGAGTTCAGCAGGGTATTGTGATTAATTTGCGAAGAGCACTTTGTGTGTAAAGATCGGGACCTTATAATGTAGAGATGGATGTGTGAGTTGGAGGACACGTGGGAGCTTCTCACTTGTAACAGATGGCACTCGGCCGCAGCTCCACCAGGGAAGATCTTCTCAATCTTCACGGCAGGCTGAGCCACGATATCTCGGCCCCCAGAAATGCTCATTCCTGATGTGGCAACATCACCAGGGAACAACATCACCAGGCAACACTCTCGTTCAAAACCACTCCTCGCCGACAACACTCACCGACGGATCCGGAGATTTCCTGCAGCAGTTGTATTTATTCCACTTGGCTATGCATCTATAATAACAACAATTAGAATAACATCTGCATTGCAATATCCTTCAGACAATTACAGTCGCACTGGATTAATATCAGTTTGCGTGCCTTGCTGAAAACGACACCGTCTGTTTTTGACTCGTGGTACTCGATTTATCCGACATCGACTCTTCAGGGATAATGGATAAACACTGCCTCCCGGTGGTGAGCGTCTGTTACTTCGTAAAATCTTATTTCAATTTTTTTTTAGCTGCGGAACTTTAGGCAGCCTTCTTCCTAAGATGACGGGTCCGGTTGTACTGCGCCCAAAACGGCAACAGCAAGGGCTTGAGTCGCACTTCGAGAGGCAACAGTCCTGGCTGTGTGTGGCGGTTGCACATCTTTAATGCACACGTCTTCCACAGAGGAAAGGGAATGGGGTCAAACAAAGCAATCACGCCAAGGTAACAACGGTGCATGCAGCCCTGCAATTTTTTGCTCGCGCCAATGCTGTCAGAAGGGCCTCCACTAGAGGGAGCTCTTCTCGGGGGTATTTTGCCTACTCTTCCACACTGACTAAACGCGCCTGGTTTACAGGTTGTTGTGGGCTCGATCCCGACCCTGAAGCCTCTATAAAGCCAATCCTCAAATTTCGATTGAAAGCTTTCGTGACTGCAGGGATTCATCTTCTTGCTTCTTTCGGTAAAGTCACGTAGAAGGGAAATAATAAAAGAATAAAATAAAACATAATAAAATAATATTAATATATTATATTATTATATTATTTTATTATGTTTTATTTCAATAATATTAATAAATAATAGTATTATATTGCTTTATTATGTTGTATTTTTATTATTTTATTATTTCCCTTCTACGTGACTTTACCGAAAGAACCAAGAAGAAGCCAATCCTCGGTTCACGCACTTTTGTGGTACGCCATTATGGAATAACGCGCGCTTTGTATTGAGACCTTTCTATTGACACACGCGAGGCAATTTTCGGAATAACGTCGTCCGCAACGCGACGTAAATTGCTTTTGACGTACGCGATTTTGAGATGCGCACGTTTGTCCAGAAACGCATCGATCGCGCATGTCAATGAGCGCCTGTCTTTGGAGTTTGCATGTTCTTTCCGTGGTTGCGTGGATTTTTCTCTGGTTCCTCCGGTTTTTCCCTCCAAATTTAGAAACATGTGTTGAGAGTATTTGGCTGAATCTTGATTTGAAGCTTTCGTGACTGCAGGAATCCATACTCTTTGGTTCTTTCGGTAAAGTCACGTAGGTAAAAAACATAATAGATCACGACGTTTCGATCGCCACACAAGCCATCGCATTTGGCTGCTATACATTTCCACACGATAAGCCACTTCCTTGAACTATCATTTGTGGGAACAAGTTGCTTCTGAAAAATATTTACAGCTTAGTGGGCCTTACCAGGTAAAATAAAAATTGCTCACAGTTTCTTATAGTTTTACCCACACCTTACACCAACCACGTTGACCTGACGATCAACTCATTTGTGTGTCCATTTATACTGCAGGGTGGACAGAAACACCGGTGATTCAACTACATCACCGGGAGAACAAACCGCCGATCTCTGGATCTCAAATCCGATGTGCCAACCATCACACCATGGCAGCATCCCGACATTATAAAATATTCTCGAGGCTGAATGAGGTTTTTCCTCTTGAGATCAGTTGCTCCGATGTACCTCTAATCTCTGCCTCTTCTTGAGTCACGTCCACCATCCTCTTACTTAGTTTCCACAACATCCTTCCTTCAATGGCCCCTTTACGTATTCCTACCCTGCACAAGCGGCATCTTCACAGCTCTTCGAATCGCATCTTCTCTGTCTCTTGCCATCACATTGCCAAACCACCTATCTGTCGCCTCCGTACAAAAGCAAGTGAGGTTTATCTGGGCAAATTATGATACATTGACAACGGAGCATTACGTGCAGTGTGTGTACGTACGTTGAACATCGTTCGCACTGCACGTGGCCAACCGTGCTCATCGGTGTGCGCGACGTACCGAGCGATTGCTTCCTTTTAGAGATCTTTAAGAAAACGAGACCGTGCCCGCGCTCTCTGCCGTCCTGTTGAGCAGCACTCGCCGCTGAGGCTCCAGCAAAGTCACCTACGGAGACGTCCTCCAGAGAGGCGACCTTTGGTACCGGCTTGAGTTTCATCCGAGCGAGCGATGCTCGTAACAGCCGAGACGTTTCCTCCTCCTCATTCATTGGTCTCAGCAAAAATCCACCATGGTAATCTGCAACCACATCGGCAAGTCATTTTCAAAGCAGCCACGGATATAATGGGTGTAACGATGCTGCGTCGATGCATTCATATTGATTCTTAAGCTGATGGACTGAATCACATATGTAAGAAAGTATGCGGTTTTTATTATTTTTTAGATGTATGCAATGGGTTGTTAATGTGATCCCTGCAGCTACTAGAGGCCCCTATAATCACCACAATGTAAAAAAATATATACATTTCATAGAATCGTGACAATTCATCAAACTGCCTAGGGAGTGAATTATTACAACCATAATCAGCATAAGCCTAAGATCCAATCAGCCTGAATGTGACCGGTCTCAACAGATTCCGGAAGCCAAGGAGGCTGTAGACTTAATTTTGCTTGGATGGGGTTAGCACCATCTATAGCAGGTCGTTATAAGCTGCTGTTAGCCTCCGTGTGGGCAGCAGAAGGTTGTGCAGCAAAAGTCATTGTTGGATTGTACTATGCCACCAGGTCTATGCTCCCCACCTTCGCCCCACCCACACCGACCGGCGTGGAGAATTGTGGTCAAACAACGCTGATGACCTGCGCGACGTAAGGAGACCCTCGTCCACCGGTGAACTGGCAAAGGGCTCATACTCTTAGGTTTTTCGGTAAAGTCACGTAGGAATAAAGAAATAAATAATAATATAAATAATTTATTCAATAGAAATAATAATTGAAATAAAATAATAAATCGCGACGTTTCGGAGGAAACACAAGCTTCCTTCATCAGGTGTAAAAAGGCACAGCAAAATAACTGTAGTGAGAGTTATTTGTGATGGGACATTATTATATAGTACTCTTAGTTCTTTCGGTAAAGTCACGTAGGTAAAAAAATGAAATTAAAATTAATACAAATAAAACAATAAAAATCACGACGTTTCGGAGGCAACACAAGTCTCCGTCAAATCTATAATTATTATATAGGGTAAGAGGAGGGGGGAGGAGCCACGTGACTTTACCGAAAAAACCTAAGAGTATGAATCCTTGCATGGCAAAGGGCTGTCTGTGTCCGTGTAATGAATGAGTGTGCAATGGTAGTTGTCCGAAAACGGCACCCGGTGATGGATGAATAAGAAAGACTGAACTCACCGGGAACAGGAGTGATCAACTGCTTTCTTGGCATCCCTTTTTCAGTAGCTCTAAGCACTGGACAGTAATCTGCAAACACATCCATACTCTTAGTTTTGTTCTTATTTCCCAAGTACAGTATGAAAGAATTTCGCAGTTCAAATACGTATATTATTCATAATTTTCGATTTAAAGCTTTCGTGACTGCAGGGATTCATCGTCTTGGTTCTTTCGGTAAAGTCACGTATGAGCATGTATTGATTATGAGCATGTATTGATTACGTTGAGTTCGGTAACTCCTTCTGCGTGTCCGTGTTCTCTACGACATTTTTTTCATCCCACACGCAGAACATAAATTGGACAAAAATCCCAAATCACGATCCCGCATAACACGAGTCTTGAGACTACTGCGTAGGTTTCCGTGGCTGCGCTTTATCGCGTTCCGATGTCTTTTAGCGCGAGCTGTACGGCATGATGTCCGACGTTTTGCTCCACGTGCTGGGAGCTTCTTCAGTAATGCAAATTAGTTCTTCAATTCGTCCCTGAATAAGCTCTCATCACCTCGAGCGAAATGTTGGACATCGTGCCGAACAACACGAGGTCCAACCGAAAACACTTCGGTGAGAGCTATGAGAATTGAGGTCGAGTAATCATTTCCTGGGTTAACAAAGAAACCACGAATGTCCTATTTCACAAGCTCCCGACCCCATTCACGTACTCGAGTGTTTATACGAGACACGGTTAAATCTTGATTTGAAGCTTTCGTGACTGCAGGAATCCATACTCTTTGGTTATTTCGGTAAAGTCACGTAGAAAAAGAATAATAGATCATGACGTTTCGATCTCCACACAAAGCAGTCGTCCTTTCCCACCTGAGGACGACCGCTTGTGGCGATCGAAACGTCGTGATCGATTATTATTTGTATACGTGACTTTACCGAAAGAACCAATGAGTATAGAGACACGGTTAACCCACTCCCTCGGCACTCGTGCCACTTCTACTGGGCAGGGTGGGACTGACTCGAAGCATTAACCCCTGGCGCCTTGCCTAGATGGTTGCATCGCAAGACCACGAGAGGTGACTACGGGAAGGCCATCATCCAGCAGTGGACAGATCATGGCTCATGATGAAGCACCCTGCTGGTCTCTCTGCAGCGTAACCCGACGTACCGTTGGATTCCTCGATGGGGCTTTGAGACACCACCTGCTCCTCCGCCTGTCGCGCGTGCTCTATCTGCTGCTGCCCTGCATCGTGGAAGCCTCGGGAGCCGAACCGAGACGAGGCACGCCGGCTTTTCCGCATCGCTGCTCACACACACGCGCACCCAGCACAAGCTCGTCACGCCGAGTACGATTTTGAAGAAGCTGTTCAGAAATCTCGGAAAGTGAATGCCATGGAGCGACTTCTGTAATCTCTTCGAGTGCCGAACGTGTGATTTTTTTTCGCGCGGGATTAAGTGATGGCAACCATTTGGAATGAATTACTTTTTGAAGGACGGATAACAAATCTTGGTCTCGGTGATGATGCTGTGAAGATAACAAAAAATATGTCACTTGTTACTTAAATATTATTTACAGAAATTTTAAAAAATGGTTACGTGACGTTGAGACATCGACCTTTGGATTACCTAAGCCCTGACAAAATGATTTCCAATTTCATTAACACAATACTCATTTAAATTTTTTTGTACATTGAACTCGACGAATACGAATAGAAAATCAGGTTATATACACATGCGTTCAATATTACATTTCCTCAAAAATGACATTAAAATCACAAAAAACGTGATACTACGTTGGCAGTGGTGCACATGCACAAACAACACAAACCCGACACGTTCCTCATTAACACGACCCCAAAAGGAGAACGCACATCACAATGTTTCGGGCAATGGACCTCCTTCGCATTAGAAGCGAACATAAAACTGCACGTGCAACCTTTGCAAGCGGTAACCCGCGACAAAATCCCAAAGTGAAAAACGTTGAAAAAAAGTAATCGAATCGACTCACCGTCAGCAGACCCGTGCGCGTGGGCCAGATCTCCGCCCTCGTGCGGGTAGCCGGGAGCCGCCGTCCCGGGGTACGGGGGCCGTGGCGTGGCGTGAGAGGGCGGTGGCCCGTCGCCCGCGGAGGGCCCTTCGTCGCTTGGGGCCGCCGCCGCAGCGGGGCCCGCGCGGCCTCCGCGAAACAGGCTCATGACGGGGCGCGACCTCGTCGTGCCCGGCTGCTGCTTCTTCACCCACGTCAGCTTCTTCTTGACTTTCTTCTTCACCTTCTCATCTGTCTCCTCCTCTAGGAAGAACAAAGAGCTCCATTCTTAATGCACAGCGTGGCCATGGCAGCGGCCTCACTCCCTCCCTCGGTGGCCTGCGGGGCTAAAAGCGGACGATGGGCCCGTGGTGGCCAAGACGTTGGTCCGCCAGGGCCACTGACTGAAATGTTGCGTCGTGTTTACGCGGAGAGAACACAAGTCACTCTTTGTCCTATTCTTAGGTGTTTTCGGTCCGTCTGTTGATTTTGGTGGTGCACGAAGCTTTTATGTGGGCAGTGCAATTGGGGCGATGTGTGGTGAGACTTTTCAGTCGCTGCAGAGCATCGCAGCATACACATCGCAGCGTTGTCAGGTCACCTTTGCTGAAACTAGGGAAATACGTGTTCTAGACAATGCAACTAGGGAAATACGTGTTCTAGGCAATGGATTAGCATCGCCAAATTTCCGGTGAGATTTTTTATCAAAAATTTTTAAATACTGTACTATAAAAGAGGTATTGCAGGTATGTTTAAAACTTCATACTATTGACAAGTAATTTAACTTCATATGCTTGATGTACATTAGCACTCGGTGAAGGGGTGGAGCAAAGGTGAGTGCACTGAGCTAGGAACGGGGCAACCTGAGTTTGATTCCCAACCACGGCTAACGTCAGTGGCGAGTGATCATTAAAGCGTCCTGGAACCCCAATTTTACCAACCTGCATTGACCAGTATGGGGAAATACTGGATGGTTCAACAACCCCATGGCTGACACCACGTGTGCTGGCCTTAATCCACCACTGGATTGACAAAATGACTAAAACATTATTTAAAACTATTAAATCAATGCAGGTGCTTCCAGTAGCCTGGTTTGGCTTCTACATCCAAATGCAAGTTACACATTGCATACCGCTGACGATTGATGCAACATTTTATTTGCACTGTGGTGGGACATAAGGACTGGACTAACACTTTCTATAAATTATGAGAAACTCATCGACAGAAAAGTGCGTGTACAGGCTCTTGGCATAAGAATAAAAATACATAGGGAGGTGAATTCTAAATAGCAGACAGCCCTCTTGTGACAATTTTGAATCTTGGTAGTTTACACCAATATTGTGGCCACATTGTTTCAGTGGTATAAACCGAGGCTGTGTGCTTTATATTTACGCAGAATGGTGATGTCACGTGACATGCAGAGACCAGGCTTATAGTCACAAGAGTGTATTTTGCTGTCCATAAATCACCTTTTGTCTGTGGTCTTACTCGGTTTCATTCAACTTGGCGTAAGTTTAACAAATCGCTCTTGACCCTTAAAGTCTCATCGCAATAAATCTGGCCCTGGTGAATCTCCACACTTCCTCCCATGCACGTCCATCTCTCCAAAGCAGTGTGGCCTTTGCTGCCTGGGGCATGAGAAGGCTGCGTTGCTACCATCGCTGCTGTCACCGTCAGCAAAAACTCATCCGTCTCCTGTGCTGTCATGCGGTAATCCCCGCTCCAGAATGTACTTTCAAAGTTAGATAATTTTCTTTCTTACAGCTCGTAAATAAAATTAAAATGGAATGGAAAGGCTAATATAAACCTGGCCAGGTATCCAAATAAAGAGATCATCATTTCAATCATCGGTCATGATCCAACTACTGCTGGATGAAGGCCTCACCAAGCTTTCGTAATCTCTCAGTGGTCTTGTGATGCAACCAAATCTAATTGTATATTTGTAGAGCGCCTTCACTCAAGGCGCATGACATAAGTTTAAAACAAAGGTGACAGAGTAGAACGATTTTGATGGCAGAGGCGTGCAAGGTTTGAGGAATGAGTGACCACGATAGTGGGTACTAGGGATAAAAAAAAGGATAGGGGAGAGACAGGAAAAAGTGGAGGGGTGAGGGAAGATGATGGGCGATAGAGAATAGGTAAGCTTCAATCCATCTAGCATCTGCACGCAAGCTGATTTCATCGCTCCATCTCTGTACTTCAGGTGGATGACAGCAGGTTGGCTTGGTGTTTGTAAACTAAACTTAAATAATAAAAAGTAACATACCAATGTGTCTCAAGAAGAAATAAAAAAATAGATAAGCGAATTGTTTGACCATACTTTACCGCCACAATGTAATGGGTTATTTTCTCATATTTGTATTGGTATCATCTCATATAACTAGGTTTGCTCATTGGAAAATCCATCATTACTATTTTATGCAATTTCTACACAAATAGTACCGTAAAGAAATAACGGCTTTATTAGCTTTGTATTTGTTCATGCTGTGGGGCAGTAATTATTTATTCCCTCCAAAAATTCGATCAACGCTTACAATTTAGCGTCACAATTTTGGTTGTACAAATAATTTTACATTTGCCACATAATCTACAGTATCGCTCACGATGCACGAATCGTGGGCACAAGAAATGATAATTGTAGGCTCGTGCAAACGATACGCGTATAATTCATCAAACGCATGGCAGCGGTTTCATAGTTAACCACCGCGCCCACCGATGTAAGGTGGCGGCGTCATCTCATCGGTGCTGTCGTGCAAAGGGGGCCCTCGTTGGGCCACGGAACCCCACGCCACCTGTGAGCGTCCTGGAGCTTTGTGACCTCCGGGCTGGCCGGCGCGGCCAGCTGAGGGCCGTGAGCAGGGCCGTCTTGGCAGAGAAGGTCGACTTGGGCTTGGGGGCCTCGTCCGTCCCGCCAGAAAACGTGCGCGGCCTCACCAGCAAGATGTCTCGGGACGTCTCGGACAGCCTCACCACGGCGTCTGGCACGCCGCAGTCAGGGGCCCAACGTTTGTGGCCGTCACAGTCACAGTCTTATATAGGTGCTCTACGACCGTATATCACCGTAGATGTGGTTCGATCTTAAATTTGGAGCTTTCGTGACTGCAGGAATTACTCTTTGGTTCTTTCGGTAAAGTCACGTATAAAGATAAAATAATAAATTAAATAATAGTATACGACCTTTCGATTGCAACACAATATCTGTCTGCTTATATGTCTGTCGATAGTTTTCTGGTTAGATTTTTGTTGCTATTTCATTTATACCTGATGATGATTGCTTGTGTTGCAATCGAAACGTCGTATGCTATTATTTAATTTCTTATTTTATCTTTATACATGACTTTACCGAAAGAACCAAAGAGTAACCGTAGATGTGCCCAATCTCGGCAGATCTTTGAAGCCAAGTAAACTTTTTTGCCTGGTTAGTACTTTGATGGAGTGGAAGATGGCAGCCATCACCGCCGCCCACTCTGTCAAGTGAGAAATCACGACGGATGCTGTCAACGCGGTGACAGACCGAACATCGATCGTCGAACTCCTGGTCTCCAGACCATCGACACAAGTACTTTGATGGGAGATTGCCTGCGAATTCTGGGTGCTGTTCTCTTGGATTACGAGGTGGCCGGGAGATGGAAGTAGAGCAATGGATCCATAAATCTATCTGTGTGGACCACTCGGTTTTCCCACCTCGTTTAACTGGGTTATCGATTCTCCTCCCGCAAGAAGCCAAACGCTCGCTAATGTAAGTGGCTAAAGTTCCCAAAAAAGCAGTAGCTTCTTGACAAAGTGTCTTGAGATTCTGTTAGGCTATCCTGGCCAAGGGCGATATTGGTATTGTAATATTACATCACTTTACAAAAGTTAGAAATGTTTAGTGTCTAGAGTGGGTGTTCAGCACGGTACTGTGTGATCATTTGGAAAACAGGATGCATCACATGACTTACCACAAAACATAATAAATATGTATATCCTGTCTCAAATCTAATTGTATGGTATATTGATTTTTATTATAACACTGCGGTAATGTTGTGCTATTCAGCTAAGCAGAGGTATTTTTTGTGATCTAAGCAGAGAGGCATGTTTATGTCACGTCTGGTCAGCACGACATTAGTTCAACAACATTCCTCGATGTAACATGTTCATTTATCCAGCGGGTTTGGCCAAGGAAATATTGAATACCATACTATGAGCTAAAATATTTCCATTATCTTTAATAGTTTGGTTGTAATTGCTTTCCCTCAATACAGCAGAATTACGCGAGAGACCTGAATCCTCATAGGGAATTTGTCTTACACCACCCGCTCACAATTGAGCTTATCATGGTGCACTAATAAAATGAAAGTGCCATTGCAAATAAGTCATCTTAAAACCCCATGAGATGAGAATTGTGAACATTTCCGGCAACTGTATTTTTTTTACCTAGGTTACAAGTCACATGTCGTGCAAGATTATCATCACTACCATCGGCGTTTGGTTCCTTCCGGGCAGAATGTGCACTTACTTGAATCTGTACAACAACAAAAACATTCTCAAGGAACTGCTCTGACAGACAGACAGACTCGTGGGCAGACGAGACGCTTCTTATAATGCAGATTGAAGTGATGTGTAAAAAGATTTCGATTTAAAGCTTTCGTGACTGCAGGGATTCATCTTCTTGGTTCTTTCGGTAGAGTCACGTAGAAGCGAAGTAATAAAATAATAAAAATAAAACATAATAAAATAATTCTCACGACGTTTCGGCCACAACGCAAGCAGCCGTCCTCAGGTCCTCAGGTGAAGAATGAAACACCACCAAGCTTGGAGCGTATATTTAAGCTGGGTTGGAGGGGGGAAGAAGAGTGCCTTGACAACATAATTTGCATATCAAGAGGAATTTTAGCATATTTATAAATCTGCTAAATATGCTAAAATTAATCTTGATATGCAAATTATTTTGTCAAGGCGCTCTTCTTCCCCCCTCCAACCCAGCTTAAATATACGCTCCAAGCTTGGTGGTGTTTCATTCTTCACCTGAGGACCTGAGGACGGCTGCTTGCGTTGTGGCCGAAACGTCGTGAGAATTATTTTATTAGGTATTATTTTTATTATTTTATTACTTCCCTTCTACGTGACTTTACCGAAAGAACCAAGAAGGTGTAAAAAGATGTGAAACTGGTTTGTCAGGCGAGGTTCACTTGGTTGAAGGTTTTTCACAAGAAGGAGGGTGGTAACTAATGTTGCCATAGAGATGATCTGTACCTTCTCCGTCGGACGACTGGGGCTCTCCGTCGGGGTGATGCTGGTCCAGGTCTGTCTGGACGAAGGCTTCTCTCCGCGTGCTCAGAGCTTCGCTGTCACTCGAGGCCAAGAGGTCATCGTGGAAAGATCCCGAGTGCTGCTCTGGGAGAGGAGGGGAGAGCTGGTAGCTCGGCAGGAGCCCATTGGCCAAGGATGAGCCCATAGTAGCAGCAGCAGCAGTGTTTGGTGGAGACACGTGGACATTGACTGCAACGATCAAGGAAGGGACACACACCAAACGACATTCATTCAGTTAATACTGGTAGGAACCTCCTGGTTACACCAGCCCACAGGGGATTATTGTGTCCGTCCGTCGTGCAGGGAGGGGCTGGGTGGGGAGGAAGGGGCTGGGTGGGGAGGGGCTGGGTGGGGAGGGGAGGGTGAGGAAGGGCTGGGTGGAGAGGGGCTGGGTGGGGGCTGGGTGGGGGGTGGGAGGGATGGGGCTGGGTGGGGAGGGGCTGGTCACCCCGTGGTGCCCTTATAAAACTCAACGTTTAACCTACTCACGCCGGCTTGTGCCCGCTCTCACAGTCGGGCATATTTGTGGAATACACCATGCCGCCGTTGACCCTGGCCATTGACCGAGCAACCCAACGTTCCTACCAGCTCCCTCCGCAGGAGGAATGTGTTACGAGTGTGGGTGGAGTAGTAGTGCAGTGGTGCATCGGTTAGCACCCTGCGCTATGAACCGTAGAGCGGAGTTTACTTTGCGGCCACGGCTAACATGAGTGACGAGCGATGTCTGAACCGGTCCCGGTCGCACCCCTTCAGCAAACCACACTGACAAGCGTGGTCAGGTATGGACAAGCAACCCCCATGATGGACACGGTGTGAGAAAGCCTTCGTCCACCGGCGGATTGACAAAGAGCTGTAAGTAATCATTGTGTGTTTTGCGGAATTACTTTCCAGTGTGAATGTATGATGAACTTCTTTCTCACCGTACGTAGCCAACCGTGCGAATCGGAGGTGTGGGGGAAGGACAACAAACTAGAGACAAAAAGCAGTTCTCAAGAAATGAGTTTACAATCTAAATGTTAAAGTACATACCTCCCAGTGGCTTGCTAATATCGGAAGGAAGAGTTCCAGATGGCCGCAGAAGTGCATCTGCGAGCGATGCAGTGACCGTCTTTGCTCGATGGCTAGCCAAAAGCCGCTGCTGCAAGGATGTCCAGAGTTTGCGCGATGGGTTTGGCTCCTTGACGAGTTCAACTCGGTATTGTGATTCATTTGTGAAAAGCACTTTGTGTATAATGATCGGGACCTTATAATGTATGGATGGATGTGTGAGTTGGAGGACACGTGGGAGCTTCTCGCTTGTAATAGATGGCACTCGGCCGCAGCTCCACCAGAGAAGATCTTCTCACTCCTCACGGCTGGCTGAGCCACGGTATATCTGCCCGGTGTGGTGTGTTTAGCGTCATCGCCAAAAGGAACTCACCCTTGTTGAGCCAGCTGTATTCTTCAACGAGCTCCTGGAATGCTGGGTAACGGCCAACCTCCTAGAGAATCCAACAGAGGAGTTGTAGAAAAATGTGTCCACTATGAACTGAACACAACACTCACGAAAGAGTTCCATTTGGCAATAAAGTTACACTTGTATGCAAAGGCAATGCCATGATTTGACTTCACCTGAGGCATGTATTACAAAGGATATTACTGGATTTCCTGTTCAACTTTGAATTCTAATATGAGCTATTCATTTAAAAAAATTTGGGACAAATTATAGGATGAACAACAATTATATGCAGACATTCTGCTAGTGAATAAGATACAAATGTATAAATATTTTTTTAAACCATTTAGAATCTTAAACTATGCTGCACAGGATACATTGCATTAATTTAAAGACACTTCTAATCAAGAATAAACTACCTTAACGAATTTGTAAATAACAGTAGTGGCCATTAAAGGGAATCAATTCTGACTCGAGAAAATGGTAAGATACACCACTTATACTTTTCAAACTTGATGGACACCCAGGGAATGATTCCATTAATGCAACATCTGACCTTGTTGATACAATTACCGAAGATTTGACACAGCCTGACAATGTAGTGCAGTGTGATTGTAGTGCAGTGTGATTAAACCAAAGGTTTGGCACATATACTGAGAAAGCAGTGTCATTGAACTGCAGTTACAGTACTGAACATTAGAGACCGAGCCCGATGATGCGGTATGATTCTAGAACAACGTAGAACTTTCTTTGCACCGTACATAGCCAACCGTGCTAATCGGAAATGTGCAAATAATTCATAAAATGTGTATAATAAAGTTTAATCTATAACAAAGTGTTGCATAGAGTGTAATATAACGTATGATATAACGTCATGTAACGTGTACTGTAAAATGAAGTTTCTCGCTAATTCGTAATTTTTATCTCCTCGACTGAGGCGATAAATGTCGCAAACGCACTTGATAACGATACATTTTTTCTTGATTTGAAGCTTTCGTGACTGCAGAAATCCATATTCAGGTTCTTTTGGTAAAGTCACGTAGATAGAAAATTAATAGATCACGACGTTTCGATCGCAACACAAGCAACCGTCATCAGGTGAGACAAACACCGCAGGTGTTCTGCTGCCTCAGCAGTTCCCCTGCTGTGTTTGTCTCACCTGATGACGATCGCTTGTGCTGCGATCGAAACGCCGTGATCTATTAATACATTTTGTTTTATTTTATTCTATTATGTTTATTTTATTTTATTATTTCCATTCTACGTGACTTTACCGAAAGAACCAAGAAGATGCTAAATTCCTCTTGATATGCAAATTCTTTTGTCAAGGCGCTCTTCCCCCTCCAACCCAGCTTAGATATACGCGGCCGAAACGTCGTGAGAATTATTTTATTATGTTTTATTTTTATTATTTTATTATTTCCATTCTACGTGACTTTACCGAAAGAACCAAGAAGATAAATACATTTTGTCTTTATTTTTAACACCGCTGCCGATGCAGTGCAGGGTGCGATGTCACGGCGGTGAGCGTGGAGCCGCTCACCCGGATGGTGAGGATCACGTGCTCGTGCTGCCTGAGCGTCTCGACCGCGTGCGCGTGTGACACTCCCTCAAAGTTGACGCCATTCGCAGCGACGATCTGATGACCGATCCTGATTCCGCTCCTCTCGGCCACTCCGCCGGTGTCCACCCTGGGCCGGCGAGGAGAGGAGGGGCGGGGAGGGGCGGTATTCGTTTAAACTAAAACTAAACTTGTATTTCACCAGGTAAGGCCTCGCTGCGCTGTAAAGCTCTTTTTCAGAAGCGACCTGGCCACAAATGATAGCTCAACGAAGTGGCTTGTCATGTGGGAATGTACAGCAGCCAAATTTTCTAAACGCGTGTTCCTAAATGTGGAGGGAAAAACCGTAGGACCCAGAGAAGATGCAAACTCCAAATATACAGGCGTCAGGGATGGAACCAAACCCACGACCTCCTGTATACCAGGCGAGGTAGTTAACATCTCGCCACCATGTGAGATGTTAGCAGCGTGATGATGCATCGATACACATCGATTCTTACGGGCCTCTGTGTGAACATGATACATCATCATTAACGAGTGTGTGCAAACTGAGAGGTTAAGAATTACTAAAATGCCGAACAAAACTGCAAATGAGACAGAGACAACGACAAATTAAACAAAGGAAATGGAAAAGGTTCAACTATGCCAGCCAAGACGGGGTCACTGCGTTACGCTTTTAGTTGCACTTCTGCAGCCGTCTGGAACGCTCTTCCGTCTGATATTAGGAAGCCACTGGAGCTATGCACTTTTAAAGCATCATCTCGATTGAACTGCGTGTTGCGTTCAGCTTATTCTCCTTCCCCTGACACCTCCGGTTAGCACGGTTGGTGACGCATGGCGCGAAAGAAGTTCAACACGTATAAAGATAAAATAATAAATTAAATAATAGCATACTACGACGTTTTGATTGCAACACAAGCAATCGTCATCAGGTTGCAATCGAAACGTCGTAGTATGCTATTATTTAATTGATTACTTTATCTTTATACGTGACTTTACCGAAAGAACCAAAGAATAATTCCAGCAGTCACGAAAGCTCCAAAATTAAGATAGAAGTTCAACATGCAAGCATCACAATTACACGGATCGCCCTAGCCGTGGCGACGCGTGTGTGTGTGTGTTTGTGCGCGCACCTTGACACGTAGATGCCGAGGCCGAATTCGCTGCCGCCGCGGATGTTGAGACCCAGACACGGGTCCTCTGGCGAGAGGCGGAGGTGCACTACACGGTCCCGAGGAGCCGCGCCGTTCACGAGGTGTCGGGCTGCGACATCGACCCTGCGCGGGCACGGCGACGCACAGGCTTCGTGTGTGCGCTGCAGTGGAGTGGCCATCGAGTGTGTGCAGGCGGTGCAACTGCGACGTGGCCCACTGGGTGTGTAGGAGCTCAGGTGCCGGGCTATGAAGAGGGAGCGCGCTTGGCTATGTACTGTGCGATAGAAGTTCTACATGCATACGTACGGGAGAAGAAGGCAGGCAGAGGGGGGTGGGGGGCTGTAGTTCATCCCTTGAAACAGGGCCCATACTGAAACTAGCTATGCCACTGTTTACTGTATTTTTGGAAAATGTTATATTATAAAGAGACAAAATACCTGAATCTGGCCATGTGCATTGCTGAAACCCTCTACATCATCAAATCCAAGCACAAGACTATCAATGTCCTCATCCGCGTGGCTGCCGCCTGATGAAGCTAGTTGTAATTACGTCGTACTCAGATTGTAAATGTTGTGGCTTGGCTCTCCAACACACCGGTCTGCTCTACTAGTGACGAATTGGCATGTATCGCTCTATTAGCACGGATGGCTACCTACGGTGCAAAATAATTTCAACAAAACGTACATATTAAGTGTCTTCAGTCACACTTATACCATCATATTTTCTCAATACCCTTTCTATGCAGTTGAACTTCACCCCTCATTCCAGGGTCTAATGAATACAATCACTCTGTAAACTCTTTGGATGGGCATGCCTGCCCAATTTAGATGACGTCTTTTGAGATGTCGCATTCAGAGGCTGTATTCACACCGGGCACAAATGTGGGGTGCGTCTTACTTTCTCATAACCGACAGATTCCTGTATTGTTGTTTATCATTGGGCCAGCTTTCTCGATTACTCGAAACTGGAGGTAATCGACTGCGTCAATTAAACTCACCCCGCCCTGGCGGAGCTCATGAGGACAGAGCTGACTCGGCAGGCTTTTCAAGTAAAAAAGAATTAACCCGTAATAAGTAAGTATAACCCGTAAAAACAAAGTTTTTCACTTTAAATCCTTTATATGCGTGGCGGCTAGAGTCCTCTCGTCCTCTGGCTTGAGATGGCTGCCACCTATGGGTCAGATGATTGTCTGCAGTATTAAACAATTGGTAATTAAATATTTAATTTGTTTTCCCTAAACAGTGTAAAATTTTGGAAAAAAATTTTCACGAACATTAATTGTCTCGCACAACGAGTCTGTGTGCAAAATGTCAGCTCGATTGGATCACGGGAAGTGGGTTACAAAACGACCGAAAGGTTTGCACGGTCGTAAGCAAGCAAGCAAGCACGCAAGCAAGCAAGCAAGCACGCAAGCAAGCAAGCAAGCGAACTTAATATAAAGGATTTAAAAACAAAGTTTTTAAATCCTTTATATGCGTGGCGGCTAGAGTCCTCTCGTCCTCTGGCTTGAGATGGCTGCCACCTATGAGTCAGATGATTGCCTGCCACCATTAAGCAATCGGTAATTAAATATAATTAATTTTTTCCTAAAAAGTGTAAAATTTTGGAAAAAAAATTTCACGAAAATAAATTGTCACGCACAACGAGTCTGTGTGCAAAATGTCAGCTCGATTGGATCACGGGAAGTGGGTTAAAAAACGACCGAAAGATTTGCACGGTCGTAAGCGCGCAAGCAAGCAAGCAAGTGAACTTAATATAAAGGATTTAAAAAAGCCTCGAAGTAAAGTAGTGGATCAATATTTGTCTTTGTGAACCCGATTCACAACAAGAGGGATTACAAACGTGTTAAAATGCGTTCTCAAAGTCCAGTTTGAAATGTAAGACTATGTTGATCATTTTTCTCTGAAATATTCTCGTACCAGTGGATGACTAAATCCACGTCCCCCCCCCCAATATTCAAATATGCTCAAAATGTCCCCCCCAATATATTGCTATAAAAATTGCTATGCTATGTAAATCAAAACAACACTTTGATAAACCTTGGCCACAATATCTGGACTTGTCTTCATATAAATCAATGCATAGATTTCTGTTTATATGATTGTGGTTATGGTTGTACTTTATTAATCCCTAATCTCTGCCATTACATACAATGAAACAAGAAATGGTAAAACAGTTAAAACAGAGCAATGTAATACAATACACTACAGTATTGGACATTATTGTAAAAAATAAAAGTCCATCCCATGTTCTTGGTTCTTTCGGTAAAATCACGTAGTAGGGAAATAATAAAATAATACAAATAAAACATAATAAATTGTATTTATTTTATTATTTCCCTTCTACGTGACTTTACCGAAAGAACCAAGAAGATGAATCCCTGCAGTCACGAAAGCTTTAAATCGAAATCCATCTCATGTGTTAGTGAATTTTTTAATGTTTTAAACAGGAAATGAGTTTTCAAATTTAGATATTTTTCTGGGTTGGGACCCCCAAACACCCTGGAAGATTTTGTCCCCCCCAATGTTGACTCCATGGCGACGGACTTGGTGCAATGGGTCTCGCTCACCACGAAATCTTCTCGCTCGAGCGCTTGAATCCCGGCACGCGGCCCACGCGGCGCACGGTGACGCGCAGGAGACCCGCGCCGCTCGTGATGACCGACACGGCCGCGGCCAAGGTCACGCTCTCCACGCTCACGCCGTTCACGGCCACGATCCGGTCTCCTACGCACATGCCCTGCTGGGCTGCGGGGGTAGGGGGGGGGGGCATATGGGACGCCCGCGGTGGTGGCGCAAAGGGCCGTCGTGGGTTGCAGGGGACGGGAGAGGGCACGGGGGGTGATGGGAACAGGGACGAGCAGTATAGGAGTGGGGTGGACGCATTGTGCGTGAATTATCAGAGGGGACACTGTGGTGGAGGAATATTGTGCGTTGGCGATTGGGGATCGCGTACGCAGTGTGTGTGTGGGGTGTGATGGGGGGGAAATTTCCAAAGTTAATTGTGCTGCAAGGACAGGACAGTTGATTGACTGAATGTGTGTGTCAAAGTTACGTCCAATTTTGACTTAAAACTTTCGTGACTGCAGGAATTCATATTATTTGGTTATTTCGGTAAAGTCACGCCGCTGCTGTCTCCACTCCTTTCAAGGAGGAATGGACGAGATCCACTCCGCTTCTGAGCAGACAATTGAGTGGATAACAGCTAAAGTTTAACAATAGGTTTCACCCTTTCTGGGAAAAAAACCTATTGTTATATTTTAATATTCGCAAGAAAGGTCTTATAAACAACATCTAAAGTTGCATCTTTAATCTGCTGTAAATTAGTCCATAGGAAATAAGAAGTTCTAAGAAGATGAATCGTGGTCAGTGGACAGGAATGTTAATGGTCACAGATGGGAATCGTCACCTACCCACCACCACTCATCACCACCCCATCCATCACCCCCCACCCATCACCCCCCCCCACCCATCACCCCCCACCCATCACCCCCCACCCATCACCCCCCACCCATCACCCCCCCACCCATCACCCCCCACCCATCAACCCCCACCCATCACCCCCCACCCATCACCCCCCACCCATCACCCCCCCACCCATCACCCCCCCCACCACCCCCACCCATCACCCCCCCACCCATCACCCCCCCACCCATCACCCCCCACCCATCAACCCCCACCCATCACCCCCCACCCATCACCCCCCCACCCATCACCCCCCCCCCACCACCCCCACCCATCACCCCCTCCCACCCATCACCCCCCCACCCATCACCCCCACCCATCACCCCCCACCACCCAATGCACGCACCTGCCTGGCTGCGGTCCTCCACGCGGCTCACGTAGATGCCCAGGCCGTGCTCGGCCCCACCGCGGACGCTGAATCCCATGGGGCCATGGCCGAGTCTGTTCAGAGTGAGGCTCAGCTCGGCCGCCTGAGCTTCGCCGCCTTCCTCCCCGCTCTCCGCTGCAGACACGGGGAGAAGGGGTGGTGGTGGTTGTGGTGTCGTGATGGACGAGGAACTGGAGCACAACTGGTCCATTCAGTCATTCAGTCGTTCATTCTGTCTGTTGTATTTGGTCGTCGTGTGTGTTGGTGTTGTACACAGGGGTGCAGCCTATGTGGGTGTAGTGAGTGGCTGGATCACCCGACAGGTTTAGCCATGGCTAAGGGAAAATGCCCACGACATTTGGGACAAATATCGTGGAATTATTATTCTACCTTCAACAACGCTGATAATGTTGTGATGACGGAATCTTCAAATGGACAGCGGGCACACGAATTACCGGGACACAGAGACAGTGGCATAGTACAGATATAAATCATTCATCGAACGGTCGACGGAGAATGTGTGTAACGATGGTGGAGTTCCCATCACGTTGCATCATTGCTGACTCTCGTTTGTCCTCCTCTGGGGTGCACAATGCATCGTGTGTTCACCCTATGAATATTCATAGCTCACCACTCGACCTTTCATGCTTGCGGAGCAGTACAATGTCGACGCTTTTGGGAGGCATCTGAATGAGCCAGTTGCTTCAAAAAGACAGAGGGAACCTCTTTAAAATGTTGTTCGTGGCAAGCGAACGTCAATGATGAATGATTTGTGTAGTGAAGGGGGTTCTTTGTCGGTGCTTTGTGAAGGATTCTTGGGTTACTATTGTCAATCAACCGCACACATAATATCAAATAAATGTGGAATTTAAGTATTAAATATTGACTTAAAGCTTTCTTGACTGCAGGAATTCATATTCTTTGGGTCTTTCGATAAAGCTACGTGGCTTTAGCGAAAGACCCAAAGGATATGGATTTAAATATTGATTGAAAGTATGGGACTGCGGTAATCGCGACTGTACGACCATATCCTGAATTCATCTCGGATGATAAGCGGAGTTGAGCCTGGCTAAGGCTTTGGGTTGGCCAGAAATTGCAGTACAGCAATTGATTATATTTGTAGTTTTGTTTTTTTTCCAAAATTATATCCCGATTCCATCGGCGTCAAGTCATGAGACAAATAATCTATTCGGATCTTTTTGGTCGTCTAAATGACCAAAACCTGGATTTGATACAAGACATCGATGATGACGCCGTGCTCTCTCTCTCTCGTCTTTTTCCACAACACGAGAAGTCATCCTCCCAACCAACGATCACCGCGGTTTCAAAGTTCTCCCTTCATCGGCCGCTCCCAACGCGAGATGTCTCTCGTGAGTTTGAAAAGTTTCATTTGGAACAAACTTCTACAAACGCTTATAATGATGTTGGATTCACTAGGATGCATCATACATTTGACGATGCCGACGATGCATCACACTGGTCGTACATTTGATGATGATGGTCTGTAGTCTTCATCACATACGCCTTATATTTTATGAAGGATTGAATGATGACGAAGCATCTTATATGCCCTACATTTTTACGATCATAATTACTACGATGACAAAACGGACAACAATGATAACAATACACCGCACGAACGCATTGGACACTTCTGACCTAAGCATTATCCAATGACCCCCTCACTTGGATCGCTGATTCCTATAACCCCCTGCGGTAAACTCAGACCCCTGTACCGTGACGCACCGTCACTGCGAGGCTCCGCGCTCTCGTTCCATCCCATCGAGTCCCAGGGGGGACCAGACGCCGCTGCCGTGGGGGGCTTTTGTCGCCGCCTCAGCTGCGTGAGCCCTCGGCTCCTGATCCTTGACCAGAGGGCCGTGGATTCTTCGGCAAAGAGCAGAGAGTCCCTCGGCGCTTGGCGAGGTCGTCCCGCGGGTCTCGTCGTCGTCGTGCGCGGCGCCGTCGCCTCCATGCGGCGGAGAGCGGCCCCCCTGCAAGGGCGGAGTCGTCTAGGGCAGCCCCATCGACGCCTCGTGTCATTCACTCGCGACGGGACGACGGTGGAAAGCGCGCTTCATCGTGCGCGGCTCTGTGTGTGTGTCTGTGTCACCACTGGGGTTCTGTGTGTGGGGCTCTGTGTACGTGTGTGTGGCTGCGAGTACGCGTGTTGGTCGGCGTGTCACAGCTCTGGGTCCGTGAGTGGCCGTGGCCGTGGCAACGAATGCACTGAACTTGGCCGTGTGTGTGTGTGGCTGTAGGTACGCGTGTGTGTGTGTTTGTGGCTGTAGGTACGCGTGTGTGTGTGGCTGTAGGTACGCGTGTGTGTGTGTGACTGTAGGTACGCGTGTGTGTGTGTGTGGCTGTAGGTACGCGTGTGTGCGGGTCTATGCGTCACGGCTGCGGCTCCAGTGAGTGGCCGTGGCCGTGCAAATGAACGCACTGAACGTGGCTCAGGCCGTAATGTTGGACGCGTCTCCTGCACGTCGCACACGTGGCAACGGGAGATGTCCCGTGCACCAGATCCAATTACAGCCGCGCATTTGCATAGCTCGGGGTAGCGCCGCGTGTCTGCCCCGAGCCGCGGGGGCGGCTCTCACCTGCCCGCGCGCTGCACGTGGCTTGGGCAGGTCGGTGCAATTCGCAGTCGATTTAGTTGTGCTTTTAAATCCCGTTACGTCGAATTTCCAGCATTGTTAGGAATGTTGTTGTTCTTCTTCGTGAATAAGTTGCGTTCGGGTCTGCGACGCACACGAGATACCCCGTAGTCGCTTTAACGTCGTCACGTCTCGTAACACTTCTAATGACACTTTAACGTCGTCACGTCTAAAAACAATTATACTGCAGTGTCCTTTACCCCGGAAAGCCGCCTCTCGAAAACATGTGTTTTCAGGACGGTCCTGCAATTGGGGACGTTTGTTCAGCTCCGTTGATGGAGTGTTTGGTTGCACGTGGGAGGAAACGGACTCCCGAAACTCCGCACACATGAATGTGGCCGCCACTTGGGAAAGGTCGTAAACCATCTGCGGCACTGCAAGCAGATTTGGCCGCGCGTCTAACATCGGAGCTACGAAACGACATCAACAAGAACACAACAACAACAACAACGCACGCGTTAGTGAGAGTAAAGCAGACAAAGGCGTCGTTTTCTCGAGGCAAATGTGAGCCAGAGTAATCAATAGTAATCGATTACTGGGTTACGCAAAGGTGTTACTGCGGGATATTTGTGAAAAGTTTATTCGGCCTTCGGTCTCCAAAAGGGTGGCGTGATGTTAACTACCTCGCCAGGTATGCAGGAGGTCGTGGGTTCGATCCCGACCCTGACGCCTGCTGCTGTATTTTTGGAGTTTGCGTGTTCTCCCCGTGGTTGTGTGCATTTTTCTCCGGGTCCTCTGGTTATTCCCTTCACATTTAGAAACATGTTGTACGTTTCCACATGATAAGCCGCTTCGTTGAGTTATCATTTGTGGCCAGGTCGCTTCTGAAAAAAATATAAAAAACCCATTAAGTTTAGTAGGTTAAGGTTACAATGGTATAAATGCATGCCGGCAATTGCTTGTCCACGCACCTGCTGAAATACCACCGCTAAGGAGTGCGAACTTGGATGGGCCACGGGACATTTGGTGATGCAGGGGTCCATCACAGCATCCCGAGCCACGGTCCCTGGTGTGAGCTGGAGGAAGAGGGGTGGGGGGGCGTCTTTAAATGCGGGTTCCTTACAATGGAGGCCGCGTTGGGCACCTTCAGAGAAAGGTCGGGGGGGGGGGGGGAGAAGCGGTGGTGGAGGGATGATGGGAAGGTATCACTCGGGTAAGTGGGAGGCGAAGGAGGTGGAACCCGAGCTTGTCTATGTATAGTTAAATGAAACAAAATATAGGTCAAGGTCTCCGCGCCGAGTCTTAATTCTCCACTGTAAATAAGCCGCCTGCTGGCTACGGAGACGAGGCTGGAGAGGTCTTTCCCGCGACCGACAGGTGATTTATGCGGGGTGGGGGGGGGGTGTAGAGTTACCGAGGCTCTCCGTATGTTGCGAAGCGGACAATTAGAACCGTGTGTGACATCGTTCGAAAGAGTTACAAACTCAACGCACTCGTTACTAACACTGCCTTCAAAGGAAATATATCAATTTGGCGACGTTTCGAGACAACGGTTTTTGAAATATGGATTATTTTTCCTTTTAAGCCACTTTTATTGACAAACGCGTTGAGAGTCAGTGCGTAATGTCGTTCGCGCTTGTGCGCGCGCCACTGCCCAACGCAGAGCATGGAAACGAATGTGCTTAAAACCCAAGACCGGCTTCAGTCAAATAGTCTTTGCGTCCATGGCCTCGCCTCGCCCCGGCGATTCCCATCGCCCGTAACGACGGTGACAAACCCGTGATCCTCGTGCCTCTGGAGGCAGAGAGAGAGAGGGACTCTCGGGGGGAGGGGGTTGTATTTCAGCCGCTGTCAGGGCCGTCAGCGAGCCGCTTGGGTTACTTGCCGAGCTGTGTCCACGGCCAGCTGATGCACGCGCGAGACCAGGAGGGGGAATCCGCGTGTTCCCTTGCGCGTGGATTGACAAGTTCTCCCGGATTGTAAGACGCACGGGGAGTGAAGCGTACCCCGAACCTGCGAGCGGCGTCAATGAAGTCTCAACGCTGGTGTCTCTCACACTCACACACGTGTATGTACCTACCGGATTATAAGACGCACGCCCAGCGTTTGCTGTGAAATACAGGTGCAAAAAAAACTGTTCTTTAGAAGCCTTTTCTGTGTTTAGTTTGCCCTTACCCACACCTCCAATTCGCACGGTTGGATACGTACGGTGCTAAAGAAGTTCAACATATATACATGTGCGTATTATAATCCGGAAAAATACGATATATGCGTGTATTATATTAAGTTTTGTTGCGAGTGATGTTGCCAACGATCGGCGACGATGCACGTCATTGCAAAGCCCTCCAAAGCGGTGGCCACCTGTACGAATCTGCGAGCTCACGGGCGAGGAGGAGGAGAGACTAGGCGGCAAGCGAGGCAAAGCCAGCCCCCCCCCCCCACAGCGGGGACATGGGCGAGCCGCGAGGTGCGGGCGGGTCACGTGGACTCGCTCCTGGGTGCGTCTCAGCACTGCGCTCATGGGGAGCCACTTGGGGCCTCATCATCCAGGACATCTGTAGGGTGGGGACTGCCCAACACTCGCTTCGTCGCACATGGACACAGATACACGTGTTGTATGCATGTTGAACGCCTTCCGCAGCGTACGTAGCCAGCCGTGCTCATCGGCGGTGTTATTGCATTCCCACGTTATAATACTGTAATATGCCGTTTAATGCTGGTTGAAAGGGCCACAACATTCACGGGTGTAAACTCGCTCCAGCTGCTGCGCAGTGATCAGAGACGGTGTTTAATTCTGCAGCCACGTGAACCTGCCCCAATAAACACGTTCCTTCGGAGTGGGCAGGTAGGAACTTGATTGGACAGCGCATTCGTGCACGACAGACAGACAATCCCTGGTGGGCAGTGTGGAATCTGTTGTTCCTACCTGTAACATTGAATCTACCTCCCCATGCGTCCAGTAGTTACACGTGGACTCCGATCATTGTTAGTCTGTTGGCGTTGTTTCTCTATCATGTTTCGGTCCGTCACTCCGTCTAAACCCATCAATTATGGTTTAAAGGCCTCAATTTGCTCTGAACCACTTTCACCCCATAAGTTTTTAAATGCAGTTGACCAATAAAAGAGCACCCCTCGTACGAGTTTCACAGCAATCTCGTTCTTCTGGATGGATTTCTACGCGACTTAGAACCGCTTACGGCATGGAAATGTTGACAAAACGGTTTCAAGTAATTTGCAGGATGTTTCAATGATGGGTTCCAATGAACGAGCCTCCCCCCCTCCCCGGTCAATATTTTATAGCTTTGAAAAGTTGTCTTATTTCTCCCACTCGTGCCACATCGCTTTGGCCGCGTCCCTTTTATTTCAGGAATGTTCATTTCCAGGCGTCTGCTTCGTAGTCCATCCTTCTGCAGGTCCTCCATCTCTAACGTTGGGCTCTCCATCCTCACCCGGCATTGCACAACATACGTTAGGCACCTTTGTCCGTTATCCCGTCCAACATGTTCTTGTCTGTATTGTATCGATACCAGCCCATCAGCAATAACCGTCCCAGGTACACATACTTCGCTGCGTTTGGTAGTTGCATACCCCAATAGATATTGTTTAGCAAACGTGTTCGAAATCATTTTATGCGCCACAGTATAATTTGAAATATAAAATTGTATCGTCAAAATTCCGAGGGGGTGGGGGAGGTTAGTCACCGCATTAGGCCAAGGGCCTAACCAGCTGCGTGTGGAACTTTCCGCACACAGTACATCGCCAACCGCGCTAACCGAGGGAGGTGCGCGATTTCATTCCAAACGCGACTTTGGAATCTGAGAAATTCCAAGCACGCCTCCGTCATTTTGGCATCCACCAGTTGACCAAATGTGCACTGCACCGGTCACCACATTGCCTCGGAAATTTACGTCTAAAGCTCCTGTAAAATGTGCACCCCTTGCACAACCATTTCTGGGGACGAACGGTGACGGCACACAAAAAACATTTCACACCTGAGCAGATGCCACTACTTTTATTTCAAGGATTGCGTTGTTGCACAACCGGCGTCACACTCAACGGACGTCACTCACTTCCACCGGATGGCTGCTCGGACCGTCTGGGGGGGGGGGGGGGTCGAGCAGTCCCAGTAAATCCGTCACCTTTGACACCAAACTTGAGAATCGCAAGTCTTCAACCTAACGTCAAAATGGACTTGTTCAACCGAAGTAAAACGTAACGCCACCAAAATGTGCAAGAAGCGAGCGAGTCGCGTTGCTATTGAACGCCGGTTTTGGCTCGCGGGGTTCTCAAGAGCCGAGGGCAACGAACTCGGGCGAGGCTTTGTCAACGACGCGCTGCTGCTGGCGGCGGCAGAAGACGGCGATGACCAGGGTGATGATCAGGGCCACAAGCAGGCTCACTCCGGACAAGCGTCAGCACCATCACCTTGATCGCGTCATCACCTGTGCAGTGGGACAGACGCGTTGAGAGAGAGAGAGAGCGCGCAGATAGGTGGCCGATTAGGGCAAGCATTTTTAAACCACCTTCAGATCTGCCCGCAAAACAGCATGGTTCTTATTTCGCAATGGAAGCTGCGTTTCAATGTGTCTGTACAAGATCGGTTAAATGAGTAAAGAGTAAACGCCTGAAATCTTGACTTAAAGCTTTCGTGTCTGTAGAAATTTATATTATTTAGGTCGTTCGGTAAAGTCATTAACATTGGGTGCTGACATTTGGGCTACGCCCATTTCAAACCTTTATAAACAAACAGTCGTCTTGAGAATATAACCCTCCTTTTCCTGATGATGACCACTTGTGTTGCGATCGAAACGTCGTAGTTTTGTTATTTTCTTTGAACCTTCGTGCCTTTACCGAAAGACCCAAAGAATATAAATAGTAAACGCCTGCTTTAAAAAGGGTCAATCCCACTCCAAGACCAGGACATTTAAGTCTCATTAAAAATTGGCCATTATAACACATTCTGCCATATCACACCACTACTGCTCCTTATTGGAAATGCTCTCAAGCTGTTGCTTATTTAGTCGTCATAAAATGTTCATGCCGTTGACAAATCACCCCTGCCACACCAACGCATTTAACATTCACAAATGCAAGGTATAGAAAGGGCACACCAAGAGGTTATAGGTGGCCAGGTTGCCCAGCTGACTGGCGCTAGACATGCATTGCATAGTCTCAGGAACACTGGGATATGGACCGTTAACTAATAACAAAAGTGTTGCATTTACAGATAAATGGGTTTTCTACGTTTAGTTGTGGGTAAACACCAACCTTTCGTACTTTTGAGATTTTCTATACCAAAGGATTTTTGCAATCGATCTCACATCTTGATTTAAGAGATGTTTTGCCACAATGGATTCTTCACGTGGTTATTACAAATGCATTATTATGGATAAACAACCAACTATGCTTGCTTACCGTCCATAACGTCACTCGATAGAAATCCCCACTCTTCATTCTCCTCGGGTACCAAAATTATGACAGGTCCTTGTACAGTCACGAGGGACAAAGATTCCGCATCAGCAGGCGTTCCTGTAGGAGAAAACGCACCGGCGAGGAGCCATCCGTCATTTAGGCAAACAATGTTCACGAACAGTAAAAACCCACCCCCCCCCCCCCCTGAAGGGATCTCTAAAGTAGTTCTGCAATACCCACTTTATGGCCATGAACCCACATGGGGTTTTACTGCCAAGAAAGCTCCGAATAGACTCGTTACAGACAGATGTCATGGAGGCAGTCTTGATATTTGGGGTAAAATTGGTTAAAAGCAAAACAACCCAAAAACACAGCTCTCATATGAACCACTTCTAAAGGTCAAGAGCATCAATACGTGAATACAATGACGCCGCCAATGCTACTTGCGATTGATCATAGCTTTGTTGGGCTCTGCATATATATACACACACTAAATTTCACAGCGCGTTAGCCTGGGACGCGTAACGCATCCAATTTTGCTTAGATATGCGCCACTTAAAAAAACCCGAGAACCGCCGAGCAGGCGAAAACCGGGCAGGAACGCAAAGGACCTTACGCTTAAATCTCGAGACGGGGCATGGCGGCACGCAGGAGACGTCGTCCCCTTGGCACACGTAGGCGCTGCAGTGGAAGTAGAGCTGAGAAGACAAACCTGGCTGTTTAATTTGTTTTTTACACAAATACTGATTACTTATTTACATTACTTTGTCAATCCACCTATTGGATGAAGGGCCACTTCAGTCAAGTCATTGGGGTTGGACCAAACTTAATTTGGAGCTTTCGTGACTGCAGGAATTACTCTTTGGGTCTTTCGGTAAAGTCACGTATAAAGATAAAATAATAAATTAAATACTAGTTGGACCATACTGCCACCAAAACCTCAGGTCATTGGGTTTGTAGTAGTGTGCAAATCCCTGTGCTGCAATTTCACACGTTAAATTGTATTACATTTAAAGGTCAGTGGACAGGCAGTGTTTGGACACGTTAAGACCACACGGAAACCCAAAAAAGCGTCAATTACTCTGCAGAGAATGCGTTCCAGGCTCACACATTTTAAGCGGTTCATAAGAATACTCTAAGCGATTAATGTGCATGTTGCTATAGCATTCAAGGAGGCACACTTTAACAACCATCCAGAGTTTGTGCTAGAGCAGTGCACCGATTAAGACTCCAGAGATTCATCTTGCGTAGCAAGAAAATGTTAACTCACTCCTCGCCTGTACGCATGAGGGTCATGGGTTCACTTTGCCATCCTCACGGCTGTATGTTTGGAGTTTTCATGTTATCCCCGTGGCAGCGTGGATTTTTCTTTAGGTCCTCCAGTTTCCTCCCTCTCCAATTACAAACATACATTGAGTATTTGTCTACTATAAATGTGCACGTGATAAGCCACTTCGTTGAGCCATCATTTCGCAGCCAGGTCACTGAACCATACCTGATAATTTTAAAAAAGTAGGCTTTTACCCTTTAAACTGGTACAAAACTGACACCTTTATACAAGGCATCATGTTTGCAATAACCACAACACAAGTAGTCAAAATGCAAACAAAAAGAAACAACTCTGACGATGACAATGATATGCACTGTCCTTGAAGTTGATTGGTCCACACCCGAGACAGCTTTCTTTAGAGCCTAGTCTCCATTGGTGTTGGACCAGATGTACCAGTTTAAAAGGTAAAAACCTACTATATTTTGGCACTGGTAAAGGAGGTCTCATAGTGTAAATGCTTACCCCGAGCTCGCAATACTCTGATAGTGCACTGTTTGAGTTGTACGCCTTTTGGTGTCATCTGGTCCAACGCCAATGGAGACTAGGCTCTAAAGAAAGCTGTCTCGGGTGTGGACCAATCCACTTCAAGGACAGTGCATATCATTATCATCAGAGTTGTTTCTTTTTGTTTGCATTTTGACTACTTGTGTTGTGGTTATTGAAAACATGATGCCTTGAATAAAGGTGTCAGTTTTGTACCAGTTTAAAGGGTAAAAACCTACTACTATATTTTGCCACTGGTAAAGGAGGTCTCAGTGAATTTAAAAATAGTTAATCGATTTGGTAAACCGCCATGTCGGCAATGCAGAATAGGTATCGGCGAGGAATTAATCCTCGATTTCGGCGCGCTTCACCTGTCCGTTGGGCAAGACGGTGCCGCCCGGCGTCATGAAAACGAACGTCTTCACCTCGAAGCGCTTGTAGTGCGTGCCAAGGGGCGTGCTGGGGAACTCCGCCATGGGGTGCAGCACCGTCAGGTAGTTGTCATCTGTGAAAGGGCAGCTGCACAGATTGTTTTTCAGAATTAGGTGAAAACCAGCCGTATCGTAATACTTCACTGAAGGAGTTAAATACTAGTGCATAGTCATGGCATTATCCCCCAGCCTGTGGCTCTTCTCTCACCTCCACCGTGGCTCTTAAGTTGACTCATTATCTCAGCACTAGACTTCTATGCTACCCTTAATGTTGACTGCCCTCCATTTCTATCGTCAATGCTCTTCTGAAGGCTCAAATTACCCCACATCCTCTCAACCCCCCTTGCGTCTATTTTTATGTTCAATTCTCTGCGAGTGTCGTTTCCTTGCCATCCTGCAGCACAAAGTGATGACGCCACCTTCAGATTTCATCTCGGAAAAACGTATAAACCACCTTCCCGTCCCACGTTGCACTTTAGTATTAGCTCGATTGTTAAAAAGCACTAGCTTCCGAAATTGCCATCCAAGTTTCACATACAAACACGTTTACATTAAGGTTGAAGCATCAGTGAATCTTCACTGCTAATTAGTAAAAAAAAAACACTTGTATTTCACCACACGTGCACAACTTTGTACGTAATTAGTGCGCTGCCTCACTGGTTGTCCAGCACCCTCCACTGGACGCTGTTGAGGGGGTCAGGTGTCGGTGTGGCCCAGCAGTCCTGCAGCACCAGCACGAGGCTCGGGTCCGGGTGGTCCAGGAGCCGAACCTCCAGGAAGATGGGGTCCCTCAAGAACTTCACGACCGGGAACTGCGAGTAGTAGTCCAGGTAATCTCCGTCTGGGAGAGTGACACGGTCACTTTTATGAATGGTTACAAGCGTTACAAAGCAGACCCGGGTGGCGACTCCTTGCTCTAGTTATGCGAAGCGACACATTCCACCGTGGGTGATGTGCACAGTTGATTAGTTGATGTGTAGTTTATTAGTCATAGCCCACGCGGAGCATTACTGAAAATTGACACGTAGATCAGTGGAATCACACAATTGTGTCACTACACTTTAATTAAGAGGAATGGTATAGCGTTAGCCATACAGCAGTTCCAAACTAAATGATGCACGAGTGGTTCTATCCTACCTAGTGGAGCTGCCTAAAAACTAAATTATCGGTGGGTCAGTCAGTCGGTGCACCGTTCGTACCAGTGGCCACTCGAATTTCTATGAATAGGGGTCCCTCGGCAGTGGCCGGTGGCTGAGGGGGGAGGGTGTTGACCTCCACGCCGATCATCTCCACGTCGCTCATCCCTGGGAATCTGCACTGCAGAAGCAGCCTGTAAGGGAGGAGGAGAGAGAGAGAGATGCCGTAACGTACTCTCGGTCAAATTTTACAGGTCAAACGGAGGGGAGAAAATCATCAGATTGCACATTGGACTGGTGGGCCGTGCAGCCACTCGTCTTGTCGGGAGGTTACTCGTAAGTTGAAGATCTCGTGATGGAAACATCCCCATCGGTGCAGAGCTCTCTGTCAGCGATCAGCATCACTTCGTAGATGAGATCCTCGCCGTCCCACTGCAGCAGGACAGGACAAGGGTCAACATGAAGCTAATATCTGGTAACATACAGAATACGTATTTCTAGACGCTTGAACACATTGTTCATCTTTCTGTATTTTTTTCGGTCGTTATTTTTCAATAATTTAAATGGTTCCAAGTTGTTCGACGAGCATTATTATGCAAGGAATAAAATGCCTATTGGCAGGTCTTAATAGCAGCGCATCAGAGTTGGAAAGGCTGCAAGATGAGGTCAAATGCTTAACGTCTTATGGTCAAACAAACCAATTTTCCAAAGAAACTGAATTAGGTTTTGTATAACACAATTCAGTAATTCCTGGAAAATACTTCAATATTATCACCAATTTCAAATGGTCCGTTTAATACATTATGTACCTAGTTCTACGTATTAGTCCATTTACACAACCGTCACCAACTCAAAAAAAAGTTCTCTTGCAGCTAGGCAAGTCGAGTAGCCCAGCCTGTAAGGAGCTTGAATCGTCAAGACTTGAGGTTTAAACTGATGGTTTCCAGAATCACTGGTACACACGTTTTAAAACAATGTTACCCGGAAATGCCTGCAAGTCCACTTTTTTAAAGTTGTGTTATACAACCAGTCACGCAACTCAGTTGTCAATGCAAGACTAAGATTGTTCTTTAAAGGATAACCGATGCCAAATCATGCGTGCACCTTTGGAGTAGTGATGTCATGGATACAAGCCATGAACAACCCATGCCGAACACTTCCAGTGCATCATCCCTCCCCCTCACCAACGATGGTCAAACTTTAATTAAGTTTTCGATCTACTCAACCTACCGCGACAAAAGCAGACTTCTTGTTCAATGAGATGTGCGAGTCAAGCTTATTTTCCCTCCCCATTAAGAGCAAGGGGGCTTTCCTGAGACTGTAGAACTTCTTTCACACCGTATATAGCCAATCGAGGTGCGAGGGAGGAAGAAACTAAAAAACACAAAAATTAGTTCTACAGAAGTTAGTTTGAACCAACTCCGCGCACTTTGGGGGAGGGCATCAGCCTTGCCAAGTCGCACAACAAACCTGCGAGCTCGTCCCACAGGAGGCCAATGGAAAGTCGAAGACGACATATTCGTCCGACGCCACCACGGGACGGCACTCGGGCAGATCGAGGCCGAGGCGGAGGGTGCTCAGGTTGAGGGCCGGCGAGGTGATGTCTCGTGGCACCGGGATGACAAAGCGGCCGTCTGTGGTGCAAACTGAGCCACGATGCCGCACGCGTCCGTCGTTACCGGTTTGTGGAGGAAATTTGGACCTGGGATTATTAGTTTACAAAAAAATTGAATAGACCCAATTGTTTGTGGTAGGGCAGGGAGCACACACACACCTGGGTTGCCGTAGAAGCACGTCTGCTGGGCTGCATCGTAGCAGCAGCGCCGCTCCCTACAAGATGCATCGCTCGGAATTTGAGAGCCAGATCCACACGGGATGCGGCGAGTGGAGGCGTCGCAGGACGGCGACGGAGGCGCTTGCCACGGAAGTTCTGCAGAGGACAGTCCGGTCAAGCGTTGCGTTCCATCCTTCAATTAGCACCGTTGGCTATTTGCTGCATTAAAGTTCAACATGCATACACGGACAAGTACAGGGCCCAGTGGCGTTTTGCTAAAAAGGCCTAATAATAGTTCAGCATTTCTACGTCCATTGACAAGCAGTGACCGTATGGTCAAGTAGCCCCCCCCCCCCCTTCACCAAGTGGTGGCATGGAGGGCCTCCTTACAATACTGGAAATGTGAAAAGAGCTTCATAGCTCATCGGATTTATACAGGATAAAACACTTTTTATTCAGTATTGGATTGACAAAAAGCTAGAAACTGATTGATGTACAACAGATGTGAATAAATTGGCTTCTAGAATTGAGCAAGGTTTTTATAACTTTGTAGTCAAACATTATGCACTGGATGATATAAGAGTGTTTTGTTAGACTTTTGATTTTAAATGTATTTTCTTTTACCAAACTAGTAAAATTCGCATGGAGCTCGTGAACACATCAACCACTTCCGAAAGAGACCAAAGCCCGGAATAACCTCACCAACCAAAAAAGCCAAAAAGAGCAAGCACAAACACCACACTTATACCTTGGTTCTGACCACCAATCGACCTCAAGCTAATGGGGCACTCGATGGCGAATCTCAAGGCGCGTTGCTTCTGCCCACGCACCACCTTCTCCACCTCCACGTTCATGACTCGTTTGTCATTCTGCAGGAAGAGATCGGAACGGATGGGGTGGGCGAGGTGGGGGGGGGGGGGGGTCACGTCATCACGGCAACACTGGCAAGCTCGCCACGATAGAAGAGCAGCTTCGTTATCCCCCAAAGCCACGACCTCCACTTTCTCGAAGCTGAAATCAATCACTCAGAACCTCAACGATACTCACGTCGATGTAGACGCGGCATCCCCCGTTTGGCGCTACGAAATGCAGACCGTTGGCATCTCTGGTGATCTCGTATCCGCAGCCCTCTGCTTTCAGAGTCTCGGCATACTCGGCCGTGTTTTGTTTATCTGGGGAAAACACGATTCACGATAATAAAAAGATCACAATGTTCACCCCCCTTTGTTTAGTTCTCTGCTGGACGAAGGCCTCTCCACTCCGTATCATGGAGGTTCGTTTTGCGATACAAATTACAGCACAAGTTCTGATATACGAATTCCACATTCGATGTTTATCCTGGGATGGAAACCAAATTCTGGTCCCGAGGTTCAGAGCGCAGTGCGTTCAGCACAGCCCACCCACTCTGCCTAAGGTCCGAAGCGGCACAAATGGTGTAAAAACGGATCTACCTAAATGTCGGCCTCCTATTCTATTTTCTGTATTTATATATGGCTAGTTTTTAAACGGCAAAAAATGTACCCGTAAAAACAAAGTTTTTCACTATAAATCCTTGATATGCGTGGCGGCTAGAGTCCTCTCGTCCTCTGGCTTGAGATGGCTGCCACCTATGGGTCAGATGATTGCCTGCCACCATTAAGCAATTGGTAATTAAATATTATTTTTTTTCTTAAGTGTAAAATTTTGGAAAAAAATTCACGAAAATAAATTGTCACGCACGAGTCTGTGTGCAAAATGTCAGCTCGATTGGATCACGGAAATTGGGTTAAACGACCGAAAGATTTGCACGGTCGTAAGCAAGCAAGCAAACTTAATATAGAGGATTTAAAAATTGTAATGAGACCCTTAACCCGATAAAAAACGTAAACAGCGGAAGCTCCAACACGTCTTTTTGGGTTGTGACCGCGTCTATGTCAGAGTTCACCTCCACTTGGCTGGAGAATTTGGGTGCCTGAAAAAAAATAGCAGCTACCACCACCAGCACGAAGCAAAAAGCGTCGGCTATCATCTTGGAGAACCCACGAACAAGCACATCAGGTTGGTTGTGCATCATTTGAGCATATTGGCACAAAACAGAGGCAAGTCAAAACAAATAACGAAATGTGCAATGGACACGTACGGGATATCTGCGCGCGGGGGGGGGGGGGGGGGTCATCGATGCAGGGATTTTCTTCCAACGATTAACAACAACGCAGGACTCGTACCCAGGATTCGAATGTAGTAGACGGTGGAGCGCGCGTCCTCCTTCACAAGGAAGCCCACGGTCGACGGCTGGCATTGTGTGTAGAGATCTGCACGGGGAGGGCCGGGGTGGGTGCGGGGACCCAGCGACACGCGCGTAGAGACATCGTTTGAAGTGCCAATGCGTAAGAGTTGTTTTGCGTGCACGCACGTTTCATTTCAACTTTGAGCATCACCTAACGACCACGAAAGAGCAGAGTTAAGATACTGGGTTTTCTCTCTTTCATCGAGATGAGAGCAGAATCGTTTCAGCTCACTGGCCTTTGTCAGGAAAGCTACCGTTGCCCGAAATCGCGGCTAGATACGTTTTTAAAGTAAAGCTCATGGAAATATTTCAGGTTCATTAGAAAGCAATGCGATGCGTTTTGGTTTACCTTGCCAAATCATTTAAATTGCGTTACCCGTATTAAGTCACGAGTCAAACGACCAGCGGAGAGAGATATCACATAACTCGGGGCGCTATATTAAGTCCCATACACTAGGGAGGCAGTTTCGCTCACTAAACGCTGAAGAAATCTCCACGTGACAAACTCTCGTCTAAATTGGAATTCATCATATCAAGTCAAATCCAAAAATTAGTAGGGTGGCTTCTCTATGCGGTCAACGGTGACCGGGCCGAGGCCACCAAAGGCACCACGCCGTTCAAAAGCCAGAACGGAACCCCGGGCACCCAGACCCCGCTCCCCTCCCTCAACGAGCCATGCGGCCCCGTCTGCGCGGATGGTAATTTTTACAAAGAACGAGCACATGTGGTGGGGGTGGGGGGTGTGTTTACGCACTGCTCGGAGTGTCGTGCGACTCGATGGCGTTCTTCCACGCACGATCAATCTGGGCCAGCGCCGAGTGAGCCACCAAGACGCTAAGGCGGGAGGGCAAGCACAGAGACGGCATGACACAGCGAGTCAAGTTCGGCATAGGGTCCTAGCGACAGGTCGACAGCAGCGCCTTGGCACCAACGTGGAGGCACTGGAAGGACACCGAAACGTAAACAAAAAGAAGAACCCTGGTCGCAAATACAGAAACATAATTTAAAATATCCTGGGAGAAATCCGACGAGCCATGAAGCGCGTTTCACACAGATGTCGAGGCGCACGCATGGTGGCAAGGGCTACACGTGGCTGCCTGTTTTGCCTTCGTTAAAGTCGGTCAATTGGTTTTTTACCCTTTTTTCTGGCAACAAAACCGACACCTTTTTTTACAAAGCGTCATGTTTGCATAAACCACAATACCTGCAGTCGTAATGCAAACAAAAAACACAACTCTGGTAATATATGCACGGTCCTTGAAGTTGACGAGGTTCCAATTGTGTTCGTTAAAGTCGTTTAATCACAACCGGGCGGGGTGTGCGGGTGTCACAGCAAGGCGTGATTACGCGCGTTACCTGAACACTAAAAACCGAAGCGCCGCAGATTCTCGAGACAAAGGTGCCATGGCCACACGACCATTCCTCCAGCGAAAGGAGCCTCCCACAACCGCGTCTCTTAAATAAACGGCGTGGGTTCGGCGCCGCGCCTTGTCGCCGCCCAGTCGTGGTGGGGAACGCGCGTGGCCTCACGTGGCGTAATGAGCCACGCCGCACACGCTACTCGTGCAATCACGCGACAACTATCGTCACGAGCACGTGCGACTAATTCCCATCCCACAATTAGAAGCAATTGAAAGCAACGTTGTGTTTGCTCAGCCTGCAAGAGATGCGTGTGGATGAGCGATGATAAAACGACGGCATGCAAGGATGTAATACAAAATGAAATGCGCATTTGATAATGAAACGGTCGTTTGTCAATAACAGTCATAGAGGGGCTGTGTGGGAATTCCTCACTCATCAAGTTGGCCAGAGTGGGTTCGTTTAGGTGTATATGAGGCGAGGCTGAACTGCTTGGGATATCACTCGCCACTGATGTTAGCCGTGAAATCGAACTCAGCTGGCCGGGTTCATAATGGCGCAGTTTGCTAATCACTCCCACCGCTCCTCCAGACCCTATAGTTTGTTTATTTTTCTCTCTCTGATCTCACGAAGCTACAACTCCAAGTGCGTAGTTCATGACCCAGAGCAGGAACTGGTACCACCTAAGGTACCAACACTTAAGTCATACGGCTAATAAGAGGGGCCCACTCATTAGAAACTATCCATAATAGAGGGTTTTTGGGTGAGATCGCGTAAATAGAAAGGTGTCGTTAAAACCGCCACCACCCGACGCAGCCAATTAGTAAGGGTTGTCACGTAAACAAAATATACCAATTCGTTGCTAATACAGCACACCGGTGTGTTGGAGAGTAAACCCACAACGTTTACAATTCGATACTTAACGTCTCTATTCTCCAGCGCGTTATCGAGGTCGCTCTGCTGCTACTGCTTTACGTAGGCCCCAGCGCATCTCTTTCTATTATCTATCAAGTTAGAGAGCAGCATTGATTGTCTATTGCGTGTCCCTACGCCTGATTAGAAATTATGTATTCGGCATTGAACGATTGTTCCTCACTTCTCCCCATTGATTCGAAGCCCGTTCACGGTTTAAAGTCACGATTTGATTCAACGTTCGATTCGTTTTTTAATGACTCCTTCGTAATGTTTTAGTTTCTGTGTCGTTAGTGCAGTTTTGTTCCCTAAGTTAGTCTGAATGCAACAGAATTACATTTGAATATTCGTCATTCATTCTATATACCTTGCTGCAGGAGCACAAACCAACACGCGAACTCCGATCATCCTCGCAGCAGCGTTTGGCTCGCCATCGAACAAAGACGCTCGCTGCGTCGCGCGCCTTCAGATGCGCTTCTGCGGCCGTCTGGAACGCTCTTCCTTCCAATATTAGGAAGCCGCTGGAGCTGTGGTCTTTTAAATCATCTCGATTAAAAACTCGTTTCGTTATAACAGTTTTTGTGTGTTTAGTTTGTTTTCCTTCTGCCCGCACCTCCCGTTAGCACGGTTGGCTACGTACGGTGCGAAAAAAGTTCGACATACAGTAGATACGTATATACAGTATATATACTTATACTGTATGTAACGTTTTCCCAAGATGTGTCCCCAAGGGGAGTTTGGCAAGTAAAATATGGGTAATGTTAAAATTACGTGGGATACAATCATTCATTGCACGTGGGCTCATGAATAGCGGCAATGGCAAAAAAGGTAAGTAAAGGTGACTTTATTTTATGTTTAAATGCCACTCTGCAATGCATCTAAGGTGACGCGCTGGGGAATACACTCTCTCTGCGTCATGTGGAACACGTTCATACATGAAGACAAGTCAAGTAAGTCAGCTTTATTGATCACATACCCATGCATATATATGAGGTACATGGCAGTGAGATTATTTGTTCCCGTGTCGCTCTCTCTCTCAGCTTGTGCAAATTAACAACAACAACAATGTCAACATCAGCAACAATATTTAAAAAATATATATATTGTTTAAGCTATGTAAAATCGTTGTGCAGATGATAAAAGTGACATGTGCATCGCAGAAACATGGCCCCTGCGGGTGAGCTTTATAAATTATATCTTGTCGTGCAAAATGTTCTTGTCTGATTAATGTCTAGTGCAGTCGGTGGGGGGGAGGGGGGTGTGAATGGGGGTAATGGGGGGGGGGGGACAAAATTGGGGTTTGGCGAGGCTTGGACAGATATTCCGCGGGGCTCTGCTCAGCTCAGCATCCGGATGGCCTGGGGATAGAAACCGTCCCCGAGTCGCGGTTGGCGGTAGCCGCAATGCCGATGTCGCCCGGTCTTCCTCTTGGATTGTTTCCTGGTGAAAATGCCATGGCTCAGGTGGCTGGAATCAGCGATTATATTTTTGCACCTCTTGGTGTCGCGGTCTTTCGGAGTTGGGCAGCGCGCCGCCTGTGAGCCCATGGGCGGACCGCATCGCCCTCTGAAGCCTCTGCCGGCCCCGTTCGGTGCGGTGACCGTACCAGGTGGTGACGCGGTCCGTCAAGACGCTCTCAATGGTGCACCTGAGAACAGGTGCGGGGCATGCCAAATTTCCTCAGCCTTCTGCGAGAGGTTATCAAGGCGCTGTTGGGACTTCTTCACCGGTGTATCCACATGCCGGGATCATTTCAGGTCCTCTGAGATGTGAACTCCGAGGAACCTGAAGCTGTTGGCCCGCTCCACTGAGGCTCCGTTCATGGTTCGTTGGTTACCCCTATAGCCCGATCAGACTGTTTGGGGCAAGTGCTGTTCGCGAGTAGCACCTGTGAAGGCTGACACGGCACACGACTGGGAGCGAGACCCTCAATCTCAATTTTATAATCGGCTCTGTTCACGCAGACAACGTTAATTGCTTAGCGCGTCACATGGGACGCGTTTAACAATCACCGGACGCGTGCAACGTGTAACGAGTTAATTTGTATCTGGAGTAAATTAGTAAACGCGGAAAGATGAAGCGTGGGAGATCGCGAGCAACCAAGTTTTGGAAACCCTCAAGCAGAAGATTAGTACTGGATAGTTACATTTGCAAAAACGATTTGTAACTTTTAGAATTAGATGTGTTGAAGGCCTCGCCAAGCCGCCACCATCCCTCAGTCTGGCAACGCCACAATCCATACTTATCCTGCACATTGAACGGAACTAAATGATGTATTGCTCCTTCTCCACTGTAGACATTGTCGAGTGTATTATTTCTACTTTGGCTGCCATTTCATCAGTCTTGTCCATCGGCTATCATCCCACACAGCAACGTGTCCTGCTGCTCAAGTCCACTTCCCTCAACAGCAATATACCTTTTAATGTTGAACACGGGTCATTGTGCATATTTAAACTTTTGTTCCTTTTTCTTTGCCAAGGTTCCGATTCTCCCCTGTATCAAATCGATGTATCCGTTACTTCGTGCTCGACCAGTGCAGATACACATTGGTGGACGAGCAACACAAGTCACTCATATCAAACAACTACGAGCACACCGTGCCATATCTGCCATCTACACCCGGTGCATTTTCATGAAAGATTTAATACGGGGAGAAAATAAGTTTCTTTGGAAATGGGGCAATGTTCAGCGGCATCGCATGGCTTTACATGGGCCTTGGGGGTTTCAAGCTTCTAAAAAATTTGGGGGCTTCCTCTGCAGGCCACGTGGCCCCCAGTTCAGGTTGCACCGCCTGACACTCGACAGCTCCGTCATCGGCACAATTCCCGTTTAATAGCCACAGACTCAAATGGGGAAAAAAGCACAGATAAAGCAATCAAATCGAGGTTCACCAAAAAGTAACTTTAGAATTTTTTTTATTTTGTGTATTTTATAAACTGTATATTTAGCAACCGCTTGCACCGCTCCAGCTGCAAGTAGAAGTTGCCACTCGGGAGCGCCGCGCGGCTCCACGGTGCCGCGTGGCGTTCAGTAGGCGGATGTAGCCTCTGCCCAGGACGAACAGCGTGCAGCAGAGGATGGCGAGCAGAGTCAGGCCACAGAGCGCCAACGCCGCACAGCCCAGCCCGTCACCTGCACCGTGACAAGTTCAGGGGGGGGGGGGGGGGGGGGCGAGCAAGGGTCTCAATTCTATAATCACACAGTACCACCAGGAGGGGCTAGATGGGTCCAATCATCAACCCCTGCCGCCACTACCCAACAACCACCCAGTGCATCAACGCATGTCCTAAATACGTGCACACGTTTGTACGCTTGTTGAACTTCTTACACACCGTACATAGCTAGCCGTGCTAAAGAGGGGCGTTAATGGACAAACTATACACAAAACGCAGTTCTAAAGAAATTCGTTTTCAATCTAGATTTCAAAGTGCATAGTATCAGTGGCTTCCAAATATCGGAAGAGTGTTCCAGACGGCCACAGAAGCGTATCTGAAAGCGCACGATGCAGTGACCGTCTTCGTTCGACGGCTCGCCAACAGCCGCTGCGAGATAAAACTGAACTACTAAGCAATGTTTTTATTTTACCAGGTAAGGCCCACTGAGATATATACATATACATTCCATAAGCAACACAAATGATAGCGCAACAAAGTGGCTCAACGTGTGGAAATGTATAGCAGCCAAATTCTCTTAAACACACACATTTCCAAACGTGGAGGGGAAAACCGGGAGGACCCCAGAGAAATTCACGTGACTACGGGGAGAGAGACGAGCAAACTCCAAATATACAGCAGGCGTCAGGGTCGGGATCGAACCCACCACTTCCTGTATACCAGGCGAGATAGAGAACATCTCGCGACAGGAAGCCAGCACATGTCTAATCAAGGCGATCCTGATTTACACATTTCAATACAAAAGACATGCGAGATACAACAGTATACAAAAGTTTCGATTTAAAGCTTTCGTGACTGCAGGGATTCAGATCTGTTTTCCACCTGAAGACGGCTGCTTGCGTTGTGGCCGTAACGTCGTGAGAATTATTTTTATTAGGTTTTATTTTTATTATTTTATTATTTTCTTTCTACGTGACTTTACCGAAAGAACCAAGAAGATGTACAAAAGTTATCCTCATCGGCTCGCAAAATGCAATTACAGTTCAGCAAGTTGCTCAGCGTGGAAGCTCCGGTGGTTGGCTTCTTCTCCAGCAGCAGGACGGCGCCTTTCGACGTGGCCAGCGAGTGGTCACGCTGGACGACTTCACGCACTTGTCCTTGCGAGTCGGGGGGGGACACGGTGGAGAGGGCAGAATCGTGTGGGAGCAGTCGTCACGTGACAAGCGCGGTACCCATACATGGATCCATGCAAATGGTTCAATGATCAGTTCGACGCGATTTAAAAACGATGTAATGATGTCGTGTCTTTAAAGGAAAGGTTATACATTGCGTCTAAAAAAAAAAATCCACTCTGACCCCATTGGGTTATTTTAACATTTCACGCACTTGTTTGTGAATAGCTAATTTATAACATTTCATACCATTTTTAACGAGTTATTTTCGTTACTTGATTACATTATTATTTTGATGTGTTAGTGGTAACGTTTTATTTTAATATTGTCTCAAATCATGCATTGTGCTCTGGAATAATTAATGATGATCGCACGCTAATCTCGGGCTCTTGAATTTTTGTCCCACCAACCCCCGCCCTTCTTGCTCTACAATTGGTGTCTTTGTTCTGGGCTCGCGCGCAGTCATTTTATAAAAAAGAGACTTACTCTTCAACCTTGAGAGAGGACAGGCGGGGACGCAGGAGCGATCGTCGCCTTGGCACACGTACGCACGGCAGTGGAAGTAGAGCTGGGGGGGGTGAATCGAACGAGGCGGCGGACAACGCGAGGCGCGCGTCCGGTATCCAGTCATTTTACAACAATTGGGGGGGGGGGGGGGATTTGGGCAAAAAATCGTCCCGACACACACACACACACTTGCGTTCAAGTTGTTACGGACTCATATATGCAGAGGTATGGTGGGTACCTTCTGCCCACCATGCATCTGATAAATATAGACCATCGGGACAGAGTAACCAACTGACGCAGAGTTTAAGGACATTCTACAAAGGGCAATGATGCTGAGATTTTGCACAAGCATAATCAAGTCGACACTTCGAGAACTAGAGAGATTGAAAAACAGTTTCATTTTTATTCGGGCGACCAATAATTAAAGCCCAGATGTGGATTAATTTTACTCATATGGGGATGATCAGCCTAAACTCTAAATTTCATAATGCCTCATGCTTAACACTTAAGACAAATTTACAATCCACATCAATGAACCCGACTGATTTAGCTCCGATGCACTGCCGAAGCAGATAGAATACAGACGAAGCTCACCACCACAACAGTCACTACGTTACTCGCGTGTGCGCGCGTTGTTCATCTACAGCCCTTCGTTCATCTCCTGCCTGGTGAGGGCCTCTTCACGTCACGTGCCGGGTGAGGGCCTCTTCACGTCACGTGCAGGCCGTGACCCACACGTCACGGATTGGCGAGGGCAGCGGGGGACATAGGCGCGGGAGAACAAAAGTAAACACTGCAGCAGTGGATTTTGATGCCTCGTATGCAGAACGATTGTTCCCACCGTATATAGCCAATCGCGCTAAATTGAAGGTGTGTGGAGAGGGGGGGGGGGGCAGGACACAACCGCCCACTGCCGCCAACATTCCCTACGACACCCCGCTGCTCTATGCAACGCCGTCATCCATCCAAGCGCTATCAAAGTCTCAACGCTTCTGAGCTGCTGCGGATCTGACGAGCTGGGGGGGGGGGGGGTGGTGGGGGTTGAATTGAGGCGACGTGGTAATTTCGCTCACGCGTGCGTTTACTGGAACGTACGTTCGCCTGTCCGTTGGGCAAAACGTTTCCTTGCGGTACGGCGAAGGCGAACGTCTTCACCTCCAAGCGCTTGCGGTGCGTGGCAAGCGGCACGTCCGGGAACTCCGTCATGGGGTGCAGCACCGTCGGGAAGTTGTCGCCTGTGAAAGGGCAGCTGCGGGAATGTCGGTCAGGATCACAATCAGCACATGGATGTAAGTATACTGGAGGAATCCGGTGGAGCTATGAAGTTCTGTTCACCAATGTCCAGTATACTCCGGCGAGACGAGCGTCCGCCAAACGCGTGGGAGATTTCGCGATAAAGTCGGGGAGACGCTGGTGGCAATTCCCATTTAAAGGAGCAACAGAACACCTCCTCATCCTAAAAACCAGTAATAATGCGAATGATGATGATGAGGGTGCTACAAGCCAACGGTGATGTCTATAGACAACACAAGGCACGATTGTGGCCACCACAAGATAGGTCCCCTCCTATAATACCCCTAGCATGTCACATGACTTTACCACACTGCCCACGTAGCATGCACGCATCCTTGTTTTAGTCCATAAAACCAAAACGTGGTCATTTTCATTTTAGACAGAAGCAGCATATACTGACGCGCTCATGCTTGATAGGAAATATCAGCACACTAATCCAGACGGAGCCAACATATGCAAAGTGGATTAACTATTAAATGGAAAGTGAACTTGATTCTGGCTCAAACTGCATCCAAAACCATCGGCTGGTAATTAAACTACATGATATATGCTAATGCAGGGTTTCCAAAACTCCAGTCTTCATGACCCATTCGTGCAGTTTTTTTTTTTACATGCTAAAAGGTCTTCTCGTTTTAAACAGGAGTCCTTGCACATTTCATAAACCTGATGATTGGCAAACCCATCTAAGCAGAGTCCAGATTCAATACAAGAATGCTCCATGAATCACGAGGCACACACGGACACACACTGCATATTAATTTGAATCTGCACTCTAACCAAGAACCAAAGAAGAAGTGTAGACCTACAGGAAATCATCGCCACGGCCAGAGAACGGAGGCAGTGGAAGGATTTCACAGAGCCTCATCAGCCGCCACGTGACAACTTGCAAAACCGAGATACTTATATTTCGATTTAAAGCTTTCGTGACTGCAGGGATTCATCTTCTTGGTTCTTTCGGTAAAGTCACGTAGAATTGAAATAGTAAAATAATAAAAATAAAACATAATAAAATAATTCTCACGACAGAGTCTCCTCGACAGACCTGTTCTCCACCTGAGGACGGCTACTTGCGTTGTGGCCGAAATGTCGTGAGAATTATTTCATTATGTTTTATTTTTATTATTTTATTATTTCAATTCTACGTGACTTTACCAAAAGAACCAAGAAGACGCGATATACTTCTACAGCATGTGGAATATGTTCGCAAATCAGGCATGTTGCAACATGTAACAGTCTCTTCTCTATTTGACCAGAGCAAGTCCGGTAAGCAGTCGGGTGGGGCGCCATGGTGGGTCAATCACAAGGAGTCTGGGAAATCTCGAGCCAATGCCCCGAGGTGCGCTGTCTCACTGGTTGTCCAGCACCCTCCACTGGACGCTGTTGAGGGGGTCCAGTGTCGGCGTGGCCCAGCAGTCCTGCAGCACCAGCACGAGGCTCGGGTCCGGGTGGTCCAGGAGCCGAACCTCCAGGAAGATGGGGTCCCTCAAAAACTTCACGACCGGGAACTGCGAGTAGTAGTCCAGGTAACCTCCGTCTAGGAAAACAGCACAGCCGGAGCTTACGTGTTTTACTTTTATATTTTCTCTGTTCAATAGGAGAACCAATACTCAAACTCCCTCGATCTTTTCGATTTAAAGCTTTCGTGACTGCAGACAAACTACCCCTATCCCCTCCCTTTGATGCTGCCAATCCTGCATAATGCACGGGCATAATATGACTTTGAAACCCCCCCCCCCCGCCCACTTCCTACGCATTTCACAAGTAGTACTAATCACATACCTGCATTTCCCATAAATATGCTAAATTCATCTTGATATGCAAATTATTTTGTCAAGGCGCCCTTCCCCCCTTCCAACCCAGCTTAAATATACGCTCCAAGCGTGGTGTTGTTTCATTCAGACGCTGTCTCCCCGACAGACCTGGTCTTCACCTGAGGACGGCTGCTTGCGTTGTGGCCGAAACGTCGTGAGAATTATTTTATTATTCTATTACCTCCCTTCTACGTGACTTTACCGAAAGAACCAAGAAGATGAATCTCTCGATCTTGTTCAATTCCGAGCAATCTTGTTCAGAGCACTATGCGGATCCTATTCCTGCACATTGTTAAGCAGCAAGTTGTCAAGTTGTCTTTGCCTCTTTCCCAACATCATTTCCTGTAACTCTGAGAATGTGCCCAATCTTCATATTTTACCTTCTGGATATCTCATTAAGGCTCTCGCTTCATCAATACCGTCTTAGAACTTAATCATTATTTCACTGCATCGAATCTGATTTTCTCCATTCGACACCATACTCATTTCTCGAGACTTTCCAGCCTTCTTGCGTCTTGACTTTTTCGGGAACTTGATTCTACAACAGTGATATTAATGACAACATTAAGCAACACTCAAGGGACATATCGTGTCAGCTGCTTGACATGTACCAGTGGCTACTCGCAGCTCTATGAAGAGAGTTCCAATTGCGGTGGCGGGCAGCGGAGGTGGGTACGTGTTGACTTGGACACCTAGAAATGCTCGATCGTCCGTCCGAAGCAATCTGCACTCCAGCAGCAGCCTAACAGACAAACACAAAACGTTGCTTATACTTTTGTTGAAGACGCAAATGTTTATTGGCGACAAACGTAATTTATAACAAACGCACATTCATTGGATAATGTGTTGCCATGCTGCCCCCCCCCTGCCCCACTTAGGGGGTTAATCATGACACTCCGAGCATGCATGGCAGGCCTGCCAAAATATTTTTTAGAGCCCCCCCCCCCCCCCCCCCCCAAGGCAAAATGCCAGATGAGACCCCTCCTCGGATCTGAGACCCAGAGAAGACTACCCCCCCCCCCACCCCCTCCAGACCCCCTCTACAGCCCTGCATAGTGTGTGTTCATGCAGCGTGGCAATGGCATTGTAGGCTACTTGAAGGTTGAAGATTTGGTGATCGCGACGTCCCCGTCGACGCAGAGTTCATGCTCTGCGGTCACCAGAGCTCCGTACACAAGCTCCACCTCGTTCCACTGCGCGCACACACGGGCAGAGACGTGCGCTTCACAGACAGCGTGGCCAGACAATTACAATAATTCTGCTCGTAGCAAACAGAGGGAACCCGTGCGCGGGAGGATGTTCGCTGCGCAGATGCAACGGATGGTTTGCAGCATCAACGTACATTTGGGTTGTACCGGCGGACATCTCTGGCAATCTGAAGAGCCAACCGGCTGAAACGTCACTCAATCGTTTTTTAATTCATGGAGCACCTGCTCCCCCTCCCTCTCATTTAGTTTTGACTTTTCTTTACTCCTTCGTGTTCGTGTTGTTCTTCTGAAGCCATCAACTTGGTGCTGCTATCCCCCCCCCCCCCACCCCCGGTGTATTTACACGCGTTGGTGCACACCAAGAGTGTGCACGGTAACGAAGTTTTTGAATAATTTGTTTACTTTGCATTTTGTCGTCATTGCCTTTAGACGTCCGTCTCTCTATCGAAATCAGCTCGAGCTTCGCGTAAATCACGTCACGTCGTCTGTGTGGCCACCCCAACCCAGAATTCCTCCGATCTCCCCGTCGTCACCTCTGGGAAACAGACGCTGGGCTTTCTCCGTGCGCCAGCGCCGAGAATCCCTAACACGCAGCGCCCCTTCCTTCCCATCCTCATCTTTCCTGATCCTCTGCTCCTATTTGTCCCATTCCTATCCATCCTTTTCCTCCAATTTCCCTTGCTTTGTCTCTTCTCTATTCTCTTCCCTTCCACATTTCCCGTGCATTGACATCCTTGATTCTAGACAGAACTCGCTTGTTTAGAGCTGCTTTTTGTGTTTACTTTGTTTTCCTCCCCCCGCACCTCCAATTAGCATGGTTGGCTACATACAGCGCGCAAAAGACGTTCTACATCGATTGCCCTGCCCGTGATATGCCACGGGTAAAAACAATTGCCAGTAAATTTATATATTTTTTATATACATATCTGTTGGCAGCATACAACCGAATTAGGCGAGGAGCTTGCAAACCACTGCCATGTGCAGTTGTGACAAACGTGGTGGTTCCGTACCCTCGTCGTCACGCCACAGGAGTTCACGGAAAAGTCAAAGACCACGTGGTCTGGAGACAGCACCACGGGTCCACAGCCCAGCAGATCGCCGCTCAGGTGCACGGTGCTCAGGTTCAGCGGCGGCCAAGTAAGATTTCGGGAAACGGTGATGACAAATCGGCCATCCGTGGTGCACGCTGATGGTGAAGAGCAAAATACTTAAAGTTATAAACGCTCGAAAAGTTACTTTTTTTTTTACATGGGAAGATAATCACAGCCGTGCCCAATCTCGCAAGCTAATCGGTGTCAAGCTTGAATAGTGCCCGGCTGGGTGACCACCATGTGTGGTGTATCGTGATTTACAGTCAAATATTTGCCACAATCCACAGTGTGGGGGAGGCCCTAATCCAGCAGTGAATTGCCAAAAAGGCTGTGCGTGTACACATTGTACACGTGCATGACCCGAAATGTGACATTGAGAAAACTAACCATAAGAGCAACCCAACATTCCTACCAGCTCCATCCGCAGGAATGTGTTATGAATCATGTTGTATTACTGGTTTTGTAAAGTAATGTTTCGTCACCAGTTTGAGAAACACTGCTCCGAGTAAAGCACGATTTTATTGTTCTGGCATCGTTAATGGGCTTCGTTACCGCGTTCTCAGACAGCGTGGGGCTGGCCTCGTAGTCACGGCACTCACCTGCCTCTCCGTAGAGGCACACCTGTCGGATGGGGTCGTAGCAGCATCCTTTGCGCGAGCACGCGTCCCTGTCCGAGCGAGCAGCGGCATCACCGCAGCGCACGTGTGGGAGCGTGGACGCGCAGGCCGAAGACTCTGAAGCGTCCACACGTTGCGGAGAAAACCGCGAACCCTGTCACCTTAAAACGCGACCCTTGTTCAACAGCTTGATGCGCAAACCGCAGCCTAATTGCGCGCATTCAGTTGGCGCTTGAGGTTCGGTGGACTGCGACCCTCAAAAGGAACGGTCGCTCCCCCCTCCCCATAATACGTGGATCAAACAATTTACTCGAGACACCGGTGAACGGCAGCAAGAGCAGTTTACGCTAAAGCCGTCGCAAGGTGTCACACCTTTTGGCGAAACGGTCCTTCGCCGACTATGCGTGATGAAGTTAATTGAAAAACCGAATTAAACTTTGCATGATCGTGCCCGCCATTAAATTGGGTATTTAACAATTCAACTCCACCATTCACACCCTCCACCTCTCCCCCCCCCAATAATTTTCTCATTTATCGTCTCATTTTGCAGACTTCTGAAGTTCTTCCATCATTTCCTGGAGTTCATCACCGTTGTTTGTGATGATGACTGTCAGCGTAAAGGAGATGGAGAACACTTTAAAACGCGTTAACTTTTTTTGGCGTGTATGTCAAACCTATTTGTCACAAGCATCTTGCTGCCGCGAATATCCAGTAAATAAGTGAAAATCCAGTGGAAACTTTGCACAGCCATCCAAACTTTGTAGCGAAACAGAATGTTAGTTTTTTTGATAAACGTGAAATAGATGCACCGAGAGATGGCTTAAATGGAGCAACAAGATATCGATCAGAAGAGGAGATGGGTTATAAGACACCCTCTCACAAAGGCTACTTGCATACACGTTGGCATAATTCGTAAAGAATCAATAACCGCATGCACAAGTTTAGTTGCGGAGTGCAAATGTAGCAATTGTAGCGGATGAATCGAAGCATCGTTACTTGGCGAACACAGACGTGAACGATGTTAGTCGTTAGGTACCGCCGATTCTGAGCGACCTCAGGTTGAGTGGACAGTCAAGGGTGAACCTCCAAACTTGCGTCGTCTGCCCATCCACAGCCTCCTCAAGATGAATATTCACAGTCCTCTTTCCGTTCTTAGAAGAGGAAAAACACCATCACTCACACGCACACACACGCAGCCCGACAAGTGACCGATTAAAACGCTGTGGTTCGCTAATCGTTTGTCGAGGTTGCAATTATAGACCACGACATTCCAATGCAATTGCAAAGCAAAGCCTACCTTGGTGTGAACGCAGCAAGCGTCGTTGTTAACCTTGAACTCCACCCCACGAGCGTCATCTTCGATCTTGTAGCCGCATTCGTTTGGCAGAGTCTCAATATTTGTGGCTATGTTGCTATTTTCTGTTGGACGAAGGCCAAAGCGTCACTACAATGCCCACACAATATATACAAACTCATCCTAAAAAAATCGATTCTCCACTTGGCTAAAGCGCTGTGCTTTAGGACATTTAAAGATGACCGCAGGTAGTGTATCAAGTTGATATACTTTGCCTGGTCATCAATGGCTACGCAATAAAACTCAACTTAAAATTTGCCCAAGCACTCAAATGTGGCTAAATTCCAACGCTGACGATCAAGACGTCGGCGTGACCGCCACGTGACGAGCACGACTCTCGTTTGACGGTGGGTGGGAGAGGGCTGCACTCAACGATGCCGACAGGATTGCACATGGAGCTATGCATGTGTAGAGGAGTAGTGGAGAGTGGTGGCGTCGTGTGCGCTGTCAGGTGCGGTGACCTCACGGGACGTGGGGTCGCACGCGCTGGGCAGTGCACGCGACATCACCCCTCCGAGGGTATATAAGGGAGACCCCGTAACGTAAGCGGGGTCACTGGAGGAACGGGGATAGTGGAAGGGGTAAAGAGGGAACCAGGGATAGTGATAAGTGTTAATAAACCCTGGCGGAAGCCCCTAACTCAACCTCCGTCTCCGAGTACCTCCGTCTACGATACAACACATGTACGTCAAACTTCTTTCGCACCGCACGCAAGCCAACCGCGCTAAACGGAGGAGCTTGGCTACATCGCCACTTCTGTGAACGGCTTCTCTGCCGTGAAGGTGCGCGCTTCTCTCCGACAGAACCGAAATGATTCTCCGTCATATCATGAGCTGATGGCAGCGACATCACAATCGGGTTAAATTGGGGGACGAATACAATAAGATATCACCACAAGTTGTTTTTCTCCAGATTCACCACGTTTCTTCCATTGTACCGGGTGCACAATACCGCCAAGTGGCAAGTAATCGTTAACATCGTCATGCCTGTACTCGGAAATTAAAACACGCGGTTTGCTCGCATATTACAGCAACTGCTGTAAACATCTATTTGTAACAGTGAAACAACATAGGATGGTGAGAAAGCCTTACCCAGGACTCTGATCGCGAACCTCTGGGCAGAGCCACTCTTCGGGATGAAGAATCCCAGTGATGTGGAAAGGCATCGCGTCTCGAGATCTGGTCACGTGAGGGCATTCGCGAGCAATATGAACGTTATACAGCGATGCCGATCTGAAGTTGGGTAGCTATGCAGTAGCTGGGTCAAGTTTCACCATGATCATTCACCATTGCGATATCGGTGACATTTGAAAGATAACTTGTCATTAGTGTGCAGACTGGTGGGTAGGTATGTTGATCCCGGTTAGACTTCGGGATAATGCGTTTGATCGGGTGAGACGTCAAGAGACTAGGATCGTCTCATTTGCAGAGGAGTGGCCTGCAGCATTAGTCTGCCTTTCGAGTGATGCTTGCCCCTGGTATTAACCCAATTAAGCAATTTTCCCATTTGGCACATTTTTGGACCCCGATGCCAACACACAATAGCCCACACAGGTGATCTTTAACGTCGACTGCGAGGCATGTTGTGCCTTACTACGGTTATCATAGCGAATACATCCACAGTAATAATAATAATCAGGGTGGCCAGCTGGTCTCGAACCGTGAACCTCCACCACGTGTGGCGAACGCGCTTCCGCAAGGCCGTGGCACTCCGTTCACGTTACAGGAGGCGTGACAGGAGGCGTGGATGAGCGGCGTGGATGAGCGGCGTGGATGAGCGGCGCGGATGATGGGGGGTGGAGGGCTCAGTGCGGCAGCAGAGGGCGGCGAGGGAAGTGGCAGACGCGGGCGAGGAGGCTGCACTCACCTCGTGGCGCGTCTTGGAAGCCCACGCGTTTCCACAGGTTCGCGACGCGTGCGTGACACGTGCACGTGCACAGCACGCTGCGCGCCAGGGGGGGTGGGGGAGTTGACAGCGGCATGAGGGCACAGATTGCCCATCAGCGTGGACGCGTCCTCTGGGTTCCAGCTTGTCACAGTCTCCCGACGTTAACAGGCGCAACGGCGGCGTGACTCCCCGATGCGACGATTGCGCCGTACGCCAAATTTGATAGCCACTGCGCCATTAAACTCTTAAGACCGATGGACCAAAACAAAGTTGAGTTTTTTTTTGCTACGTTTGCAGATAGACTCTTTGTCTGCACTGTATTTACTCGGACCTGTATTGGATACCCAGGGGGAGCAAAGGTGGACGTTTCATGCACATTTGTAAATCTTCCAACCCCGCCGGGTTATGAGTTTTGCCAGGAGGATGGCGGTACAGCAAAAGCGGGTTCGTAAACCTATTCGTGCGGACATTTGAGCGTTCACGTCTCCAAACATCCCATCTAGGACCCTCCTGAAAAGGTCTCAACACTAAACAAAAAGTTTAGCTTGGTAAACAAAGGGCCATTTATCTCGTACAAATTGAAAACCAAATGGTCTCTACTCAAACGAGCAATACGATAGCACTCATCTCAGTTGGATGTCCCGAGCCGGTGCGATTTCCACGGCGAGAGCAAAGCAACTCAAGACGACCACTACCGATTATATACACGCACAGCCCATCAAGACCATACAACATTTAGTGCTGCATACTTATACTGGTAGGAACCTCCTGGTTACAGCCCACAGGGGATTATTGTGCCCGTCCGTCGGTCGTGCATCCAAAAATGGGAGGGGTGGGGCTGGGTGGGGCTGGGTGGGGAGGGGTGGGGCTGGGTGGGGAGGGGTGGGGGGCTGGGTGGGGAGGGATGGGGCTGGTCACCCCGTGGTGCCCTTATAAAACTCAACGTTTAACCTACTCACGCCGGCTTGTGCCCGCCCTCACAGTCGGGCATATTTGCGGAATACACCACGCCGCCGTTGACCCTGGCCATTGACCGAGCAACCCAACGTTCCTACCAGCTCCCTCCGCAGGAATGTGTTTGCATACTGAACATGTGCTCTCCATCTCTATGGACGATACGTCACGTGTTTTCTCATTAGTTAGCTTCTCTCTTCCCTTTGGCAGTTTCCCTCTTTCTGGACATCATATCCTCGAATTCATTCTACCTCCCCGCGGTGTGCCACCTTTGTTAACTGGGACCCTGTAACGGAGGCTCACGAAATCACCTGGCATGACAACTCCATGCGACCCGATCGGGTTTGTTCGTGCTACTTTATCGGAGGCTCAGCATCGCCCAGTTAGTTTTGCACACTTTATCACATTTCGGCAAACACGTGAACACCAACAACCGTACGAGGGAAAGGTTCAACACCAACTTTGATTCTCGCTCTCCTTTGCAGGGGGGGTGGGGGGGGGGGCAATTGCGTAGAGATGACATCACCCAACTTGTATGGAGTGCTCCTCTTTTATGGCCAATGCACGCCCAAGAGGGCTGGTGAAGTATGTGCAAACAACCCCCACACGAACGCAAACTCGCGCCTACCTTAACAGCAAAATGCGAACCATCTCCCAGTACAGCACCTCCACTCCACACTACCGAATGCGCTGGGAGCATCTCGCCCATTTATAGAATTGCGTTCACTCCGAGGCGGAGTCAGGGGGGTGTAATTGGAAAGGTAACAACCGTGCAGGTGTGGGACTCCCATAATATTTCTCTGTCGTACACAGATTTGTAGCTCTGACATAATCGTGCTTTTTCTGCACCACGCGCGTGTTTATTCTTGCTGTTGAAATGTCCCTTTGGACAGAACAAGGTTTTCTCAATACTCCAAACCCTTCTCTCTACGTTTGCCAATCTTCTCCGTTAAAATAAAAATGTATTACTTAAAAACGCTGCACGCGATTAAGGATTGCCAATAAGTGGCACCCACGCGACGATTTACAGAGTTGATTTCAGTGACGATAGGACATCCCGTGCTTGCGACGTGCGTGTACGCGCGTGTCACACGTGACCTATACGGACCGATTCAAATGAACCACCTGGACCTCGTTTCGCAATCATCAGGCGCGTGTCGCCTGTAACCACTTTGCGTTAGAACGGAGGCACAGTTGGTACCCCGTTGCCTGTTGGTCTTGCAAACATGAGTTCCCGTACAGAGGTGGAGAAAGCTTGATCGTTGTGTAACTTTCTTGTAACCACCCTTTGCCGCATCCCGTGCTGCTATACGGTCATGGATGAATCAATTTGTCGTAATCGTTTTGAAGCCCTGTGGATGAGTGCCACACGTGCTCTCAATTCGGCCTGACCGCCTCATTGAGTGCAATGGAGAAATGGTGGCGGGGGGGGGGGGGGGATTCTAATGCCATGAATTATATCCGTGATAATTATTCGTCTCATCCACCGATCCTCCTCCAAATGCAAATAATCGTCACGATTCAAGGTCGCGATCCGATTTCAGAATGTTCAGTTTTTTTTTTTAATATCGTGGTGAATGTTGCGGCATCTCGCGGCTGCAGATGGGGTGGGGGTCATATTTGCCCATTATTTAGAACATGTACGGATCTATAACAAACGTCGGTACTTAGACGCGCGATTAAAACGTCGGTCGTAAGAATCGGCGTCTAAGAATCGAGGTTAACCGGCGCATAATTACACCCCTAATTGATATAAATGCGTGAACACGGAAGAAGAGATGCGCAATTTTTATTGCATTTTTTTTCTCTATAGCCGCGCGCTCTCTCGCTCTCTCTCCATCCCCCTTCGCCTCCCATGGCGGCAGAGCAGTGAGCGCTTCTTCGTCAGGAGTGAACGATGGGGAGTTTGTCCCTGGCAGGAGTCCTGCTCAGGGTGGCAGTCTGGAGGTGGGGACCCAGCAGCAGCGCGTTCTCTCCCCCCCCCCCTCCTCCTCCTTGTCGCTCTCCGCGTGCTGGCACAGCGAGGGTAGCTAAGACGCTGGTCCACTGGCCGCAGTCGAGTAACTTGAACCGGACGTGCGACTCTGTTGTGTGTTCGTTCATTGCATGCGTCCACGCGTAAGACAATTGCGTAATTTGTGCTTGATTAATTGTGATAAGTTAAATGTATAGAAGTAAAATGTGTGGTTTGTTTTCCTTCGGCATCTTTGTTTCATGGATTTGTTTACCCCGGAGGGAGCGGTGGTGCAGTAGTTGGCGAACTAATTGCACTACGATCCAGGATAATTGTTAAATTAGTTTTCCGGCCACCGCTTCATTTTTGGTGATCTCTGCCGAGTGAGATCCCGAGCCCTCCATTGAATAATCCGCTCCGACCACCAGTGGTGAAGTATGGTCAAACAACCCCCATGACCGGCACTGCGTGGGGGAGCATGGCTTCAGCAGTGGATTGATAAAGTACTCTAAACTATTGATACTTACGCATTATCATTTTAAATTAATTGTCAGTAAGCGGACTGAACACGCATCGCATCGCTTGCTGTGTATACAACTGCATTCCACATCCTAAAGAACCGATAAGAACTATAGCAAACGTTGGGAACAAAGTTAAATCGCAATTTCGCTTTTGGCTTGATCTCGACTTTCAACTTCCGTTCCCGGCGAGTTCTGCAACCAAGTAAAACCAACACCTTTCACTTCTATTCCTGAACAAAAACTCGCGGTTACAAGAACACCGGCGTCCCCCCCCCCCCCCCCTTACATCATATCTCTCTTGATCTCACCGCAGCCTCGTGGGAAAATTACTCAGCCACGCAAAATCTCCAAGTTCATCCGCCAGGGCTCTGCTAACGGGGGCGCCAAAGAGTACGTATACGCCCACATTGTTTGTTACAGTACTCCGCTAAGTATATCGACCCCGGGAGAATGATGGGCCGAGTCGATCCCCCAACCAGGATTTAGATTTACAGCGTTTATATTTTTGGCCGGGCTGCTCGCTTAACTGCTGAGCCAACAAACTGCTGGTGTCTCTGTATCTGATGGTGATCAACCAGCGGAGGAGCGGTCGTGCAGCAGTTAGCACCGCTGCGATACTAACCTGGTGACCCTCGTTCCGCTCACGGCCAAGACCACGGATGATTATGTGACTCGATCCTGGGCCTCCCCTAGGTCGACTCGGCCTCATCAGTACCTGGTGCGGTGTGTAAATATTGGCACTGGGGAGACAAAGGTGGCCGGGCGTGGTGCTGTTGGCCACCCACCCCATCGTGTGCTGTGCCGGCCGTCATTGGTGCTAGCTAACATAACTTGCCCCCCAGTCTAGATTTGAAGCTTTCGTGACTGCAAGTATTCATACTCTTAGTTTTTTTCGGTAAAGTCACGTAGGTAAAAAAAATGAAATGAAAATTAATAAAAAAAGAAAAAAAACATTTATAATAACTTTATTATTTTATTTTTATTTATTTTTATTTCATTTTTTTTACCTACGTGACTTTACCGAAAAAACTAAGAGTATTGCCCCCAGTCTGTTAATGCTATACGAGGGGATCTTTGTCTTTGATGGACCATCTAATGCTACAATCGCAACCACAATCAATCGCTTCTGTTACAGATCTGGAAGTCATGTGCCACCCGACAACGGTGGGATTTTTCTTTTGGCAGGGTGGAGGGGCCGGAACGTCTTACAGAGTTCTGCTTCTCGGTAAGTCCTCACGATTTTGACCGTCTTCTTGGTTCTTTCGGTAAAGTCACGTAGAAGGGAAGTAATAAAATAATAAAAATAAAACATAATAAAATATTATTTTTTTATTGTTCCCTTCTACGTGACTTTACCGAAAGAACCAAGAAGATGAATCCCTGCAGTCACGAAAGCTTTAAATCGAGATTTTGACCGTATTGATCACGTGGAAATCTGGTGTAACACTACAAAATTAAATGCCGTTATTTACTCCGTACAAGTATTGACTCACGTGTGTAAGATACTTTTTTAATAATTCGTAGAATGTATGTACAGGGATCCGGTCACTAGCGGGTGCGATATTGAAAGTGAAATGGAAGAATCGCCACCCAGAATTGAAAAATTCATTAATAGATGTGGTGGACACGGTTGCACGTCTTGTTAACACGAGTTAAAACCGTGCTTGCGACGCGTCATCATGATGCCGTCTCCTAATTGTTGTTGTTGCTGTTGTTTGTTTAAACAGATGCGCAGAATTCCGACGTTCCCGCCGAGTCCTTGGCGGAGGAATGTGGATATCGTCTCGAGAGACATCCAGGCTGCATGCAATTCACAGCGCCCAACAGCGCATGTAACGTGAAGACGAAGGTGATGGTCTCTGTATAAAACACCGGGTGTCTCGATCTCCATCCTGATCCACCAGCCCCTCCCTCTTCCTCCGTCCAAATACATTTTAAGTTGGTTTACACGCTGCACGCGCCTGATTGATGGCTTCAACGTGCCATGTGATGCGGGCAGGCACTTCTGAAATAGTAACCTATGCTGCGTACATCAACGTGGAAATACGCATTTATGATGCGCGCACGTGTGCACAATTGCGCTCTTCAATTGACGACAAGATCTCGATAAATTTACATTGGTGTGCCTCTCACGTGGACGTTAACCAATCATCTGGTTTGCGCGGCATGTGAATTTGTGTTGTATATGAATTGAGTAAATGTTGCTACACGTAGAAATGCTGTGGGGTGGGTTGTGTAAGGACTGTAGTTTACTGAAACCTTACCTTAAGAGGAAGCAGAGTAGTAAACGGGATCTGCCAATCGTAATTTAATGCCTGCGATCCATATCTTTAGGTGAAAGGATTGGTAGATCATGTAAGAAGCAGCACGCTATCAAGCATTTTGGGTTGCAATATGGGCAAGGAGGTGGCAGTACAGCAAGTGGGCTCGCAATTCCATCTGCGCATACCATTTGAGTACTCTGCTGTCCGTATGCGTGTGTTTTTCTCCAGTTACTCCAGTTTCCTAAATGCGTCAAACGATCATTGTAGAGGTGGAATTGTCCGAACCATTATCGATGTTGTCTGAACCTCCGAAAAAATAAATGACTCGCCCGAGGCCTTCCTTGGCATATGCAGGGCATAGTCACTATTATTTTTTGTTACGCTTGTAATTTAATGTATACAATTGTACCAACGTTTGCCATTTAATCCCCCATTACGCGTGTACATTTCCTCTTACAGCATGAGCAGAGAATGTTGACTATTAAGCTGGAGGAGAACTGGCTGGGTCAAAAGCAGAGGGACTGGACATTCACCGTGAGATGTCCGATGCACATGAGATCTTTGCGTGCTGGAGGCAAGTGACCAGCGCCTGTTTTTTTGCAGTGTCATTCCTGGCTTATTGATTATTATCTCTTTAAAAAATTGCTCGTAATCACATTTTATTCGGGTAGACCCCCCCCCCCCCCCCCGCACGCAGACTGCAAAAGCCACAGAGAAACATGTTTTTTGCAGTCGGAACCCTCTGCGCACGCAATTGCGCCGAGTGAACTTCACCCATGTTCATAATCAACGATTTTTGGGTTTAGATCGCGTTTATTTATAAATGTGTCGTAACCCTCCACCACCCGACACGGCCAATCAGTAAAAATGTGTCACGTTGACAAAGACAAATAGTTCACTGCTTTAGCCCACCGGTGTGTTGAAGCAACAACATTTACAATTTGAGTACGACGTTTCGCTGGTAATTGCAATCAGCATCATCGGGCAATTCGCCAGAATGGTGAGGCTCTCCTGTGTCTCCTGCTCTATATAGAGCAGGAGACACAGGAGAGCCTCACCATTCTGGCGAATTGCCCGATGATGCTGATTGCAATTACCAGCGAAACGTCGTACTCAAATTGTAAATGTTGTTGCTTCAACACACCGGTGGGCTAAAGCAGTGAACTATTTGTCTTTGTCAACGTGACACATTTTTACTGATTGGCCGTGTCGGGTGGTGGAGGGTTACGACACATTTATAAATAAACGCGATCTAAACCCAAAAATCGTTGATTATGAATAACATTGGTCGCGAAAGCCTACGTGTTAAACTTCACCCATGTTGCTTACGACTCCCCGCACATCCGTGGTCGTTTTGTGTTTCTATTCGACAGCGGGAAGGGCTGCTGCTGCTGCTGCCACGTGCACGCCTGCGAACGGACTGCTCCTCTGCGGATTCGCTCCGGCGACTCGAGACGAATGCGTGCAGAGGGGCTGCTGTTACGACCCCGTGCAGCAGGCGTGCTTTTATGGGGAACCAGGTGAGCTGCCTCAAACTTGCATACGAATGCTGTCGCTCATAGTTCTGTAATAATTTGCAGAAAATGTTTTTTTCACATGCATGAAGATACATACAATAGTAACGGCGGCTACTAATAATTCGCAGCCCATTGCTATTTTGCTGCGGGCAGGGTCCCCTCCTCGTGCTGTACTTGTGGCTTAAGGTGTTGTTTGTCTGCATGTTGAACTTCTTTCGCGCCGCACGTAGCCAAGCCGTGCTAATTGGATGTGCGGGGGTTTTGGTGCAGGTTGGCACAGTGGGGGTCGGATTTCACTCGTCACTGACGAATGGCCCCTGGCCGAGAGTTCAGCTCGCCGGGTTTCCAAGTCGTGATTGCCACGATCTTCCACCTGCCCTTTCTCTCTTACGTTTTGCATTCATTGACCAGCCACGTAGCCCTCCCTAAATGCGAGTTGCCACGATGTTTGTTTCTTTGCCGTGGGGTGGGGGACCCCCAGTTTGTACGAGTGATGGGCGCTTCGTAATCGCCGTCTCCCGGCACGTGACCTCGCCGCCGCTGAACCTGAGCACCGTCCACCTGCCTGGCGATCGCCAAAGCTGCGTACCCGTGGTGACGTCCACCGACTTTGTCGTCTTCAACTTCTCCATGAGTTCGTGTGGAGCAACAGCTCGGGTATAGGTCGCTATGGTTACTACGACCGTTATTATCATCATTGTTATAAGGAAAATAATGCTAAAGTAAAATTTTTTCTTGGTTCTTTCGGTAAAGTCACGTAGAAGGGAAATAATAAAATAATAAAAATACAACTTTATAAAATACAACTTTTTTTATTATGTTTAAAATAAAATTATTTTATTATGTTTTAATTTTATTATTTTATTATTTCCCTTCTACGTGACTTTACCGAAAGAACCAAGAAGATGAATCCCTGCAGTCACGAAAGCTTTAAATCGAAAAGTAAATTTTATGAATCGATTGTTTTTCATTTTTCATACATTCATTATTAAACAAATTCAGACCCTTTTATGCAATTGTATGTTTGGGAAATCTAGGGGGTGAGATATGTACTACCCACCACTACATGTATCACGGATTCCTTCTGCTATGCGGTTAAAAATTTCACTCCCACCATGGCGTTCTGGCACGTTGCAGTCAATGTCTACCAATGGGGAATGACGGTGGTGACCACCATCTCCGGAAGGGGAAGATATGTTTAAAGGATGGAGATGTTAACACCGAGGATGGATTTAAACAAAACTCTGAACGATTATGGGAAAACGTTAAAATAAATCGGGGGAAAAAAATGTGTTTAGATCATACAATATGATTGTCTTGTTTTTTTTATAGCCTTCTGTTAACTCGTGTGCCCCTCTTGCTTCTCCTCGCCAAGTGGGTTGGGGAGGAGCTCGTCTATGAAACGCAGCTGATCGCCGACCACGAGCTGTGCGTCGACGGACATGTCGCCATCACAAACTCCGCGACATACAAGTAACTAAGATCTTATATTCTTGGTTCTTTTGGTAAAGTCGCGTGGATAGAAAATAAAAATAAAATAAAAGAAGAATTTAAAAATAATGAAAGCAATAAAAACCCCACGTTTTGATCGCGACACAAGCGGTCTTCACCAATAAGTGGTCTTAATCGAGATGGCTTGTTTTGTGATCGAAACGTCGTGTGTTTTTTTGCTTTGATTATTTTCTATTTATCATTTTAAATTAAAATGTATTCTTTTTTTATTTTCTATCTACGTGACTTTACCGAAACAACTAAGAATATTAATTCCTGCAGTCACGAAAGTTTTAAATAATTGAATTAAGATCTGCATGGTGTGACTGGTTTTTTTCTCTTCGCCGTGTCAATCCCCCACTGCTTGATGAAGGCATCCCGTAACCGTCACCATCCCTCACTTTTGCGATGTAATGAAATGTAGGTGTTGTTCGCAACGTGTAAGCAGCTTAATTGAACGAGACGTTATTTACACTTCTGGTGGTTCAATTCATTGTGGTGTTTGTCTCGTAACAGTATCCCAAGGTGATCTTGTGGGCTGTGTGCAACCACGTCCAGGCTGGTGCTGCAGTGCCGAGTCCATGGGAAGGACGACCTACAATTGGGAGTCGCTGTGGCCACACTTCCTCCTCCCCGCCCGGTGACCGGGGCAGGCCCTCTTTACCTGGAGCTACGGATTGCACGGGGTACTCGCCGCTTTGGGGCTGATTTGTAAATGCCCATATAGCTTTCAGTTTGTTCTCTTGGCATCAGGACTTTTTTTTTTCATACCTCCAGACTAGCACAGTTGTCTACGTATGGTGTTAAATGAGTTCAACATACACTGGTTACTATGCTCGTATCAGATTTTTAAAATTGTAAATTCCATCGTGCAATAGGATCAACAAGGACAAGGATCCCCTGTATAGCCTTCACACACTGTTGGCAAGTGCTGTTAGCGAGCACCTAATGAAGGCTGACACTGCAGCACCACGCACTGCCGCCTTGGTCTCCCTCGTGGTGATATTTACATATCGCATCGGGTACTCATTTGAGGCTAAGTCAACCTAGGTGTGAGGCCCAGGACTGGTTCCGATAACTGGCACTGCTGTTAGCTGTGAGCTCGACACACTAACTATTACTCTACCACTCCCCTCAATAGTATCAACAATATTCTTGGTTCTTTCGGTATCAACGATGTGTACTCGACAGACATTTTAGTTTTTCCGTCAAGTTTGGATTGACTTTAATCACGTGCCATTTGCTGGCGAAATGATTTCATGGTTTAAATTGTGTTTTTACAGATGGAAGGTACCTGGACTACTACTCGCAGTTCCCGGTCGTGAAGTTCTTGAGGGACCCCATCTTCCTGGAGGTTCGGCTCCTGGACCACCCGGACCCGAGCCTCGTGCTGGTGCTGCAGGACTGCTGGGCCACGCCGACACTGGACCCCCTCAACAGCGTCCAGTGGAGGGTCCTGAACAACCAGTATGAATCTTAGACAATTGTTTTATTCAACAATTGCGCTTCTGCGCATTGCACTGTGAACCTGAATGGCCCGAAGTTTGTTTTCCGGCGACATTTTTTTAACATCTGTGGAGCATAATATCTGAACTGATCCTGCCCCCCACCTCCATACCACCCCAAGATCTATTCCCGGAAATTTCAGAAGTAGCTCTGCGACGTCATGTTCCTCTAGGGTCGTACGCTAGCTGCCGAGTGCCCATTGAACGTTGCTTAACCTGCATGACACTTGTGCCAATGGCAAAATTGGAATGTAATTTTGATGGGCAAAACAATCTAAAATAACTAATGCCATTTATTTTAGAAACTTTCGTTTTCACAAGTGCCCTCTGGGGGCTGTACTAAATGGCTAATTGTGTGGTTCTCTTTTGCAGCTGCCCATTTTCCGGAGACGACTACCAGACCGTGTTGCACCCAATGAGCGAGTTTCCCGGCGTACTCCTCTCTTCGCGCTACAAGCGCTTTGAAGTCAAAACTTTCGTCTTCACTGGTCCACAGGATGCCATGGTGCCCTATGGAGAGGTGGGGTTTTACAATAACAGCTCATTTGTGTGTCCGTCTTGGTGCCGTCTTTATCATTCAACGTAAAATTATCTCCTTACTGGTAACGTTAACTTTCAATTTATTTTATCTTTGAACACAGCTGGGCTTGTTGAGATACATAAATTGGAGAGGGGGAAAAGTGTTTTTTGAAATGATGTCCAAACACATTGGGGTACAGCAGCAGGGTTCACAAATGAAGCTTAATGCGCACATAGCCCAAGGTTGATATAATATACCTAGACCTGTAATTTACTCCACCCCCATTCCCTTCCATACGTGCTTTCCTGGAAGCGATTCAATGTTTCTTTATTTTGAAATGACAATTCAAGAATCTATTTTTCTTATGTTTTATCCTATTGTCTGTCTCTGTTGCATTAGCCCAAGGGCACACTTAGCATCGTAACTTGCCAATGATTTGCATTAACAGGAGAAATCACTGACGAGTGTTGTGAGCGTAATAATATATTTGTATTGGTGTTAATCGTTTCGTGAATGTTTGTTTTTTGCAGCTCTACTTTCACTGCAGTGCTTACGTGTGCAAGGGTGATGAATCCTCCTGTGTCCCCGGATGTTCCTCCAAGTTTAAACGTGAGTGCGCTGACAAGGGCCACGTCCTGCAAATTGACCATCTTCCATGAATTTTGGGCAAAAACGTTCTGATGTCTGGATTTGGCGGGAACAATGGGGCGAATCTGCCTGGCTGATGCAATTTGGCTGTTTATTCGACCGCGTGACTCTCAAAAACCCCACACTGTCGACGAGCACGGTTGGTTACGTACGGTGCAAACCGTGCTAATCGGAGTCCCTTCTGCTGGACAGGCGGTGCCTGTACATGTGTAATGACGACTTAACACTTCTCTTAATGGCACTTTATTGAAGACGTATTCACTTGACATCAGGTGGGGGGACCCCAGTCTCCCACGCATCTCTCTTGTATATCAACACGAGGCCACGGCCCCCTTCTCGATCATTCTCGCCGACTCTGGATGCTCGCTCTACTGGCAGACTCCCGTCCTCTTCCGTCACCTGACCATGCTCCCTTCTCGAACATTCCTGTAGCCACCAGTCCCTTCGCACTCACAACGTATGCCCCTGGCATTACCTCCCATGGCCACTAGTCGCCTAACACCGCATGCAGACTCTTGTCATCACACATGTGGCAGTGACTTAACTCGGAGACGGTAAGACTTGGAGGCACTTCTTTATTTAATAAGCACCATCGGGATAAAACACAACACCCTACGTGGGTACACACTATTATTATTAAGACTGTCTATTGTCAACGGCAGTACTTAGAACCGTTGGTAGGCTGTCTGACTAGCAGCGCCCCGGGATGGTGAAGACAGACGACGAGGAGATGGTGACGATGATGGACTTGAGCAGCACGATGGTGATCCCACTTCCAGCAACAGCCACGAGGTCCCACAGAGGGTCCCCTCTTGTACTCCCAGCGTGGCCTTGCTCCGCCCTGGCCACGGCCCCCTTCTGCAACCTACTAGCGGATTCCTGGGGCTTCCCGATGGGCCCCCTCTGTGACCTTTCCCCGAGATGTCCCCCTCTGGTAGACATCATGGCCTGCTGACGTTAGTGCTGACGCGAGTACTGCCGTACACCGCAGTTCCCCTTTTTCGCCAGCACTATGCCACTACCCATGTACAAACCTGTGTTAATCCACTGCTGGATGGAGGGCACCCACACATCATTTTGGGTGGGGGGGGGGGGGGGTTATTTGCGGGTTTGAAGGTAGGTAGCTCAGCTGTAGGAAGTGTAGAAGTATAGTACAATGATGGGTTTTGTTGTACTGCCCATTGTGTTAGCCCTGCAACCTATAACCGCTTTATTAAGTTGCCTTCAAAACAACATCCAGGTTAAATTCTGCTTAGCTTGCGAGATCTGATGGTATTGGGCACGTTCCAGGCGACAGTCATTGGATGTGCAGAATTCTTTCACATTTTACGTTCCATTGGATAAGTGCTTCGTCCTCTGCACAGGCCACTTGACTACAAAGGATGGAGACGTGGACCTGTCGCTAGTGACTGCTCATGAACCGGTCCTGCTTGTGCAGGAGGAAAAGAGTTCTCAACATCTCGCGCGTAAGTTGCTACGTCCTTCTGTTCATCTCTTTTTGTTAATTTCACGCATGCATGATTTTGAACGCCAATGCATATAACCGTTGACTTGCGCGATGTTATTCTCTGATCCTGCCAGTTATTTAATCCTTTTGTAGGCTAACGTTTGCCAAATACAGTAGAGGCACACATCAAAGAATGAATTTCTAACACTGTTTCTCAAACGCGAGTCCTCACAACCTCCAACACTAGAGCTTTTTGTGCGTGTCAGTCTTTTTCATTAGTACGTAATTTAAACTGCCACCGCACTGCACACACCCGATAGTCATGAATTGCAGAAAGCTACCCTGTTGCTGGGTGGGGGGGGGGTCATCTAAACTGGAGGGTTGGAAAAACTGCATTATCGCTCGGTAGACCAGACCTGGATTGTATTGCGGTGTGTCTTTGCAGATGAGAGCGTTGGCAACCACGGGTCCAACCTGGCCAACGCTGCCATCACGGTGTTCTTTGGCAGTGTCGTCGTTGTCATCGCTGGTGTGATGTACTACCGCCGTCGCTGCACTCAGCGGGGGCTTTTTGTACCGAAGAGACCATCTCGAATGTTGTCACTGGTTAATACAGACCAACAGTGGTGCGGTTATGAATACTGACTTGAACTTGATAGTAACTTTAAACTTTGGTATGAATGTATTTAAAAAGAAAAATTTAAGATGATTTTTGTACGTTGGAAAAGCATTTAACTTAAAATTATTTCGAAACGGATCACATGAGGCATTGTACTAAAGTAATACTGTGTACTGTGCGAGATAAGATGTGAAAAAAAATACTGAATAGTGGTATGGCAGGCATAACTAAAAATATTGCCACATTAAAGCTGCTTCATAATGGCTAAATATAGGCTAATGTTTTGGGCATGGGGCCCTGTTTTGAATAATGCTTGAATGGGGTCGATGAGACCCTGGAAAATATCCAATGTGCATTATCCATAATTGGCTGCACTGACGTGGTGCATTGCTCATGGCACCCCTGGTGGCTTGCTGAAGTTGGCCTTTTTGCATTAGTGTTAACCTATCTGTTGGAGATTGATGTGTGCTTGTGCAATTCGTATATCGAACGGGCTGCTGCAAAGGTAAGCCTATATAACTATGCTGTTGTCGATATGGGTAGGTGACTTTTGTTTCAAAAATAGCTGAATCTATAAACACGAACAGGATGCTGCAGGCTATATTCCCCAACTATTTCGCTTAATATGGCATTTCTCATTGCCATATCAGACAAACCTATAAACAACTTGTGTAATGGTCTTAATGCCGGGTCCCCAAACTCCCAGTCCTTGGGCCTTGCCAAAGTCTCAAGTTTACCAATCGTGTTTTAAATATAGATAGCAGTGTTACTGTGTGGGTCCGATTGCTCAACATGCCCCACAACGTATTGGGCACCGGTGCAAATTAAAATAACGTAGCTGTATGCACCACCTGACCTAAAATCGCTCCTTCAAATGTAGTTTGATGCATTGACGGTGTTCCTTTCCGCGTTCGCAGACATGAGCCATTGAATCGTGTGGATTTAGTCTCCCCCCCTCCCCCCCGTTCTTGCATGAGTTTTTTCCGGTTTTTCTGTGCGACGCTTGTATGTTCTCCCCCCTCCCCCCTACTTTTGCATGGGTTTCTTCCAGGTTTTCTGGTTTCCTCCCACAGGAACCCCCCCCCCCCCCCCCATTTTTAAATGCAATCGATATTGGCCAAAGATACCTATTACCTGCTATTTCCTCGGTTGGGATGACGTGCATCAACATCGCTGTCTACTGCTCGGGCTCTCCTGACCATGAGGCTTGAGACCTGGAGATGATTTTGTGGGTAAATGAGCCTAAAATGATGAACAGTACTCTACTGATACTAAAAACAACGACTCTAATTCAGTCTCAATAGGCGGCTAGCAAACGATTACAACCAGACAGACGATCGCGACTTTATTGCTCCATTTTGAGTCGCAGCTTCAAGTACATGGTGTGAAACGCGTGCTAATTGTTCGGACTTTGCTCCTTGCACAACTGGTTGGTTTTGTCACAAGCAATGAGAAAACATTTTCAATAAACCATCAGCCGTGTAAAACGTGCAGACGCATAGCCCATTTTTGTCTATAACATGCTGGATGAGGGCCTTGCCGGTCGTTTGGGTTCTTTGACCATACTTCACCAAGCTAGTAATTAAGAACCCTTATAATTTGTCAAATGCTACCAAAAAAGGAAATGTATAACGGATAAGGTTTTGGGCAATGGCCCATCATGTCACAAAAAACACTGCCTTCAAAGGAACTGTGACGTTTCTGGAAATAACCAGACAATTTTATGAAACGTCATCTATTATACAGTTTTCCTTTGAGGCCGTGTTCTTGACGAATTGGGTTATCTATACAGCACTGCCAACACGGCATTTAAGCCACATGGGTACGATTTGTGTGGATCTCAATCGCGTTCACGGCCACGGCTTGGAGTCGCGCAAGGCCATTATTGTACTCGCGCACGTGGCCTTCAACGATGCAATTTTCAAGTCTTCTGCTTGCCAAGCCGAATGGATTTCGCAAGAGGGCACAACCACCTCGTAAAAATGACCCGACTACGCAGAAATTTCCTTCCGGGTAGTTTATGGGCAGCAACCCGAAACTGCAAGCCGCACAAAGCATGGCATCGGCGGATACAGTATTTGATGGTCGGCATCCAGAAGAGACCATGAGAACATTCACAAACGCCAAGGGGGAGGAATTGCAGCAGTGATGCATCACTCCACTACTCCAGACGCAATCCTCTGGCTCTACCACCTCGATGTAAAATTAGAGCCGTTGCTCCACATCGACGTACGGTGTGAAAGACGTTCAACATCTCGACAACATCGGCGAAATTAAGACCTGTAAAGGTTCACACCGAGACCCATACACTCGGACCAATAGACAGATCGATACGGAGGCATAGCGACGCCACACCGCTACCCCTGATGCAATCATCTGTACATATGTTGTTGAACTTGTACTGGTAGGAACCGTCAGGTTACACCAGCCCACAGGGGATTATTGTGTCCGTCGTGTGGGGAGGGGCTGGGTGGGGAGGGGCTGGGTGGGGAGAGGCTGGGTGGGGAGGGGCTGGGTGGGGAGGGGCTGGGTGGGGAGGGGCTGGGTGGGGAGGGGCTGGTGGGGAGGGGCTGGGTGGGGAGGGGAGGGGCTGGGTGGGGAGGGGAGGGGCTGGGTGGGGAGGGGAGGGGCTGGGTGGGGAGGGAGGGGCTGGGTGGGGAGGGGAGGGGCTGGGTGGGGAGGGGAGGGGCTGGGTGGGGAGGGGAGGGGCTGGGTGGGGAGGGGAGGGGCTGGGTGGGGAGGGGAGGGGCTGGGTGGGGAGGGGAGGGGCTGGGTGGGGAGGGGAGGGGCTGGGTGGGGAGGGGAGGGGCTGGGTGGGGAGGGGAGGGGCTGGGTGGGGAGGGGAGGGGCTGGGTGGGGAGGGGAGGGGCTGGGTGGGGAGGGGAGGGGCTGGGTGGGGAGGGGAGGGGCTGGGTGGGGAGGGGAGGGGCTGGGTGGGGAGGGGAGGGGCTGGGTGGGGAGGGGAGGGGCTGGGTGGGGAGGGGAGGGGCTGGGTGGGGAGGGGAGGGGCTGGGTGGGGAGGGGAGGGGCTGGTCACCCCGTGGTGCCCTTATACAACTCAACGTTTAACCTACTCACGCCGGCTTGTGCCCGCGCTCACAGTCGGGCATATTTGCGGAATACACCACGCCGCCGTTGACCCTGCAGGCCATTGACCGAGCATCCCGACGTTCCTACCAGCTCCCTCCGCAGGAATGTGTTTTGCACCGTACGTAGCCCACCGTGCTAATCAGAGGGTTGCGGGATATGGCTACTGGACATCTGTGAACACGAGCTTCATCGCGCATTGGATTCCTCCAGTGTGAATAAATATTCATATTCTGGCTCCACGACCTCGATATAAAATTACAGATCTTGCTCCACATCAACATCATCCACACGATAAGGCGGAGGCAACTGTGGCTTTGAATTCTTTATCATTATCATCACGATCCATGGGGGCAGATGGTTTGTCGGTAGCCGATGCACATTTCGTCATTCGTTCCCACTTTGTCTCGTGCCAATTTGCTCCAAATAACCATGGCGTGGTTGTGAATTACCGGTGACCAAAATTTTATTGACCCATATCTTTCAACCCCTTGTCGGTGCCTCCCTTATTACAGACCAATTCGGACCTGATTGGTTATTTTGTGCCCTTATAAATCATCTCAACGTTCATCCTACAAAGTCCCATCACGAGGGAGAATCGCAAACAAATAGACGTGTTTTGTTGCCCGGACTGAAGCGGCTGTCCATGGACCTGAAAGCTGAATTTCCTCAATTTCCCTGAACCAGAACACGACGGGCTAAGCCGTACTGGTTGACGCGGTTCTGTTCACCGGTGACCAGAAAAATCGCTTTGGGGCCGTTCATAAATGACGTCACGCACCTAGGGGAGAAGGGGGGGGTCAGACATTTGTGACGATGTGACGAGGGGGGGGGGGGTGAGAAATGTGACGTCACATCAAAATGCGCAACTTTAAATAAATATAGAATTGTTATACACCGTGGGTACGTTGGGGGGGGGGCGCTGTGGGGGGCGCTGTGGGGGGCGCTGTGGGGGAGCGCTGTGGGGGATGCTGGGGGGGGGCACTGGGGGACGCTGTGGGGGGGGGGTCACTGGGGGGGGGGCACTGGGGGACGCTGTGGGGGGGGGGGTGGTCACGGGGGGGGGGCCACTGGGGGACGCCATGAGATCAGCTGGGGGGCACTGTTTTTGTTCATGTTTTTGTTTTTTGTTTGTTGCGGTTGCACCCGATTCAAGAGCCGAATGGCTCACAGGGCTATGCCTAAAAAATGAACTTTGAACTTTGACCGCTGCACCGCCCACCCCGCCCCCCCCACGGAGTCCCACGTGACTTGCCCGACGCTTCCCCCGCCCCCGTGCGGCCGACGACACGTGACGCGCGGCGCGTCAGCTGATGGCGTCAGCTGATCGCGTCAGCTGATCGCCGCCAGCCTCTGAGCGGCGAGCGGAAGTGGCGACGCGAGGCGCGGGTTTGCTGCAGGGGGCGGGGTGGGGGCGGGGCGAGAGCGGGTGGGGGCGGGGCGAGAGCGGGTGGGGGCGGGGCGATGGTGGGTGGGGGCGGGGCGATGGTGGGTGGGGGCGGGGCGAGGGCTGGTGGGGGCGGGGCGAGGGCGGGGCGATGGTGGGTGGGGCGGGGCGATGGCGGGTGGGGGCGGGGCGAGTGCGGGTGGGGGCGGGGCGAGTGCGGGTGGGGGCGGGGCGAGTGCGGGTGGGGGCGGGGCGAGTGCGGGTGGGGGCGGGGCGAGTGCGGGTGGGGGCGGGGCGAGTGCGGGTGGGGGCGGGTCACACCGCTCGCTTCGCCTGCCGCTGTGTTGGTGCGCGCAGTTGTTATCACGCACAGAGATATACACACACACACCGAGATATTGTTGTATAGTCGGGTGTTCGTGGGGTATAAGGTTTGATTGTCCCAGTAAAGCTGCCTGTTAGAATGCCGCTGTTGACGATGTTGTCTTGGTAGATGTCGATGCAAGTGGAACGTGCGATCGGGGTAGGGGGGGGGGGAGTAGAACGGCACCGTGTGGGTTTGTGGGGCTAAGCGGATTGTGAAGTCTCCTGCGGCCTCCCAAAGCGAAACTAGCAGCCGGACGGAGCAGCCTAGGCCACGGAGGGATTGTCAACAACATTATCAACAACATCATCAACAACATCATCATCATCAGCAGCGAGAAGAAGGCGATTTTCTACGACATCGTAGCCAAGAGGGACCATGGACGAAGCCGGTGATGTCGGCGTGGAGCGGGAACCGTCGCTCGACACAGACCATGGCTGGGATGAAAGACTTTCTTCTAAGGACGATCGTGACCATCTACAACAGCCGCATGGTAATGAACAACAACAACAACACGATGGACAACAACACCAACAACACGATCACCAGCAGCAGCAACAACCAGATCGTCAACAACAACAACAACCATACGACCAGCAGCAACTCCAAGATCATCAACTTCACCAGGGCGATCATCCGACAGAGCATCACGACCATCAACAACAACAACATCAACAACAACAACATCATCAACCTGAACAACAACAACAACATCACCAGCAGAAACACGACTACGATGAACATCAACCTGAACAACAACAACAACATCATCATCACCAGCAGCACAAACACGAGTACGATGAACTCCACGGTCACAGCCACGACGACCACCACGACCAAGACGACGACGAAGAAGACGACGTCCACTTCCAACCAGATCACGACAACCACAACAACTTTCACCACCACCACCCACCGGGATTCCCCGTGCGGCGTCTCGTCGTCGAGCCCGACTGCGGTGCCGACGGGGAGCGGCAGCCGCTGCTGTCGCCCCAGCGCCGCCTCAACGTGTTCCCGCACGACGCCGACTTCACCAGGGTGATGAGCGACGTGCAGGCGGCCGTGGACGCCGGCGTCTACCCCGAGAGGATCCTGCAGGGCTCCAGCGGCAGCTACTTCGTCAAGGACATCAGTGGGGTGAGGGTGGGGTGTGTGTGGTGGTCAACATCGCTACTGGGGAGACAAAGGTGGACGGGCGTGGGGCTGTGGGCCACCCAACATCTCCATCCCCCCATCCTCGTGTGGCTAACAGCACTTGCCCCAAAAGTCTTGTTACAGGCTACACGGGGATCTTTGTTATTGTGTCTGTCGTGCCTGGTGTAGAGGTGTGTGGTCAACATTGCCACTGGGGAGACAAAGGCGGACGGGCGTGGGGCTGTGGGCCACCCAACATCTCCATCCCCCCATCCACGTGTGCCGTGCCGGCCTTCATAGGTGCTCGCTAACAGCACTTGCTCCAAAAGTCTTGTTATAGGCTACACGGGGGATCTTTGTTATTGTGTCTGTCGTACCTGGTGTAGAGGTGTGTGGTCAACATCGCCACTGGGGAGACAAAGGCGGCCGGGTGTGGGGCTGTGGCCACCCACCCCCCTTCGTGCCGGCCTTCATAGGTGCTCGCTAACAGCACTTGCCCCAACAGTCTTGTTACAGGCTGTATGCTGGGTTTGTCTTTGCCATATGTGCAGTGTATGGCCTGTTTGTGTCGTACTGTGCCACAGTATGTATGGCACGTATAGACGTGTGGGTCAGTGGAGTTGCGTCATTTCATCCAAGTACTGTATGTGGTGTTTGTCGTGTTGTGCGGTGAGTTACGCAGTGTGTGTGGTCATGTGTGGGTGTTGGGTTTGTGTGTGATGTGTGTTGTCACATGTTCAATCGTGGGAATGGTTGGTGTGTCGTGTTTAGTGGCGTGTGTGTGTGTGGTATTTGTCACGTACGTGTCGTCTTCGTTGTCTGTGTGCTGTGCCACGCGTGTTGTGTGCAATATGTGTGTCATGTGTATCGTGCTTTAGTGTACGTGATGCGTAGTATCATGCCATGTGTCACGTTACACGGACGTGGCTTGTGAAGATTTCGATCTGGATATGAGCAACGCGACAATTGTGGCGTTAATCCATTTGTCAAAGCATTCAAGACCAATTTTCGGCCCAATTATTTTGTCCCCCGGCTGAGAGAGGTCGCAAACTCGGATAGAGATCACAGTGATTGATGGGTTGACTAATTAGCACCAAGGGTAGAAGCTAAGGTTTAATGGAAAGTTGCGGTTAAGTGTACATATAGGGCATCGGAGGAAAACAACATGTTAACCACGTACCCAGTAAACATGCAATGTTGGGCCAACTTTGGCATGTACCAACGTTGGCCCAAAGTTTCTTGTTTACCGAGTGTGTATTATAGGCTGCTGTGGAACCTCGCTGTGGCCAGAACGAAGCAGTGGAAAACAGCCAATTATTGTACTGTACCATGTGCCCGCGACCTATGTTCACTGCCTTCACCAAACTCGCATTGAACATCCTGGTAAGGACGAACACGGATCTCATCCAGCAGTGGATTGACGAAAGGGCCGTGTGTGTCATGTGAGCGTGGTGTCATGCATTGTGTATGTACGATGCCGTGTCTGCGATTGTGTACACTTTGTGGTGCCATGTGTATTTGTATATGTCACATGTTGTCTTGTGCTGTGGGTGTTGTGGTGTAGTTTGTGAGACAAAAACATGAGGAATGTACAACGGCAGACAAGTTATATATTGTATCAGCCCCTTCTGTCCATGTACGTGTGTCTGTAGCCCAACTTTGGTGATGACATTTTGTGGGTCCAAAGTTTGATCAACTGAGAGTTGATGTAATCTTTTTTTTTGATGGCGAGACAAATGGAGGTCTGTTTATTTTATGACTCAATGCCCCGCGAGAAGGCAAAAGCAGTTTCCATACACTTGCTGATATTGCTTTTTATGTAGATGGAGTGCTGCTGTGAATACATCCGAGCAGCCCAGCAGTTACAGTACGGTGAATTGTTAAACAAGACTGGCTCAGCACTTGTTTTGACACTTTGGGTGTCATCAGCAGTTAGCTTGTTTAGATAAATGCCGAATAATATTGGTCTGGAAAGTCCATCATTGGCCGATGGAATACACTATTTCATGTAAAGAGATGAATGAGCCAATATTGTTTTTGTTAAAGATTACCCACAAGGCTTTACAACTAAGGCACAATGAGCATTCCAACATTAATGATGAAGTACAGCACATTAACTTACTTGCCGACTTGTACTTTTGACTGCTGCAATGCAGAAATAAAAATTAGTTAATAATTCAGAAAACTTGAGCAATAAAGCTACGAAATTGTGCTGTAAAATGAATGTTGGTCAACGAGTAAGGCGTGGAGAATTGCTTTAAAACATCAAGAGAATTGCATCTGTAGGCTTGCACGGGTTACACACAGTCCTGACTAGCTGATGTGGGAATATTGGCTGAGTGGATGCAAGCGACTTCAAGTAAAGGAGGGTTGTGCAGCTTCTCAAGGCCTAAAGCAATGTCACCACATCAATCTGGCACGGAGATGCATCAAGCCAGAGTTAATACACCCCAGCGAATCAATGGCAGGAACCGGTGCTAAGTATGCTATCACGAGGCACGGCAGCAACCATAGCATGCACCTTCACAATCACACATGAACAGTCTGCCTCAGCAGCAGACCACGCTTTCCCACCTGATGATGGACGCTTGTGTTGCGCCCGAAACGTCGTGATTTATTTTATTTTATACCCACGTGACTTTACCGAAAGAACCAAAGAGTATGGAGGTTTTGTTTATTTTTTAAAATATTATTCTTGTTTTCAAATGTGGCTGGAATTAAGTCTCATCAGCAGTATATTCTGTGATTGTGGGATAATTCTTGAAACTGTTTGTTGTTTAAGGTGATTATAAGATGCCCTCGAGCACAGACGTTTATATGCTGCAGTGGGTGCAGTCAGATCCACTGCACTGTATTTTACAAATGATTGCTGATAGATGTTTTGGTACGATGCAATGGGGATTTACATTTAAGAGTGTTAGAACTCCGTGGTTTGTGAATTATTCACGACACATTTGGTTGTAGTACGTTTATCCTGTGAAGCAATGCTGGTTTATATCTCAAAGAAATGTGATTATTGATATGCGTGCACAATACTGCCACAAACCACTTTTGCATTAAACAAAACATTAAGGAACTGCGTTGAAATTGGTGGACAACAATAAACCTAGAGAACTGAACACATTCATCATTAACACTGCCTTGTACAACAACAAAATGTATACAGTACTGAAACTATTTTGGTCAATGGTCCTACTTCAGAGCAGAGAGAGGGCAGCAGAGCAGTTGACTAACTTCCATTTGGAGATCATACCTTACACTCGAGGGTCCTGACTCCTGAGAAAACTGTTTGGAGAGCAAAGCAACAACATTTACAATCCACAACGTTTACAATCTTGTAAATGTTGTGGATTTGTTTCCAACACACTGGTGTGCTGTACTAGTAATGAATTGGCTTGTTTTGTTTACGTGACAAACCTTATGAATTGGCTCTGTCGGTTGGTGGCGGGTTTAACGACACCTTTATATGTACGCGATCTAACCCAAAAAGCCTACTATGGATGAAATTGGTCGCAAAAGCCTCCATGTTAAACTATCTCTGCAAAACACTCATGCAAACCTAGAATTTCTAGTTTTTCCTGATTGTAGAATGGACTTGAAACTCAACACAGTTCGAGCAAAGTATGTCAATAACAGAATGGCCACCTTTCAATAAAGCAGGATGAAAGTGTGCAATCTTTACGAACGAAGATGATATGCTTCCTCACTTGCGTACCTAATGTGTGTAAAGTCTGTGCTGCAGCTCGATGTAATTCTACATATATATTCCTAATTTGTAAATGTTTAAGCTGTCCAAGCACAGTGTTTTTTTCTTGACTCAGTGTGAATGGCGAAAGTGTAGTTGTTCTACAGTAGTCGAAGTTGATGACGCAGAGAATGATTCAGGTACCCGGTCATCTTTTAACCTTGGCGATAACCAACTCAAGCCGCTTTAATGGCGTTTACAAATATGTTTTGTCTGGTTACAAGTGTCAAAGTGTAGAAATCCATTTTTTCCATTTACTTAATGCTGCCAGTACCTTTGTAATTGGATAGAATCAGTCTATCTGCTAAGCTTCGGGATGGCCGATAGATGCTGGATTGCAAGCGATGCTCACATCCACTGGAATTTAAAGTTGTTTTGTCACAGAAATAGAAATGGAATGATAATAAATTAACAGTTGGTGGAAACGTGAGTGTACAGTACAGATAGATATGTATTGTAAAAATAATCCGTTTTTATAAAGCGTCATTCATGCAAACTACATCTCACACCACTACACAATCCGCAACACAAAGATGTGCATTTATATTAATGTTTTCAGCCAAACTTAGCATGTGAACATTTACGCCGATTCAAGTCACAATCATGATTTGACATTGATATCGCGCCCTGTGTGGCGAGAAATCTCAGAGTGCTGTACGTCGCATCTTATTTCAACACATTTTAAAGGACACCCCCAGCGGCAGCTTCCCCTGTGCCGGCGTTAACAAATAGCACCTGGCCAGCAATCGGGCATTAGTCTGGCAGTAGGGGGGCGATGATTGCTATGTATGATCTCATTTTGAGTGACTTCTACGGCCAAACAAATATAAACACTAAACCATTGCAGAATACTGTGCTTTTTATATATAAAGCTATTTTTTGCATGAACAATTTTAACGGTAGCTTGTGATAGCCTCAAGGCAGCCACAGATTTAGGATGCTCTCCGTGCAAACCACTGTGATGAATGTGCTCCATATATAGGCAGCATGTCTAAATAAATTAATTGAAAGTGTACAATGAATAAATATTTCAATTGGATGCTTTTAAACAAAGCTGAAGACTCATTTTATTTTCAAATTATGAAAAAGTTAATTTCAGTATCTTGATACAGTGGTTTACGCAATATAACATGTACAGCTTTGTCACCTAATTATGTGCAATTTGAAACACTGTAGGGTAACGATCACTTTACATTTTAATATTTGTGTACTATGAAGAAGAGCCATTGCCCGAAATGTCACATTACTCTTTTTTTTCTTTTAAGGCAGTGTTATTGACGAATAATTTGAGGTTTTTTCTTCTCGTTTATTGAACTCTAAAACATGTTTTACTGAAGGCAATGTATGTGAAAGCATTGATAACTAAATGTGCAAAAACCGTTCCAAAGTTATTAGATTTTTGTGGAAAAATGTTGTGTGGACATGGAATGTGGTGCCATGCAGTGAAAAGCCACACTTCATTTTTACAATTAAACCAGGCATGTCTGATGGCTTCTCCAAGTCGCGCATCTATAATAAAAACACACCAAGGCTCGTGCCTTTATTCAACATGAGATATCAAGTTTATTCTTCAGGCGAATCTCATTTGCCATTTGTGGATTGTATGTATGTATTTTGAACCTCTTTTTCATCGTGCGTAGCCAACTGTGCTAATCTGAGGGTTGTGTCCTGTGCATCACCAGAAAGTGGTTGGGGTGTTCAAGCCTAAGGATGAGGAACCGTATGGACACCTGAACCCCAAGTGGACCAAGTGGGTTCATAAAAACTGCTGCCCATGCTGCTTTGGCCGTGGCTGCCTGGTGCCCAACCACGGCTACCTCTCCGAGGCTGGCGCCAGCCTCCTGGACCAGAAGCTTGACCTGAACGTGGTCCCCAAAACCAAGGTAGAGTTGGTTAAGTCCAGGAATTCCTCTTGAAAAGGGAGTCTTAAGACTCAATGAGACTGTTATGGATAAATAAGTTAGGTTATAAATTAAATGACTTTGTACATTACTGACTGTTAAGGACAAAATATACACCTCTGATCTTCTATAATTGACGAAGGGCTCGCGTTTTATTTCGGAGTGACTTTGACATTAACGAGCATTCTTTCTTGGCTCTCCAGTGTTGTACGCGCATTGAATATAAAACACGTCGCACACCGTGCCGGCGCTTGATGTTGCCCAACAGGTGGTGCACCTGGCGTGCAAGACGTTTTACTACGGGCCAATCGACCGCTGCAAGTCTCAGGGAAAGAAGTTCACCATGGAGAAGATGCCATCCGTCGGGCGCATGTTTCGGAGGGTGGGATTGCCGCCCAAGGTAAACGCTTTTAGGCAGACGGCTGCCTGTGTTAATGACCGGGAAAGAGTTGCTGCTGGCATGTCACACATTAGAAAATTCATCATCAGCAGCAGCAGCAATGATCTCCACTACTCGACAAAGGCCTCACGTCGCCATCATTGATTGATGGCCCTGCGATGCCAAAATCCATCTTGCTCCTGCACATCTCGTCACTCCACCTTGCCAGTGGTTGACCTCTTGGACATGTTCTGCATTTCTTCACCAGTCTCATACAACTTAAATTCAAAAGAGCAATAGCTTTTTGTTGCTGTATGAAGCCACTGTGGTTTGGAAGCCAGCAGTCAAATTTGACCAATTACTCACAATTTACTTAATTGGGAACAACCATGCAACAAAATGTTCCCACCTACTGGCAGACTAAGGGCTCAACTTTGCAGGCTGGTGCTGTGTTTACCTTACACAGAGGCAGCTCCCACCCAGGGATGGGGTGGGGGTCCCCTTAGCTAGAACTGCCACGGCACCTCGAGTCTCCCTGTATGGGAAACTCGGTGTAGATTCTAAATGGTGACGATGCCGATGCTGTTGTAATGTAAGGATTCGCTTCGGGACACTGCACACGGCAGGTGGGCTCGCTTCAGCTCTTCGTGGAAGGCTATAAGGACGCCGACTTCTGGCTGCGGAGGTTCGAGACAGAGCCACTGCCTGAGAACACGCGCAAGCAATTCCAGCTGCAGTTCGAAAGGCTCGTGGTCCTCGACTACATCATACGCAACACAGGTGCGCGAACGTGGCAGCTCACGGCGTCGATCCGGAGAGCGTTGCTTACCGCATTATGGCCGCGTTGGTGTTTTTCATCAACTAGTCGCTCCGCACGGAGGGCGGATAGCAACCCTTTTGTTCGTGACTGGGAAAAGTTGCGGGTGGCACGTCACACGTAAGAGTAAAGTTAATTATTATCAGCCATTACCTGGTCACCGAGTCACTCCACTTTTGCATGATCATTTTGTTCCTGTATTCAAGTTCAATTCAGTGATGTATGTATTATGTTGAACTTCTTTCGCGCCTTACATAGCCAACCGTGCTAATCGGAGGTGTGAAATCGGAGTGTTGATTGGCATCCACCCGATGTGAATGGGAAGCGACAATATTTATGGTTCGTGTACAGCCCTTTTGTCAATCCACTGCTGTATGAGTGCAACCCCACTCAATGTCAATCGTTTGGGTTATGTGACTGTACTTTATCCACTTCATTCACTGTGGATTGGTGAAAGCAAGGAGTGGAGAATAAAGTACTTTATTCTCAGACGCAAGGTGTTATAGACTTGGGCTGTTTATAACAATGATGTATTTCATCGATCTGTCCCCTCATATAGAGTGGGTTTTCTCCAGGTACTCCAGTTTCCTCAAACATGCTTAACAATTGTTTAACAGAATTTGTTAAATATCCTAATGGAGCACCCTCCTGTAAAATACATCTGAGACTCAGTGAAGCTTTCCTATGTTAACAAAGGGCTTGACTATTATCTCCAGCTGTAGTAAATAAATTAACTTTTGCAATGTATTTAAACTGCCGTCTGATTCTCTTTTTTCCAGACAGAGGCAACGACAACTGGCTCATTAAGTACGACTGCCCCGTCTCTGACAACCGCGTGAGTGGCCACGCCACTGGACCATCATCATCAACATTGCCAGCACATGTCACACACACTGCACGGTAGCGTGGTTCGCACACCTATTGAATTTTAGGGTCATATTCCAGAGGATTGCATTTTCTATTGGACTGTGAGATATTCAACGGGAGGTGGGTGGTATGATTCACTGATAATGGTGATCTTAATGTAGAATTGTAGACTGATCCTGCCCCATGAGTGAACCCAATCAACCCTCCGGGCCTATGTGTGTGCCAAATTTCAGCACTCTAGCACTTCAAAAAATCGTCACACATCATAATTACTCAGTCCATCGGAATTGTCTACCAGGATGTCATGTTGCTAATATTGGCCTTTATTGTGGAAGACCCCTAGGCTTAACTCATTTGCACCCTGAATTTTGCAGCGGCAACATAGCTAATTGTCTTAAAGAATTGTCTCATCTGCACATCCTTGATCGATGAGTTGGTAGTAGTTGGTTCCTAGCTCCGCCTGTCTCATTACAGGACTCGGACTGGCTGATGGTGAAGGAGCCTATAATAAAGATCGCTGCTATTGACAATGGCTTGGCATTCCCTTTCAAGCACCCGGACTCGTGGAGAGCTTGTGAGTACGAGCGTTCGCGCTTAGCCCCTGACAGGCTGCACTTGAGCTGCTGTTGCTTCTCGCGTCGCAAACTACGCATGTAACAATGCATTGACGCTAACATTAAAATGTGTATGTTGCATTCACTATCATCGGCCACGATCTATCCACTGCGAGATGGAGCCACCTGCCCCGCCCACCCCCCCGCAAGTTGTCACCATCGATAACAGTCCTGCAATGTAGCGGTCCCACCTGTCCCTTGCACGTGAATTGATTTCATTGCTTCACCTCTTTCGTGGACCTCCTCTCGGATACGTTCCCTGTTTAATGCTGCACTGACCAGCGGTGGTGAATTAAGGTTAAATAACTCGCACGACCGAAACGGTGTGAGGAAGCCCTCACCCAGCAGTGGATTGCCAACAAAGAGCCCACGTAATGTTGTTGATGGTGTCTGTTATCGCCGCAGATCCGTTTTACTGGGCTTGGCTGCCCCAGGCCAAGGTGCAGTTCTCACAAGAGATCCGGGACTTGGTGCTGCCAAAGCTGGAGGACACGAGCTTTGTGCAGGACCTCTGCCACGATCTCTTTGACCTGTGCAAGGTTGGTTATGGAAAGGCTGTACGTGTCTCAGGCAACATAGACAATCACGACGGACTGATGTAAATGCTTGTGATGTTTTATAAGGGCTATGCAGCCAGCAATGGTGCTAGTTAGGCCAAGATCTTCTATTACGCTATCAAATTTCTGGTCATAAAAAATATGATTGTGGCTTACTGAGTGTCTGACATGAAGTATAATAATATTTTAGTTGGCTAAAAAGCTGATATTTGGTACAAATATAGTCACACCTATACTTATAATCTGAAAAATCCATTAACCAAATAATTGGAGCCTCTTGAAATATTAAGGCTTTACTCGGAGCAGGGCCAGTATAGAGGCCTACAATGATTTACTCTCATGCGAAACACTTAAAACTCTAAGATTCCCATCATCAGTGTCCAAATAATTTACTTCTCAATGAGTATGGCACAAAAGTGAAAGTAAAACAGTTAAAGCTTGCTACCAGTTAGCGATGGAATTGCAAGACAAAAGCAGGGGTATTAGGTGCGGTGAAGAAAAGGTGTCATTTGTTAACAGCACTAACCTGCTGCATGTGAATATTTAGAAACTCTAAAAGCTCAAGTGACAGTTGCGTTCCATTGCAGGTTGTTTGTCCCGTGCTGCTAACAGGTGCTCGCTAACAGCACTTGCCCCAACAGTCCTTAAAGGCTATATGGGGGATCTTCGTATTTGTCTTTGTTTGTGTCCCGTGCTGCGATTCCTCTACCACGGAAGTTACCATAGACTTAAACATGCACATGTGACGTTACATTTGTTGTAATTTTCTTCAAAAAGTATCTTGAGATTAAATAGAGTAAAATATCGTGCGCATTTTTGTTTTATCGGTCTCATGAAATTTAAAATTCCTGCAATTACAGCTTAAAATTATGTTGTTAAAAGGCAACCTCTACGCAAGTTCCGTTTGTTATGATCTAACCACAGACTTGTTCATTTTGCAGGATGACAAAGGCTTTGATAAACACACCTTCGATAAGCAGATGTCAGTCATGAGAGGCCAGGTAGGTGCTGTTCATGAATCGTTTTGTAATCTCTCAAAGTAGCAATAATAATATTTAGTTTTTCGTAGCATAATGCATGCAACTGCATCACACACTACGCTCTGCTATCCGCAAACACACAGGCGCATATATGATCGCGTTTTCAGCCAATTATTGAGTGTTTATACATGTGGGAGAACACCCCTGAGCACCTGGCGAAAACTCACGCGTGCAAGGGTGCAGCACTCTATCCTGTATAGATTGGACAGATATTAGTCCACGTTTGTTGTACCACTTTCTCGAATTCAATGTGTAAGAATCGATGCTTTGTATGTCTTGTATGTTTTGGGTTTACTTCACCACTGCCGCCACTAGTGTACGCTACATTCACCAGTATGTGAAAAAAGCAAGCTCTGTGGTGTGTATATCGTTTATATAGGGATGTGATGTTGCATAACGAGTAGTCTAGTGTCCACAATACAACAACATTACATTTTTAGAGCAAAACCATTGATAATATAATCAGACATAACACTCCCAATACTCATATCGCAATAGTATCGATTTTCAATTATCATTGTATTCACAAACGCATTGTCGCCTTGCGCATGCAACAGATCATGAACCTGGAGCGAGCGCTGCACGAAGGCAAGACGCCCCTGGACCTTGTCAACATGCCACACATTGTCGTGGAGTCGGCCTCTCGCTCACGAAGCACCAGCTTCATCCAGATCATCCGCAGCAAGCCCTTCTTCTCATCCTGGTGACCGCAGCTGTCCCATCACGACGCACGTTATCTGCCGCCACTGCTCCTCCATGCCCTCTCCTTCTGCCCTCCCCCCCCCCCCAACTAATGGCACGGATGCCACAGAAGCATCATCCTTCTTGCCTATGCATTCCCAACGCAAGCTAAAGTGCCGTGTGGCGCGCACGACTGCACCTTGCCAGGCGGCATCGTTATTAGGTGGAGCCCGTTAGTGGAGGGATGCCCCTGCTCTCCGGGTAAATTTGTCCTGGAGAATGATCGCGCCAGGTTTAATTCTCGTGCGTGCGGAAAGAGCGTGGCTCATCCTGAGGACCGCACAGTTGTGGCACCAATCCCGGTGAATACGAGCGCTTAGCAGCAGCTGGTGCAGGGCTGGGGTATCCAGGTTTTGTTAATGATGAGGATAAATAGTCTGAAATCCTTACAGCAATTCAGTAGGATACTGATGCAATTTGGATCTATCGAGCATCTAAATATGACTGCGTGTCAAGATTCCGTGCAAAGTAGAAGTCATTCACATCACGGGGACCACCAGAAATGAAGATTTATGTTTAAGGTCAGCAGCAATCACAATATCTTGGTAAAAAAGAGAGGCAGTCAGTCCTAGAGCAGAAGCTGAAGGTCTTGAGTCTGGACTCGGCAGCAGGGAGTTTGGGTGGCAGGGTGGTACAGTGTGCCTCACAGCGAGAAGGGCCTGGGTTCGTTTCTTGACTTGTGCACCTTTGTATGTTGAGTTTTTTTTATGTTCTCCCCCTGTTCTCTGATTTTCCTCCAGTGGCTAAAATACTACACAATGGAACTGGTATTGGTCAAACATGCCAAAGCTGTAAATTACATGTACAATACTCAATTAGTATCACACAGCAGCAATACAGCCCACGACTGCGAAAGCTTGGCAGGACCATCCTGAAAAGAATTGAGACTCGGTGAGTCTTTTCTGGGTAAACTAGCAGCACAAATGGCCATAGGGAAATCCTCCCACTCTCTGTCTCTGTTGGCTTTGTCAGACAATCGGCTTCACTTTTTTCTTTACCAAATGCATACCTTAAAATAACATTCATGTGGTCACCACGCATATGGATTTGGCGAGTGTAGCATGGACGGTTAGTATTGAGAAGTGTTTGAAAATGTAAAAAATTACGTTTTTGCAATTCCTACTGAATAATCTGTTGTGCCGACTGCATCTGTCATTGGCACTTTCGCGACAGCACCACTTATTGATTTATAGTTACTCTTAAATGCACATGTTTCTTTGGAGTCCTTGAATATTACACTTCGGTGGCCTGCAGTTTTGCCAGTGAAAAGACATTTTCTTTTCTGTTCACCGATTGGCAGACCTATAGAATGTATGCCAGGCTATCCGGCCTTCGGCAAGACAAAAGACAAATAGTTTTGTATTGCACTTGATTTTAAACAATGTTGAATACAGACCCCCAGTATGTGTGCCTGGTACTAGTATTGTTTTTTGTTTCCGCAAGTTTTTGTTTGATTCAATGCAAATATTTAAATTATTTAGTCATAATAATATAAATGTGTGTCAAGGGTGATTCATTTAAAAGGTCCACGTGCGATAGAATTCTGGGTTTGTGCCACTGCACTGATTGGACGTCCAGCACAGTCCACATTTGCAGGACAACCAAACGCATCTTAGAGCGTGATAACGCTCGGCAAGAAATGTAGAAGTGTAAGGCTTGAGCTGTGTGTTGGGAATGTTATCGTCTGTAACTGTCCTGCACTCATCAACCTCATCAGTCGAGTTGCTGTATCCCTTGATTCCATCATGCATTTCAAGTTCTATTCTCCAAAATCCCCCTGCTGAAATGTGAGGAGAACGGCATGAAGCTGATACTGCTCTCCAGAAGATTGTCCCACCGCGTGTAAAATGTCATTGGAATACGTGAACAAATGTATCATTGGCAACGGGATGATAGCCTGCGCCGCTGTAACGATTCGTAACAAATTACTGATAGGTGTCGACAGATTCTTCTTGTGGACACTTGAGATTGGCATTGGGAGGTGAGCTTATTTTGTAACAAGACAAAAGTTAATTTACATTTTACCAAGTCTAAGTTTGCCACACACGGTGTTTCTCAGTGTGGCCTTGTATTTGCAATTAGTATTACTGATTACATGTTTACATGTATGCACAGTCAACATTTATTATAAACTTATTTTGTTTGCCTGTATTAATTGCATCGTTGAGGGCTGGTTAAAAAAAAATCTGTACAAGTGTGGCAAATGTGAGCTACAGTTTTGAGTTCCTCTTATCGGCCATGTTCAACACAGGCGCTGCTATATTGAGTTCAACTACATGTCCCCTTGTGTGCGTTTTAAGAAACAGCCCTGCTTCGAGATGTTATGTTATTAATCGCAAGGACATTCAAACGTTCAAACAAAAAACTGAAAAACATTTGTGATTCGTGTTTTTTTTCTTTTTTATGTTTTTGGAAATGACGGTAGAAAAAAATATTGGTTGCCGCAGTGTTTTAGTCACGCAGGAAGGATGTTCACAGATATTTGGTAATGAGACACAATTTCATCATGTTACACTAAGCCAGAGGTTCTCGGCCTATGGCATGACAGCCCCCCCCAATCAAGAACACTGGTTTCCCCAACGTCCCCACAATTATTTAGTGTTGCGCAGTATTATGTTGTCTGCAATGCGGGGCTGACGTTCCCCAGAGGTTCTGTTTGCGCAACTGAAATGATTCCAGCCCCGTATCCATGCCGCAGCCTGCACAACACCCCACACTGAGAGGCGTTCATGCCCCACTGGGGGCTGGGGGAGGGTGCTGACTCACGGGTTGGAGAACCTCTGCACTCAGCAAATCGTGAAAAGATCCATGCGTCAGTCAATTACCAATCGTTCTAATTACATACAAATTATGTGCTAATGTTCAATGCAGGCTGATGGTGAGCGGGGGGGGGGACGTGAAAATGGAACGAAAAAGCAGAAACAAATCATGGTATTGCAAAAAAGTGACCAAAAAAAAAACCCCAATCAACATTTGAATAAAACAGCAGCCTTGATTTGTAACCACTCATTTATTAACTAAAAACCTTTGGCCATTGGGTAGGGCAGCTACATAATAAAATGAAGTTAGGGCAGAAACATTTCAGCTTTAAATATCTTAACATTCAAGAGATGTGAAAATGTAACTTCAAATGTGCCGACAATATGGCATTTGTTCCTCTAAAGATATTGCTTGAATTGTATTTTTTTTTGCATCCGTTGAGTTAGGCAAATGAACGCTTATGGCACCGAGTCCTCTGCTTACGTGAATGGTGTACGACCTTTGCTTAGGATGACCTTTTTTTTGCTGTTGTCTTTATTACTACTACTGTATTGTCCGAAAGAGCTCGGTTAATTAGTGACTGCAGTTTACGAGGGTTTTGTTTTAACGATGAGCCACGTCGCACCGTGGTTCAATGTGGCGATGGAATACCCCGTCGAATGCAGTTGAATATCCGCGTTGTGAATGACGCGAGCTACCCCTTGCCTGCCTGCCTCCCACCACCCTGCACGGGCCGCGGGACGCACGGTCGAGTTTCGAGCTGCCCTTGATGACCCACCGCCGTCGTCGTCGTGTGTTGCGCGCTTCCATAGCGTCCGTCAATAAAAACGTGACAGCTGAGCTGGCCTCACTTAACGCACGCGCTGAGCTGCATTGCCTTCTGGTTGCCGAACGAATACATGAAAAGGTCGCACTCATTACACACAAAGTGCTTGCCATAAATGAGCAATAATACATTGCTGATGTCAAAGAACATAAACGATCACGTGAACTCCGGTCATTCTCACAGCAGCGGATTTTGGCGAACCGTCGAACAAAGACGCTCACTGCATCGCGCGCTTTCAGATGCCCTTATACGGCCGTCTGGAATGCTCTTCCGATATGAGGAAGCTACTGGAGCGATGCACTTTTAAACCTCGACTGAAAACTAGTTTCTTTAGAACTACTTTTTGTGTTTAGTTTGTCCTTCCCCCACACATCCGATTTGCATGGGTTGGATACGTACGTTGCAAAAGAAGTTCAACATACAGAGTGAATTGACCCCGTAGAGTTGCATTCTATACGAGTGAGGAACCTTTTCCTTCATGGGGGCTGAATAGGACTTTGAGTTGTCAAAGTTTCATCACACCAGGACTGTACACTGATGGAAAAGAATACATTTAAACTTGTAAAGTGCACAATATTCGCTCATTTGTAGAGAAAAGATAATTCGGAGGAATTGCAGGCAAGTGGGAAGGCAGCCACGCAATGGTCCAGTGCTAACCATTGCCCAAGCTATGGTCCTCCATATATTAAATAATTATGGGCCATTTAATCAGTGTTTGCATGTGTATTTCGTACAGATGAAACCGGTTGTGTGCACATTTTGCTCTACCACCTCTGCTGGCAAGCCAGGGAATGGCATACTCAATACTCAGGGGGAGTTTTTGTTTGTGTGATATGCCAACCCTCGCCTTTACAGTGTTGGATGACAGGCTCGCTCTACTAGTGATGTACTGCCATCTGCTGCGCACAATGTACCCTGGGCGCTTTAGCAGAGCATATACGAACGATACAATAATAAAAGCGATTTGATGACAATCTGGAGTCTGTGAGAGGGAACTAGGAACTAATTTTATATTAGCAAGTAAGGCCCACTGAGCTATGTAGCTCTTTTTCAGAAGCGACCCGGCCACAAATGATAGCTCAACGAAGTAGCTAATGTGAAAATGCATAGCAGCCAAATACTTTTAAATGCACATTGTTGATTCTAAATGTGGAGGGGAAAACCGGAGGACCCGGAAAAAAATCCACGCGACCACGGGGAGAACTCCAAATATACAGCCGTCAAGGTTGGGATCTAAACTCATTCCAGGGCAAGGAAGTTAACATCTCGCCACCGTGGAGAAAACTCGTGGTGAGATTTGCGTCCATCCGCTGCCCACACCAGATTTCCCCGAGTGAGGAGAGTGTTTCTGTGGAGAGTGCTTCAACGGGTGTCAGGAAACTCTTCGGCACCAGGTTCACTGCCGTGGCAGCTTCGTGGTCGGGAGACCCACACCAAATCCCCACTTCTCGATAGCCGAGTGGAGGGCACGTGGGGCTGCGAGTCACAGAGTAAGGGATTCAAATTAAGCTTTTTTATTCATGCATTATATTTTTTGCAAGTCAAAGCCCATCACAAGTATTAAAGTGAAACATTTTTTTTATTTCGTACAAAAAACCCAAATACATTTGAAAAACAGTAACATTGAACAACGCAATGATTTAACAACCAGAGCATGTGTTGCACTCAAACAGGCTATGTGGTGTAGCGGATAGTTTGGCCTTCTGTAAAGCATGAAAGACCGGGATTCAAATCCCACGTTTCTTTTTTTGCATTTATTTTAAAAGTGCGTAATGACGTCAACGCGTGTTGTTTACACAGCTACATTCGAACATTGCAGCCTCGACACCACGTTAAGCCCCATGAGTTTGTGATGAGGACAGGGTGGCTCAGAGCAATGAGAGACAACCTCAAGAACCTCAGGGTCTGAAAACGGGATGGTTCAAATCCTGGCAACGGCAAGTGAATGAATATAAACTGTGGACTGGTGTCTAAGAAATGTTCTGCAAAGCAGGAGGGGATAAGAATTGAGACACCCTTGGTTGGTGGAGAACGGGAAGGGACCTTCAAAAAAAGGCACGACGACAAAGAAACCTGGAGATGTGCAGCCCTGAGTAAAGGAACACAAAGCTGGTAAGAAGTAGTAGAAACAAAACCTTGATTTCTTTATTGCGCAACTCCATCAAATTTTGACCACTAGGGAGCGCTCTTACACCACTAGGGGCGCTCTTTCATTGAAACCCCTCCTAAACTAAAAGCAGAGTTTTTCGACAAATACATTATTTTAAACCAGGTTTTCCACATTGAAGCTGTAAGCAGTGGTTTTAACGCAAAACTGCAACTAAATCCAGCAATAAAGTTTAAGGGAAACCAGTAGCATCCAGCTACCAAGGGTGCTGTTTGGTTCAAAAATGGCATTAAAACTGCAATTTTTAAGTAATAAAATGGTGTTCGTCACCAATTCACGCATTTAAAAACCAGTTTGTGGGTAAAATCAGATGGACAGACTAAAAAAATGACAGAGAAATGAAATGCCCATCAGACTTACCATCGTGAATACGGACTGCCCCAAAGAGTTACATGAGGAAATACAATTCCTATAGGATTACAGGTTTCTCTCGTTTTATGCTTTCTAAAAAAAGGGAGGAGGGGCGCACAAAGCAAAACCGCACGAGACAGCTGCCTGCAGAATAGCGCACAGAGTGAATACAATGTTGAATGTGATACTCTACTCGTATATTGCAATGTAAAGGAGCAACCATGCAGCTTATTGCTCGCGACACGGCTGGCGGAATTGGCCTCCACGAGAACGCGCTATGGAAAGCGCCTACATCGATCGATCAATCAATCCGACACACGAGCAGTGTTCTTCACAAATTTTCAGAGGTGGCCCACTTTCAGTGTGAGGGCCGCCACACCACTTGCGAGGGGTGTTTTCACGTGTTGTGTCTTGTCGGGGGGGGGGGGGGGGGGGTGCACATCAAGGGCCGCACTGCAGGTCACCAGGGGTCACCAGAGGACGCCAGTGGCCCAGAGGCCTTGCGATGAAGAACCCTGATGTCGAGGGGGCTTGGCCGATACCAGGGGTCCGCAAAACCTGCGGATCAGGAGCCGCGTGCGCCTCTTTAAGGACCGCTTTGTGACGAATACTCATTAAGGGGCCCGTCTCGTATTCACCGCGTGCATTGCGGGTCTTGAAATGTTGAGTTTGTTTTACCGAATTCGAAAAAAATTGTCTCGTCTTGTTATGTCGATAGCCGATCCTTGGCCGCCTATACATAACAGTGGTCAACAAAAAAAATCATTTTTTTCTGGCCTGGACTTTTGCAGCTGTTTTAGACTAATTTCAGGGTGCTGATTCCAAATCTGATCTCAGATTTGCTCTATCTCATTTTTATGCTATCGGCATACCCCATTTTCATTGATTTTACCCGAAATAAAGTTGTTGCGAGTCAGTGACTGCTTTAGTGTTAAAATATGGTGCTGTATTTTTAGGATAGTGTGTTTATAATATAATTTTATGTAGATATCCACATTTATTTAATATTTTTCTTCTGCAGTTTTTATTGAAAATGCAATATTTGATATTTCAAAAACTTGATGCGATAGACAAAAACTGATGCCATCTTTGGAATCAGCACCCCAAAATTACCTTAAAACCGTTGGAATACCTTATGCCAGAAAAAGGGTGTTGACCAGTGTATAATTGATTGTTGGGTCAGATCGTGTCAGTAAAATGTGTGCCGTACATTCTGCTTCCTCCACCTGAAACAGACAATTCATACCGTTGTGACGGGTATAAACAAACGTGCCAATGTATTGCTGCTTCGGAATGCACACCGGACAGCACTATCGCAAGATTTAACAATTGCTTTCCAACGCACCGGTGTGCTGAAACCGTCATACTTTATTAATTGGCTGTGTTGGCTGAAGGAGGGTGTACGACACACATTTAACTATACAGTAATAAAAAAATGATGAAAAGGCACTTAGTAAATTGTGCATTGAAAAAGCATCGAGATTGTACATTGCAAATTGCATTGAGATTGTGCGTTGTCAATTGAAAAGGCAGTGACCATTGTACATATACAATTGCACAAAGGCATTGACATTCTAAAGTGCACATTGAGAGCATTGTGACGTTCTAAATTGGACGTAGCAAAAGGCACCTATATCGTTGTACGTGTGCAATTCCACATTCAAAAAGTCATCAAAGGTGGTACATAGCAATACCATACCTGTCAACCCCGTTACCAGAGCCCTACCTTATTACATAGACCAATTCAGACCGTATTACTCACACCCCGTGCCCTTATACATGCATCTCAACGTTCAGCCTACAAAGCATTATCATAAGGGAGAAACACAAATATACAATCACCACTACTAGTCACCACTAGTACACTCACCACTATATACGTGTCAACCCCTTATCGGTGCCCTACCTTATTACAAACCAATTCAGACCTGATTAGTCACAACTAGGTCTCGGCAAGGTAAGGTAATTTACCCTTTTTACCGGGTAAAAGGGTAAAGGTGTCGACGTGCCAAGGGGTAAGGTAAAGGGTACAGGGTAAAGGTAGCTTGGAAGAATTACCCGGTAGGATAAAGGTAGTGCAAAGTATTACCCGGTAAATACGGTGCATTGTTTACCGCTAAAAGCTCCGTGGCGCAGTCCGTGGCCTCCATTTAATAAGTAATATTAAAATAAATGTTCTTAAAAACACGCTTTATTTAACTGTACTAGTAATGGCAGAACTCCACGACTCCAGGAAGTGTCCCCGAAGCTTGCCATAACGTAAGGGACCGTGGCCAATTACAGCCAACGTTAGTTAGGCGTGGACGATTAGACTCAAGCCGAAACATAACATGTAAAAAAAGGATGTTTAAAAATATATATATATTATGATAGAATATAGTGTTGTCATCAGTATGACATAAGTATACCAAGTTTGCAGTCGATACCACATTAGGAAGTGGTTAAAAATTTAATTACAAGGTTTGAGGATACAAGCGTGTAAAATTGGAATCATCGGGAGTATTCTATATGTATAAAGCGCTCTACCTAGCATTTACTGTTATAAACCTTGTTCATGTGTAGTTCCCTAGTAATTACCCTGTAATCAGGTAATTTGTATGGGTTAAGGGTAAAAGGTAGGGTAAAAGGTAGATTCATTGCTTTTTACATTTACCTTACCTGCTAAAGGGTAGAGTGATTGTATTGTGGTAAGGTAAAAGGTAGGGTAAAGATAGGCTCGTTATTTTTAACTTTTACCTTACCTTGCCTAGGCCTAGTCACAACCCCCGTGGTGCACCTTATGTATCTCAACGTTCATCCTACAAAGTACCATCACAAGGGAGAAACACAAATAGACAAACCAAAAACATTTTGACCGCATTGAAACGTCCGTACGCCGCATGGACCTGAACAACTCAATTTACCTGCACAACAAAGAAAACGGGCTTCACACACACACACCGCACGGGACGACTACACGCAATGCAAAATCGACCGACTGAGCCGGCGCGAGAGAGGGCCGCAAGACGCACATGGTACCCCCACGTGGGCGTTCTCCAACGATGCCGCACGTGGACGGAATCAGCTGATCGCGGGTCACGTGGCTACGGCAGCGGCGAGTTGGTGGTAGTGAGTTGGTGGTGGTGAGTACGGACGAGTGAAGGAGCGATGGTGAGAAGGATGTACGGAGGAGTGGAGGGGTGAGTCGACTGTCATTCTCCCTCGGCACGTGTCGCTGTGGGTACAGTGCGCGTGTGTGTATGTATACATCTCTGGCTGCCACGTTTCACATGGCACGTGTACAGTGTGAAGGTTTACGGTCCCGTATACTCAAAACACTTCTCGCTGGTGGCATTGGTGTGTGTACGTTGAACTTCTTTCGCACCGTACGTAGCTAACCGTGCTAATCGGAGATGCGGCAACTGCGGGGGAAGGACTACAAACTAAACACACCTAAAATAAGTTATAAAGAAACGCGTTTACACTCTAGACGATTTGTAAAAGAGCGTTCCAGACGGCCGCAGTAGCAGCGCGTCTGAGAGCGCAGCGCGACATCATCATTGTTCGATGATAGCCACAATCCGCTGCCGTGATGATGCTGGGTGGTGGGTGGTGGGGGGGGGGTTGTGTGAGTTCGCGTGCTGCGTTATCCTCCTTGACGAGATCACCGTGGGGTTGATAATAACAAGCTGCGACCATCACATTCATTGACCGGTTCACCCGGAATGTGACCAAGCTCGTCCATGGTCACGCGTCTCAGCCTGGGCGGTGAGCGATTCGGTGGGCGGAACTCACCACAAACAACATCATATTCTTGGTTCTTTCGGTAAAGTCACGTAGAAGGGAAATAATAAAGTACAAATATAAAACAATAAAAATTATCACGTTTCGACTGCAACACAAGCAATCATCATCAGGTGTGAAATCCACATCAGAATCCACATTGAGAAAATTCTTGCTGTGGATTTCACACCTGATGATGATTGCTTGTGTTGCAGTCGAAACGTCGTGATAATTTTTATTGTTTTATATTTGTAAATGTGAAAAAAAAAATTCAGGTGTGAAATCCACAGCAAGAATTTTCTCAATTTTCTTGCTGTGGATTTCACACCTGATGATGATTGCTTGTGTTGCAGTCGAAACGTGAGAATTTTTATTGTTTTATATTTGTATTTTATTATTTCCCTTCTCCGTGACTTTACCGAAAGAACCAAGAATATGAATCCCTGCAGTCACAAAAGCTTTAAATAAATAAAAACTATTTCGTGGAATTAAAACCTGGTTTAATGAATACGAAACTCTGATCCAAGGCTTAGGCTGCTTCCTCGTCGGTGCTGCTATCGTACTCGGGGGGCCGTCGGGCACGGGCTAGTCGTAGAATGCGGCGGGCAGGTTGGTCTTGATGAACACGAGCTTCTCCTCCACAATCGTGGGTGCCAGTGAGTTCCTTAGCTTGGAATGGATGAAGCCCATCGTTGAGAAGTTGGCGAAGTGCGGTTCTGCAATTAGAACCAATTAAACCGGATTTCTCCCAATCTCATATGATCGGGTTTAATATAAAAAGACAAGTATAACCCGTAAAAACAACGTTTTTCACTATAAATCCTTTATATGCGTGGCGGCTAGAGTCATCTCGTCCTCTGGCTTGAGATGGCTGCCACCTATGGGTCAGATGATTGCATGGCAGCATTAAGCAATTGGTAATTAAATATAATATTTTTGTCTTAAAAAGTGTAAAATTTTGGAAAAATTTTTTCACGAACATTCATTGTCACGCACAACGAGTCTGTGTGGAAAATGTCAGCTCGATTGGATCACGGGAAGTGGGTTAAAAAACGACCGAAAGATTTGCACGGTCCTAAGCAAGCAAGCAAGTGAACTTAATATAAAGGATTTAACAATTGAACCCGATTGTAAAAAACCCGACTGTGCCACCCTTGACACAAACAACACCGTCAACGACGCACGAGGAGTGGCGAAGTTACACGAACTCTGTAACAGCAGCAGCACCCCTGACATTGGCATTTCACTCCGGAACACGTTGCCCATACGCAATAATAGAAATTGCGGTTTTAGTGGCTTCCCAATATAACATGGGACATTGGGGTCCACAACGGTGTCAAGCGACGTGCCAACAACGTTTGGCCCAGCGGATGTTTTTTTTCTTTCTACCGGGTACCTGGTGGACAGCAGAGCGTAGTGAAGCAAACTCCATTGTACTGTGGCTAGAAAAACCACTGTGTTATACTCCCCACATTCACCAACCCGCACTGATCAGCGTGGTGAAGTTAATATAAAGGATTAAAAAAAAAACCCTAAAGGCGCAACCCTGCAACCGCTCGCCCCACGTCACTGCCAGCGCAAGGGCCTCCCTTGAGACGGGAGCTACATGGGGACCTTCTGGAACGTTCCTGGGCTATCCCGTACTCTTCCAGACGCTGTTCAAGTGTACCCACACTTTGCCACCAACACACGCGACCAGTTGTCCATCGACTATCCGGCGCCCCCCATTCTACACTGCAGCGTGGACAGAGTCGTGGGGGGTGGGGGGGTATGAACGTTGCTCATTTGCGTCAATAACCGCGGTAGAATAATCGAACTTGCGACCTCTTTAAGTACGCAAGGCTCGTGCTGCGAACCGGTTTTTTTTTTGCCCGCGGAAGCGTCCCCGCGGTGAAGTATGGTCAATAACTCCCCATCACCATCAAGGGGGTTGACATCGATTTGTGTAGCGAGTTGTCAACGTGGTTCAAGGGGTGTGGGGTGGGGAGGGTGGTGCCGGATCAGAAGGTTTTTTTCCGTCGATCGCTTTCGGTTCACTTTTTTGCTTTTCGCAAACAAGTGGTATTGTCGTAAGCCTTGCGTCACTTACCCGAAGCGTCGCCCGTGTGACAGTGGGTCAGGGTGTTCCAGGGTGTTCCGCACACGACTGCTAACCTCTGCGGCGGTAAGCTCCCGTCTTGTTAAGTGTCGTGTCCGTCAGTGTCCATGTTTCTGATCCATGTCATAAGCGGGTGATGTGTACATGTGCTTGCTGTGCTGGGCCCTTTGTCAATCCATTGCTCGGCAATGCGGGCGTGGTGGAGGTTGTTTGACCGTACTTCGTCTCGTCGATCGATACGGGTTGGTCAAAGCGGGGAGCATGGACATTGTAGCATAGAAGTATGGTACAATAATGGATTTTGCTGCAGTACTTCATGATAGCAGGTAATATACACCGATTAGAAAATGTATTCTTTAGCTAAATTGGTATGCTGCTTTTTTATGTTTATTTATACTTTATGCAAAAACTTAAGAGTATGAAAAGACGCTTGGAATTACAGTGAGTCTAATGTTTTATAGAACATACGCAAGTAAGAGATGTTATATGTACTGGTAAGATAAGTGGACTTTGGCAAAACACGTCATTAGGAGGGATGATGGTCGGTGGTTGCCTGACGACAGCCTAGGGCGAAAGACAAAGCATCCCGAGAACACGTCCAACGTAGAGATGGAGTGATGAAATGAGCTCATGTACAAGAGCTAGATGGATTCGTTACATCGCAAGGCCTTGGGAGATGGTGATGGCTTGGGGAGGCCTTCATGGCTGATTATGTATGCATGTATGTTGACATTCTTTCGCACCGTACGTAGCCAACCGTGCTAATCGGAGGCACCAATCGTGAAGTGTGATCATTGTAATCACAACGTGTCGTGTATGTGGCGTGACATGCTCTTCTCTGTGTCCGTCTGTATTCTCAGCGGTGGGACGCACTCCAAGGCTGTCATCGTTGCAGAAGACGGAAAAGTTTTGGCAGAGACAGATGGACCATCCACAAATCACTGGGTAAATATAATAATTTGCATTACCAGTTATGTATCTATGACAGCCTCACTTGAGTCTCAAGACACTTTTCAGGATAATATGTTTGGCCAATTCCATTTACGAGTGTTTGGCTTCATATTCAAGTACAATGGGGTACATGGGGAAACCCGATTCATATGAGGGAGTAACACTCCAAGTTCCACAAAGGATCAAATAATTTGTTGTACCGCATTTTGTCAGTCTTGCAGTCCAGCGGATAAGGCAGATTCACAAATCGAAATGTTCAAACAGCCCTTGCTTCCAAAGTGCTCGATCTCAGGCGTGTGCCACCCTGCCACTGCACGAACGTAAGGAGCCTGTGTGTGTGGGATACTGTTGGTAGGATAGAGATGGTGGGTGGCTCAAAGATCAGGGCACTGAGCTGGCACCACTGAGATCCTGGGTTCGAATCCAAGCAACCACCCGTGGTTAAACCAGGTTCGCAAGTGCGAGTTAGTTGATGGTCCTAATCAATGACTGGACGAACAACCCTGCGTAGTATATTTGGTTGTGTATTTAATTTGGCTACTTCCAGCTCCAAGAACAGTTCTGCCCCATACTACTATGTGGCCCACAACAGTCACTTGAAAGAGTTCTCAGTATGAGTTCTGTGATATCCACTTCTGTTGGCCATTCTCTAACGTAAAGGTTTGAGGTGCTGTGCGAGAGATCCGAGTGGATTTTTTCATCTCAAGACATCATGCCCCCTGGACAATAGGGATCACATGCAGGGAAAAATACATTTAAAAGAAGACTGTTTGCAGGTCACATGCATGGGTACACCTAAACTTGTGTAAAGGTTCAAGGTGCAAGACAGTAATTCTCTTGCATCATCAAGCAAACAGATTTAAACATGTAGTCTCGGGACACATCAGCATATACGCCATTCCATGGTTATGGCATTCAAAGAGCAATGTACGAATGTTTGGTTCAGTAACGAAATTCTCTTATGTATATCTTACCAACCCTGCTGTTTTGAGAACATTTTTCAACTATCAAAGCCCAAGGGTCACTTAGGATAAGTTTCGTGATTATCAGGTTGTGTCATGCTCTTGTTTCCAAGGAATTCACATTTCAAGAGAGATCGTGCTAATATTGACCAGACATTGTGTTTCCCTGATGACTGGGTTATTCGTGCAGTGGTATAATCTGAATTCCATGTCCCCATGCCTTTAAGATATCCTTCAATGTGTTGTTCGACCACCAACCTGTGTCACTGTACCCATAATGCAGTGTCCTACAGTTGTCGCCAAATTATTTTGGGGTTCCTCGTAAAAATGTTAGATGAGGCCCTCTGAAGCCCCTCATCCCAGGGAACACTTCTAGCTGCCCCCCACCCACCCCATCACTCCGGTCATCCTTGCAGTGGCTCTTGGTCGGCCATCGAACAAAGACGGCCACTGCATCGCGTACTTTCAGATGCGCTTCTGCGGTCGTCTGGAACACTCTTCCGATATTAGAAAGCCACTGGAGCTATGCACTTTTAAATATAGATTGACAACGCATTTTTTTAGCTGCTTAATATGTTGTCCTTCCCCCACACCTTCGGTTGGCTACATACGGTGCTCAAGAAGCTCAACATATATATACACACACACACTCTGCAGCCCTGATGCCCTCTTGAATCTGCGGGTGTGATAACTTGGGGCCCGTGTGTGCCTGTGCTCCCAGCTCGTCGGTGTGGATCAGTGCTTGGAGGCCATCAACACAATGCTTACAGAGGCCAAGGTGAAAGCTGGGATGGGGCCCAGTGACCGACTGCATGCTGTGGTGAGCCACCGCCCCATGGCCGCTCTGCTTGAGCGCACTGTACTCTGAACCCAGCGACCTGAGTTTGATTCCAGGCCACGGCTAACATTAGTGGCTACTGATATCTGAATCAGTCCTAGGAACCCCCTACATTAATCAATGCCACTGAGCAGCATGGTGAGGCATGGTAAGGTAACATCCATGACCAATATGGTATTGGGAAACCTTCATCTAGCAGTCAATTGGCCAAGAGCTATCACGTATAATTTTATACGCTGTATGTAATTGCGTCGCATGAATTCTACAACCACGAGAGGTGCTACATTCACGACAGTAGACATATATTCAATCGTGGAAATTCAGTTATTCAGAGGGAATCATTGTTACAGACCTAATATTAAGGTGCGTGAGTGATAGAACTCTCTGCATGTTACCTCTTAACGGCATACTGCACACGCACTCTTGCGAGGTCAAGTTCACAAGTTGGCTGAGGGTCATTTGACTTTAGTTGATTACTGTCTAATATTGTAGAAAAGATGCTTTTGTACATCGCATGACCGTAAGAGATGGCAACAGCTTGGGGAGCCCTTTATCCAGCAATGGTCAATGATGATGGTGATAAGTCTGAAGTAGTTAGCACACTACACTGTGAATCTGGTGAACTAAGTTTGATTACGATCCATGACTAACATCAATGGCAAGTGATTTCCAAACTGGTCCTGGATGCCCCTCTTCACCAACCCACACGGACCAGCATGGTGTAGTATGGTCCAATAACTCCATTGCCGAAATTGATGGGGGAAACCTGGATTGACAAAGGACTGTAATCATTATTACAGTATTTGTAACTGCTAGGAGGCTGGCATGGTGCTGTAATTGTTTGCGATTGTGCTTCTCTGCCAGGGTCTGTCGCTGAGTGGTGGCGAGCAACCGGAAGCGAAAGAGAAGATGTTGTTGGAAATAAAGGCGAGGTTTCCGGCACTGAGTGAGAGCTTCATCATCAGCACGGACACCCAGGGGGCGATCGCCACAGCCTCTGACAACGGTGAGACACTTCGTGTCCCCTTGTCTCCCGAGTGTCCCAATCTATCCCCATGTGCACCCATCTTACCCAGCATCAGGCGTTCAATTGTTAGAAACAATGTGAAAGTATCAGACACAAGAAATTCCCAAACGACTCGCCATTGGGCTGCGAGGTGACCAGCAGATGGCAGCAGCGCAATGTTTTGTTTTATTTTTGCGGAACCTTGAGTGTTTCCACCCTCGTATGCGTGAGACTTCTCCAGGTACTCCCGTTTCCTCCCTCACACAAAACACTCATTCATGGAATTGGCCAAACATCCAAATGTAGTGGCGGCCAAAGGAGGGGAAGTGTCACTGGGTACATTAGGAATGGAGCAACGAAAATAGCTCATGTGCAGGTGCTCGGAAATGGCAACAGCTTGGGGGGGAGGCCTTCATCCAGGAGTGGAGTAGATTAATTATGGCTGATGATGATAATGTCATATGACTGGTGACTTAACAGTGGCAGGATGGTTCACTGCTGTGCCCCACAGGAGGGGTGGTGCTGATCTCTGGAACGGGCTCCAACTGCACGCTGCTCAACCCGGACGGCTCCTCCCATAACTGCGGCGGCTGGGGTCACATGATGGGCGATGAGGGCTCTGGTGAGCGCCTCCCTTCTCTTCGCCCCCACCGCCACACTCCAGCCCTACCGCTGGGCTAATGAAGGATAATATTTTGACCCCTGTAGAACTCTGATCCAAGGGTTAGAATACCGAAAATTATTTTAACCACCCACCACCCTTGCTGTGGTAGTTTAGCTCTCTAGCCTAGTTCTCTGATTGTGACCCCCACGGGGTCAGAGTTCTTACCCTAATTCAGACCCAGGGCTGAGAGTCATCGTGCTGAACCCTACGGTCTATAAATAATATGATTGTGACCCCAGGGTCCAAATTCTACGTGAGTAAAAGTACTATCACACAGCAACAGAGAGCATGGTCTGGACATTCTGGTCAGGGAAGCCTTTACGGAAACTTCCTAGAACCAGTGTTTCTCAACTCTAGTCCTTGTGACCCCCATATGGTACCAACCATCCGGTGCGTGCAGTGTGCAGTGTCCTAATTTGCATGCAAATAGAGAAGATTGGTATAAATGAAGAGGTAAACCTTGTGGGATTCATGATGACTATATTTCAACAACATTGCCCTAGACAGTTGTGATATTCCTAAGAACACATCTTTAGGGGGAGCCTTTACATTGTTTGACAGCAGGATCCTTATCAAAGTACATGAACCGCAGCATTACACACCCTGAATTACACACACACACATTCTCCAGTTCCCTGCAGCCTATTTAGACGCAGCTCACTTATACACTCAGCAATATTCCTTGGGCTTTTCAATTGAACGATAACATGCGTAACCCAACTGATAGCCACCGTGGACACACTTGATGCGAGTCGTGCCTGTGCCGTCCCTCTGCGGTAGCGTACTGGATCTCACATCTGGCTATCAAGTCTGTGTTTGATGCCATGGACGGGCTGGTCGAAATGCCTCACGACATCGAGTTCGTCAAGAAGGCAATGTGCGAGTATTTTGAAGTAAGTCAATTCCGCTGCCTAAGCCCTCTCCCGATTAAGAACGTCTTGTAATAATTAAAGCATATGTATGTTTATGATCACCTCCAACAGGGTTCTTTAATTGGAAGTCTTTGGGCCACTCAGGGAGTGGCCCGTTGAGTTACGGCCTGCCGAGAGATATGGCTCGAGAAGGCACAGAGACACTGGTGAGATGAAAGATAAACGTAGAGATATGCGAGGTGGTAAGGCCGCGCTATGAACCCGATAATCCGTGTTTGGTTCCTGGCCACGACTACTATCAGTGGCGAGTAATACCTTACCCAGTCCTGGCCCCCGTTCCCCCTCCTCTGAAGTATGGTCAAACAACCCGCATAATATTTGTCCCTCGTATGGCTGATGTAAATGCAGAGCAACAGATGCAATTTCACATTCAGGTGGTTAAACCAGACAACCATGCCAGGAGCAGCGGAGTGTATCGCCGCGATGTCTCCTTCATATTTGTGGATCGGGCATTGCATCGTTATATGTTGTATGGTCCCCTGTAATGAAAATGGCTGAGCTCTTTATATCCAACATTGGATTGCCAGATGTCTGTAAAGTATTATTACGTAATTTTATGACCGACAAGAAAGTGTTGTAGACAAGACGTACACATTAGCGGTCACATGAGTAGACATCGTGACATCACGATGCTATGACGTGATGTCACATGGTGCCATGGGCCATCGCACCTCCGATAAGCAGTTGGCCACGTACGGTGTGAAAGAAGTTCAACATACATGTGCCCTGCCAACGCACGCATGTTTTGAGGCCCACTAGAAATTATAGTTCAAGAGCCCTGTTCGAGAGTGAAGGTCGCGGTGCCCGTAGTGTAGAGGTTGCGCCGTGCAGTTGCCGTGCGGATTCAAGAGCCGCATTTGGGCTTCGCTTGCGATTGCCCTCGCAGGTCGAAGGCCGCATGGGCCTCCTCACCCACCTCTACCGAAGCTTCGACAAGTCCAAGTTCGCTGGGTTTTGCAAAAAGCTCTCCGAAGGCAAGTGAGATGCGCATTACTGGTGCTGCTTAAGTGTTTTGTGTGCTTTTTATGAAACCTTAATTGTTGCCTGTTTCAGCATAGAAATGTTATGAGACATCTCCTTTACCAGTGCCAAAATATAGTAATAGGTTTTTACCCTTTCAACTGATACAAAAACTGACACCTTTATACAAGGTACGCCTTTTGGCGTCATCTGGTCCAACACCAATGGAGGCTCTAAGAAAAGCTGTCTCGGGTGTGGACCAATCAACTTCAAGGACAGTGCATATCATTATCATCAGAGTTGTTTATTTTTGTTTGCATTTTGACTGCTTGTGTTGTGGTTATTGCAAACATGATGCCTTGTATAAAGGTGTCAGTTTTTGTACCAGTTGAAAGGGTAAAAACCTATTACTACATAGAAATGTTGTTAAAATTTTCATTGATGCATTGTTTGCAGGACATCTCTAGAGAAATGAATGCAATGTTATACGTATATTTTGAATGTTATTGTTAATATGGAAGTATAAACTTTTGTTTGTAAATTGATATTCAAGAAAATTGAATGTCAACAGTGGTACAATAGCTCAACGTTATCCACATGGCTATTATTTTGGTGTGTATCACTTTTAATTTAATCTCGATCATGTCGGCACATTGTAGAACACCCCCAGAGTATGTGAGTACACAATGCAACGTGCAAGTGAAGAGGAACCATACACAAAAGGCAATGATTCACTTTTAATATGCACATCCTTTGATGAGTTTGCTTTCATCTCAACAGACCCGGATTAACTTAGAATCAGAGCCCACAACCCAGAGCTTCATAATTTGAAGCCTGCCCATTATACACTGCGTTTTAATTGTTGTATGTTTGTTGAACTTCTTTCGCACCGTACGTAGCCAACCGTGCTAATTGGAGGTGCGAAAATTGATTAAATTAAATACTGTGGCACTGCGAGAAAGCCTATACTGTACTGTCATGTGGTGATTAACCCCATAGCGTCCTTGTGTGTTACGAACAGCTACAAGTTAAAATAGTTGTATTAGTTCTTACTTTGATTTAGCGTATTAATTCGCATGTAGTAAAACCTCAGCTAACTGGACTTAGAGAGTTAGAGGGGAACGCTGGTCTGATCAGCTGATAAGTCGGCCTAGCTGCTTCAACAATTAACCCTATCAATCATTAATCTAAATATACTAGCACATAAACAACACCGTAAAGAATTACACACGTGTTAAACGTGTGAAAAATAACTTGTTGATCCACCTGGAGATGTACCTGTATGACAACATGAAGTAATACTGTACAGTGTGTGTGCAGCGCTGTACTCACATTTGAGCTGCATGTGGATTTCTCCCGGAGATGTAAAACCCAACGATGGACAGGCACACCGAGTGAGATACACCACGAAAGGCAAAAAAGAAAAACCGAAGTGGTGGTAACACAACAAAAAGACGAAAACCGAAAGACACAAACAATGAGTCAGAACAAAGCAGGAGAGAAAGGGCTGCAGAGCAGAGGTCGCAAATGGGTTTTAATTCCTTACCCGTACCCGGCCGCACCAGGGTCGCAAATGGGTTTTGATTCCTTACCCGTACCCGGCCCTACCCGATACCCGGCTACCCGTACCCGGCCGGGTATCGGGTAGGGTACGGCTATTGGGAGGTACCCGATTGCGACTCTCTGCTGCAGGGGCTGCACGGATCTGCAAGTGGAGAGCCATCTGCTGGGCGTGTTGGCCCTGTGTTGCTATTATTATGATTTATCCCCCCTGGTTCGGTTAAATGTAAAATCCAGCTAGCCAGGGTTTTATTGTTTTTGTTTACCTTAATGGCAACTAAACTAAGAGTGTTTAGCATCGGGCATGGGTGATGGTAAATCAGTCAAGGGAAGTGATTATACAAATTTTGGCCCTTCTCAACGATGATGCTGGCCCTGTGCTCCCGGTCAAACTTAATCTAGCCCTGATCACAAGCTGCTGTTTAGTCTTTGCCATACCCTTGTGTATATGTGTGTGATTTATATTATATTGGGAGCGGTAGTGCAGTGGTCAGGGCATTGCACTACGAACCTGGTGACCCAAGTTAATTTCCCGCTCACGACCAATAACATTGGTGAATGCGTGAACCGGTTCCTGGGCTTCCCCTAGGTCGACTCAAACTTAAATGAGTACCTCGTGCGCATAAACACCACCACTGCGGAGACAAAGGCGGCCCGGCGTGGTGTTGGTCACCCACCCCCTCTTGCGCCACGCCATGCCGGCCTTCATAGGTGCTCACTAACATAATTTGCCCCATGTCTCTGTTAAAGACTAAACAGGGGAGTCTTTGTGCTTCAACATGACCTGGGCACGTGGTTACGTGTTTTTAGGAGCCCAGGAGGGAGACCCCTTGTGTCGGCACGTGTTCCACCAGGCAGGAAGATTGCTGGCTCAGCACATCATTGCTGTTCTGCCCAAGGCATCCGAGGTATGAATACCACACCGCTCCATGCCAAATGTCACTGAAGTGACTGCTGGTGACAAAGCACGGTACAGTCCCGAAATGAACGTTGGGATTCCAGGGAGCTTTTTTGGCAACTTCCATGACCTGTAAGAACACACGTGATTATGAATGTGTATTTGTACACGCAAAGCGCCGTTAGTCCACTGCTGGATGAGGGTCTTCCCACGACACGCAGGTTGTGGGGTAGGGGTTGTTTGACCATACTTAACCGTGCAGGTTGAAGGTAGGGGGGGCATACAAGTCCAGTACAATGGATTGTTCTGCACTGCCTGTTGCTGCTCAGTGTAGCCCCACAGCTTTCAAGATCTGACAAAATCAGGTGCATTCCATGTGGTTTGGTCAAAGGCAGTATAAGTACGGTACAATGCCAGTTATGAAGTGGTACTATATACCATGGTCTGCGAGTGCAACAAATGCTGATCGAGAAGCTAAATCTACTCAAATCATGCACTAAAATCGAGTGGTGTACATTCACATTGACACCACATCCAGCGGTAATTGCGAGTGGCACAAATGGGCTGCAGTGGTGGTGGTATCGTGCACCTGTCCTCCCCGTCTCTCTGCCTTGCATTCTCTGGAGGGCTTGTTGGAGGATTAATGGCATCACTGTTCAAGCTTGATCAGCAACAGGTTGAAGCGCAGTACAATACATAGCCGCACTTTTTATTGCCATTTCTTCCAACGTTTGTGTGCTCTCAGCCCTCAAATGTTCTACTCTCTCACTGCTCCAGACAGATCTGCATTATTTATAAATGCCCCAGTTATGATGATACATCGTGGGATTTACCCCTTTTGAAAAGGTCCTGCTGTAATGGAAAATTGGTTATTAATAGCAGCCTATGTCCTAGTTGTTTATAATCAAACACTACTGTATTATTCTCAAAGGCAATACGTTTTAAATGTGTTGATTTAAACATCTGCAAGTGATTACCGATAGCAGCAGATGCATTTCCAGCAAGCATTTTTTTTGGCATATGGATCATGACCGTCACAATTAAAACAGCAATAACGATGATGCCAGCAGGACAACGTAACTCCAGTCCGCACCTTTCTGCTCACCAGACTCTACTCACAGGTGACCTGGGTCTGCCTGTCGTGTGTGTGGGCTCCGTGTGGAAAAGCTGGGACTTGATGAAGGAAGGTTCGTCCTTTTTCCACAAGCACTGACCGCATGAATGTTATATTTTTGTAAGTGCTAGCCACCCCCCTCTCAGCTGTTACACTGACGAACACCACCACGTTACACTGGCTATTACTACAGTGGCAGAGCAGACACAATAGTAAATTAACAAATGGAAAATGTTATTTAGAAAAACACTGAACGCACAGCCAAGGGGAATGTTGCGACCGACTAAGAGACCTGCAAAATTGAGACTTGGTTTTCCTCACCCCACCTTAAAAAATGCAAAATCACAACCAGACCGGCGTGTCGAGAGGTGACTGCGTCCAGACGCTCACGATAGCGCGACTACACTATCATCCACTCAGTCGGGATATCAGAAAGAACCCAACAGCACTATCTGAACACAACGGTGCGGTAAAAAATCAACTACAAATCGGAGGGATGGTTCGAATTGTGGCGGTATATCAGTATACGCTTTTGGGGAGACGAGCATGCCAGCAAGTGTTACACTGCACAAACACTGCCATATTCTTGGTTCTTTCGGTAAAGTCACGGAGAAGGGAAATAATAAAATACAAATATAAAACAATAAAAATTCTTACGTTTCGACTGCAACACAAGCAATCATCATCAGGTGTGAAATCCACAGAAAGAAAATTTGGATTTCACACCTGATGAGGATTGCTTGTATTGCAGTCAAAACGTCGTGATAATTTTGTTTTATATTTGTATTTCCCTTCTACGTGACTTTACCGAAAGAACCAAGAATATGAATCCCTGCAGTCACGAAAGCTTTAAATAAAAAAAAAACACTGCCATATTAGATATTCCTGCCAGTCGATGTGTCAAGACCAAACACTATCCACAGCAGTGGGCATTGCTATCTTAACCATCCTCTATGGACACCTTGGCAACAAGCCTTTAAATAGTTGCCAAAAGTACTCGGGGAAGCCCAAGAGGCTAACATGCAGATTTTGGAAATCTAGAGGCTGCTTAACACCCAATGGTCAGTTGTATTCAGTCTTTTCCCCTGTGTTTACAATATAAATCGGTGATCAAAGGGAAAACAAAAATCATTGTTAGGAATTGTGCAGAATTGGCTACAGGAATGAGAACCATCCCTGTTAGAACACATTCCTGCGGAGGGAGCTGGTAGGAACGTTGGGTTGCTCAGTCAATGGCCAGGGTCAACGGCGGCGTGGTGTATTCCGCAAATATGGCCGAGGGCACAAGCTGGTGAGTAGTTTAACGTCGTACTCAAATTGTAAATGTTGTGGTTTCGCGCTTCAACACACCGGTGGGCTAAAGCAGTGAACCAATTTGTCTTTTGTCAACGTGACACTTTTTTACTGATTGGCCGTGTCGGGTGGTGGAGGGTTACGACACATTTATAAATAACGCGATCTAAACCCAAAAACGTTATGGTGTGAGTAGGTTAAACGTTGAGTTTTATAAGGGCACCACGGGGTGACCAGCCCCTCCCCACCCAGCCCCACCCCTCCCTACCCTGCACGACGGACACAATAATCCCCTGTGGGCTGGTGTAACCAGGAGGTTCCTTCCAGTATTAAACTTGTTCTCAACAAAAGCAATGCATTTAAGACTGAAGTGACGACTCTCACCTTTGAAGCAGCTTACTCCGCACACCTGTAGATGTACAGCACAAAGGTAATTAAACTTGTCAGCTCAATTGACCTTTCCTAGGATGCTCGAGACCTGGGACAACTCAACTGCTGCTGCGATAAAGTTACATTTGCGTACAAGTACAGGGTCATCGCAGAGCGGGGGGGAAAAAAAATAGGCAAAGGCTCCAAGCCACGCCGAGACTTTTATTTAGAAAGGCAATGTGCTGTATACGGCACTCAACGTGTCCTGCCCACTCCAGCAATAGCAACAAAAACTTCAGGTGAAGATGTAGGCGAGACGCCACAAGCAAAGAAGCCCAAACCACGCTGCCCCTTCATCGATTTTTATTTTTTACCAAATCAGGTTTTTCTATTAACATAATCGCTCGTGTATTGAGGCGGTGTGTTCATGCAGTATTCCAATGCACTAGTCTTGAATGCCCAATAGCTTACAAATTCCACATTATGGATGTGGAAATTAAAAATTGTTCTTCTCCACCGGCTGGCTTCCTTCCGGCATCGTTACCATGCAACGGCAGGTTTCCTGTCGGTCCTGGAGGAAGCGCAGTCCTCCGCTGTCGGCCGACGCCTCAGCCGCATCTCACTGCTCACCCTGATGCGATCGTCAGCCGTGGGAGGTGCACGCCTGGGAGCCCAGCACGCTGGCACAAGCCTCCCTCTCGACTGCGCCACCAACACCAGTGTCTTTTTCACACACACTTTCCAAGGCAGCAGGACCAGCGACCAGTAACAGGCAAAGGGGGCGACTGTGCCCAATCTTCCACTGTCCACCTCACTCAGCCACTCCCCCTTGAGGTTTAGTTAAAAGCAATTGCACCATTGAGACACTACTCAGACACATTTAGGTGATGTCTTGGGATTTGGTCACAGGGCTGGGAATCCAAGAGCAGAGTATAGAGCAGCATTATTTTGTACAGTGTCACTTGCACCAATATCTTGCAGCGTCTTAAGGATGTTTTGTAAAATGAAGCACAATTGAAACTTTAATTGAAGAAAATAAAAGCAATTTTCATAGCTTGTAATTTCTGATTTTGTTTACGTGTTTACAATTTACAACAGCTGGCAAGGAGTGTGTATCATGCATTACAATTCATCAGTGGGCATAGCCAAATTGTTTAAAAACTAAATTGGAGGCACGGAGTTCTGCTATGAACATGAAAAACAATATTTGTAAAAGTAGCATTACAAATTTCAAAGGGGGCACGAGTCAACACTCCAGTTGTTTGGTGACGCCACCATTTATTACAAAGCTCAAACATGTTTACAAATTGCCAGAACAAGCAGCCAGATAAGGAGAAGTGTTGCGAGTAAACACTTAATGCTACCCTGGCTCTTTTTTTTGGGTAGAAAACCTACAGCAACTGAAGTATCCAGCCAACAATTTTATAGTCTGCTGAACAAAAACTAAATTTTGGTTTGCGGGAAAAAGAACTGGTACGTAGACGACAGGAACAAAAACTTTGCCAACCGTGCTGCGAGTTGGACACTTTTTTAAATAGTTTTTTTATTTTTACAATTTTAACTTTTTGAAATTTTTTTTGTATTTCGTTTCTTTTTTACACAAAGCCGCAGCAAAATTTCTTTGAAAAGTTTTAGTCTTTAAAGAAAAGCAAGGGCTTAAATCAAGAGCAGCAGTTTCCTGTCCTTGCAATTAAAGATATGCAATGGGTTCATATGTTAGTGTTCATTTTTTATTGACTGTTGTAAAATGCATCAGTCTTAAAAAGTAAAGATTGAGCACCACTAGTAGAAAAATTACCATTTCATTGGACAGGATGAATGACGAAAAGGTGTCAACACACCTTAGAGCCTGGTTGATTATTTTGTAAATGAGTTCATCTTTCCGAACCTATTTTTAAAAAAGCACCGCCATAAAAAAAACTGGAAATGCGTAAAAGAAATGCTTCTACATTCATTTGGCAGTTAGTGCAAAACCAATGCACAAGGGATATATATTTTTATTCCAGACAGGAAGTCAGGAAATACTGACCATGGCTTGAACATGCTTGCAAATACTGTTCCATGAATGCAGACTTAGAAATTGTTCAAAATTAACGTTGTAGCTCACTGCTGTTACATTAAAATCTAATCAGATGAGATGAATAGAAACATATCAAACTCCAAGTCGAGCTCCCTCACTGTGTTGTATTTAAATGCAAGTGCCAAATGCAAACCAATGTGTTCCTCCTCACAGATCTTGTGCATTTACAGATTATTTAGGCAGATTAGAAAAGAGGGTACGGGTTTGCTGAAGAGTAAATTGACACATTACTCAAAACTTGCTTGGAAAGTAGGAAACCACTGCTTCTTTAGACAAATATTTACAGATGTTTCAACACTGATCCAAGACCAGTTACTGTACAGTTGCCAGTATCAGTACCTTGTTACAGTGTTTGGTTTGGGGGGGGAAAACAAAAGGACAACTTAAACTCGGCAATTTGATGCACTTTTTTTCTTAATTGCAATCCTATGTCTCATGAAACATCTTAGAAACTTGCTCAAACAAGATTAACTTTGCACTTTTGCTTCAAGGCAAGCCAACGATAAATGTCCTAATTCCAAAATGCTGCACCTTTATGTCGCCAAATCCCGATGGACAAAATCAATCCAGGAGATGCACACCGTCACTAAACACTTTTTCATTTTACCTGCAGCTTCACGGTCAAACTTGGGTGCAAAGTCTGACAAGGCCCTGCCCTTCAGCCGAACCCAGTTTTGTCGGTCAAGAGCTTTCTAACATACTGGCCCCACATTCGCAACTGCCTTGAAAGCGTACTAGTACTTCATTCCTGGGACAAACTCCTTGGCATTGGGGTTCAGGCTGCTGGAAACCTGCAACAGGTAGACAGGAGACCGTGTCAGATCACTTGCACACATCTCAATTTAACTGGCTATAAACAAACTACTTGCGGTAACAAGGTGGGCACTTATACAAGCTATTCAGTTAAACATATGCAAAATGTTTTGAATTTGTGCATGTGAATGTTCATCCAGGAGATCCAGTGATATGGCATTTGGCAGAGGATAAGTTGACATTGCATACAAAAATGTTACAATTCCACCATCTGTTTTTCGTTATACGTTTAGCAACCTATTGCAGAATATTATATTTTCTTAGGTTTCAAATTCGTTAATTATTTATGTCTAGCCTCTGTTGACCTGCATAAATGTTTGAAAAGCAGCACCTCCATGAACTAATTCTCATCCACAAACGAAAATTCGCCCAAGCAATGACAACTTTTGCAACTTTTAACTGTACCAAATGTAAACAGACGTATCCAAATCACTCTACGCATGCTGTCACTTTAACAGCGTGCAATCACTTCCCTACCAATGACTGCCTCTTTGTGCTCAAATCGACCTTGTAAAAACAAACATCGGCTTGCACATTTCCACAAACCCACACTACAGCTTTGTGGCGAACGTGGCTGTTTGCGGTAGAGATCACAGACAAGCTCACGAGCTGAAAGCAGCAAGGCAATGTCAGATCACACGAGTGTGCGCAGGGCACTGCCACCCTCTCCTCCTTGCCCCCACCACCACCCAAGTCTGCATGCTCACCGGTTGCGCGGGGGCAGCAGAGCTGGCTGGCCCATCGCCCAGGCTCAGACCGTTGAGCTGCGCTGCTGCCTCAGCGGCCGCCTGGCGTGGAAGGTCACGTGACGGGATGAACCATTCACTCTCCTCCTCGTCCAGCATCTCCTGGAAGCAACGCTCCAGGAACTCCTCCTCCCACAGCTCCTGCTCTACCTGTGCGCACATGGGGAAAGTATGTTTACCTTCATTCATTGAGTTGTTGCAATCTTCTTGTATATGATTGGATCAATAGGAACCTGTATGTCTATGTCCAAATTTGTTAGCCAGCAAATGGCTTTAGTTGATATGTCATGGACTGCTTCAATGCCAGTTGAATTTTTCATAATTCAGTGGGTTCACTAGGTGGTAATGGTAATACAATTTTTGCACTTGTACAATCTTGGAAAAAAAATTGCGGAATAATTAACTTAAGGCGTGGAGCTCCTCTGCTGCAGGGAGTTTCATAAAGAAATATCCATCGTGTTTGGGCACATATCAGATGTTTACATCTACAGCCATTTTGTCAATGGACGTACAGCTAAGGGGATATTGGCCATACTTCAACGCTGGCCAGTGTCTGGTTAGTGAAGAGCAGGGGGAGCGCATCACAATTTTGATATTATAGCTCGTAAAAAAAAAATTTCTTTAAACTGACGGCCCCTTTCAATTTACACCATTGCATTTGCTTCAGCAGTGCGATTTCAGTCAAGATGCCTTTCTGGGTCTGCGCCTGTTTTTGCGCGCTCTAGGTGCACGTGCAGTACAGAACGGGCCCAAGCACCTGTCTGTTGTAATCCTCCTCGTTTTCCATCCACATGAAGTCGGCGAACGGGTTCTCGTCCCCAGGGCCCCCGCCGCCGTGCTGCTGCGGGTGCTGGAGGTGCATGTGGTGAGATGGTGGGATGTGCTGGAAGTGATGCAGATGCCCCGGGTAATTGTGGGGGTGGTGGTGGTGATGGTGTTGGTGGTGCGGGGGCATCGGCTGAGGCGGCATCTGCATCGGAGGGCCGTTCCTGCTACCGCTGCTGCCATTGTTTGTGGCACCCTGCTGCATGGCCGAACCAGGGACTGATGGGATGTTGCCCGGCGAAGGGGGGCCAGCGGAGGGGCGGCCGGAACCAGGAGTCTTCATCATCACACGCTCGCCACACCAAGCCTGCGGAGACAATGGAGTGGCAGCGCTCAATCAGTTGCGAGAAGAAATGAAGGTATGGCATTTGCAGTTTTATTTCACGACTAGTGTTTGTACGCATGTGTGTTGAACTTCTTTCACGCCGTACGTAGCCAACCGTTCTAATCGGAAGTGTGATTTTTTAATTTCAGAACAATATTAAAATAACTACGTTTTTATTGAATATTTTCAAACATCTATTCATTCATAGAATGTGTAATGGAACCTTTGGAGTGATTTAAAAAAAAAAGAGTAATTGTAATTAATTTAATCTTGTACATTTTTACTTTTAATTGAGTTATTCTACCTCATTTTATTTCTTTGTTAAATCTTAATGGAATCTCAATATTCTATGGACCTGAATTGTAATATTGTACAATACATTTGCCACTTGAATGAGGGCATCCCCACCCTTGTGCAGGTAGTGGGGGATTACTAGACCATACTTCACCACACTGGCAAGTGGAGAGCATATAACTTTAGTATAACTCCTACTTACCATGCAAGCCATCCAAAAGCCTACGGCAATCTGTTTGTGCATGATGGTCACTCATCCAAGCACTATCCAGGCTCACGCCCGCAAAGTGTCCAATATCTAATGAGATTTGGTGTATTCCAGGTGATTTGGTCATAGACTTTACAGATATAATCTTATCCAATAAAAGTGTAGCTTTGATACTTTTAACTAATGCTTAATATTATACTCACACATTAAATGTAAAAATGGTATATTGCACTAGCCCGGTTTAAACAGTATGTTCTAAGTAGACACACTAAGTAGACACACTATTTAAAATCTTGTTTGTGTCGCTATGGCACTGCAGTGCTAAGTGATACCTTAAGATTAAAAAAAGTTACGTTTGGCTCGAGTTGGCTACGTACGGCTCAAAAGTTCAAAATACATAGGCAAACATTAACCATTGCCAAATCAACGACTCTAACATTTATAGTCACCAACACCTACGTTAAAGCAGATGTATATTTTTTTTTTACACAATCATGCCCACCACGTAACCTGCAGTTTAGTTCAGCATGAAATTAATGTACAATAATATCAATAATAAAACATATTCCTCAGCATTGCATACCGACCTGTTAAAATGACCCTCCATATTTTCATTGAGCTGAAGGGTTGCCTTTTATAGTCCCAATGGCATTGAGATCATTTGTTAAAAATACCGCCACCGCCTCTGCTTGCACACCTGCTCCAGACTGCAGCCGCGTGTAAAATTACCGAGGCAACATACGAACATATACCCCGCCCCCAACGCGCACGCGCGCTAACAGGCAGCAGAGAGAACAGTTTCACCCTGACAGGCGCGCTACGGTGACAAGATCTGAACTACCTCGCCTGGTGTACAGGAGGTCATAGGTTCGATCCGGACGCTGACGCTTGTATATTTGGAATTTGCATGTTCTCCCCCGTGGTCGAGCGGATTTTTCTCCGGCTCCTCCGGTTTTTCCACTCCACATTTAGAAACATGCGGTTCTGAGTATTTGGCTGCTAAAAATGTCCACATAAGCCACTTCTTCTTTGAGATATAATTTGTGGCCAGGTCGCTTTTGGAAAAAAGCTATATAGCAGTGGGCCTTACCTGGTTAAATATATTTTTTTTAATGTTTGATTTATAGGTGCCACATTTTGTGCCAGGGTGCGGCCTCGTTGAAAACTCTGCCCCCCTTAGGAAAGGAGTTGTTTTGTTAAAAGGTCTCCCAGCATTACATAAACACTACACGTGTATTTATCACTTGATACGTTTCAGCGTAGGGTGGGGGGGTAGTGGTTAGTGCACTAAGCGATGAACCCAGGCGACATGAATTTAATGTATGAGACAGCCAACACCAGCGATGGAGAGTGATATCCGACCTATTCATGGGCACCCCGGCCCACCAACCCACACTGACCATCGTGAACATGGTCAAACTATCATGACTAAAGGTTGTGATAAAGCCTTCATCCAACATTTGATTGATTACAGGCTGTACATTATACACCATTTACAGCCTAACATTAATCGGCAGCCACTGTTGTTTACACAACCATATGGCCTGCAGCACCTCGGGACCACAACTCCCTCCTCCCTGGTTTCACGCCTGCTCCCCAACATGCTCTTGCTGCCAACCGATGTGGACACAACCCACACACGGGTAGGAGCGGCTGGACGTTTTAAACAAGAAATTTGACCCACAAGAAGGAAAAGCATAAACTTTTCCCGCTCCAAAAGCCAAACGCTCTCTGCATTGGTAGACTTATGAACAGATTTCGATGTCTATGAAATAACAGATTCGCCGCATTGTGAAGACAACTACAACCATTAAACGTTTGCCAGCGTATAAATCTGGTCCAAAGCGTCTTCAATTATGTTAAGTGCCGGTGTCAGCCAGTAGCAGAAACTCCACATTCCCAAGATGAGGGCACGGTCCCCAGAGGACGAACAATGAATTCGAATGATTTAACTGCCACGTGCAAAGTCTAACATACCTGATAAGTGATTATGGTAATGGACATGCGTTGACAATTATCATTACCACGAATTAGTATAATTATTGTCACACATGCCCAATAATTCCTATTTTCGCTTCAATGCATGGCAAACATTAATGGACGGTTTACAAAAACGGCGGGCGCATTTTTTTGCGCGGAAAAAAGAAAGATATCCGAGTCTGGTGGACTTGAACAGAGGCTGAAATCGCCTGCACGGATCAGTTTGAATACCCTGTGAGCCAATAAGCTCTTATTGGGCAATGGGATTCCAGACTCTGAGGGCAGCAGAGGAAAATGAGCGACCTCCTACTCATCTCTGGTTGACGGGAGGAGCGATAAAAGTTCATGATTTCGACAGCTACGACTGCGAAAAAGAGCATGCTAGTTGGCGATTAGTGTAAATATTTCAGTCATATTAACAAGTTGTATCAACGGCAGGCGTGGTAAACACGATGCGTGTGTGAACGAGAAAGTCATGCTAATACTCTAAAAGCCAAACCGTTCAGACAATTACGCCGAGTGGCAATGCGTGTTAGTGATTAACACACAGAGTGGGCCTAGCGGTGTGGGGGTTGGCAAGCACGATGGCAACGAGCAAGTCTCACTTTCACCGCGGTCAACCAGTGCCCCCGTGAATGCCGGTGTACACGCCAATCGCTGCGACGTTTCGTGCCGACGCCGAGTCGTAAACTCGCGCCAGCATTTCCACAATTGACCCCCCCATCCCGCACGTGCAAAGCCCCGATTTTACAGGCCCCGCCACCTGTCACTCGCTCGCTCGCTCGACCTCTCTCGCTCTCTCAACGCTTGTTACCACGCTCTTCACGAGACGGCCACACGGCGCTCGACCCCAACGCGCGACGAACACAACTCGACGAAACAGCAGCGACCAACAAACAAACAAAAAAAACTCTTCCAAGTGCTGCAATGCAATGGGGCTCGCCTGAACGAGGCGCTCCCGCAAGGCCGCACCCCACCAACACCCCCCGTTGTTTACACGCTGGCTGGCGGCGGGGGGGGGGTGGTAGCTCTCGAGCGGCGCGCGGGCCTTCCTACCGATTGCAGAGGGCGGCGAGCGCAGGGCGAGCCCGAGGAGCGAGCGAGCGAGGCGATGTCTGCGTTCCCGAGGCCGAGTGCCGGCGCTGCTCGCGTCTCGGGTGGCGGTGGTGGCGGTGGCTTTGGCTGTGCGTGGCGAGGCCTTTAGGGTCGCTACGGCGCATGCGCGGCTCGCGAGGCGTGACGTCACGCTGGGAGGCTTGTCGAAGGCGGCGCGCTGCGATTGGGTGGAAGCGTGGCACGTGACGGGCACGACGCCCTACCCCCCACTACCCCCACCACCCCACCACCCCCACCCCCACCTCGGCTGGAGACCTTCAGAGGGAGGTTTATCCGTGTTGGGAAATGCAAAAGCGGGGTTGCAAAGTCCCATTGGGTGGTTGAGGGGGGGGGTTGGGGAGCGCGGGTTTATCCGTGGTGCGAAATCTAAATGCGAGTGGGAAGTGGTCACGTGGACAGAGTAGAGCGTTCGTTAAGAATCGATTATTATTAATTCTTGCACAGGGGATGGTTATGACTTAAGCTCATTTGTATGTCAGAATCAGGATATGTATTTCGACTGGAGGAATCCGATGATCCGTAAAGCTCTTTGTTCATTGATGTCCTGTAGGAGCGGGTCAGAACGTTACAACAATACACAGTACAAGAAACTCGATAGGAGTGCACATTCGCAAAACACTAAAGAAGCATGCTTGTTTGATACATATATATCCTGTGTTTATAGCTCTAGTTTTCTCATGACGTGTCAAGGACATCTAAACTACCTTTCATAATCAACGATTTTGGGTTTAGATCGCGTTATTTATAAATGTGTCGTAACCCTCCACCACCCGACACGGCCAATCAGTCAAAAAGTGTCACGTTGACAAAAGACAAATAGTTCACTGCTTTAGCCCACCGGTGTGTTGAAGCGTGAAACCACAACATTTACAATTTGAGTACGACGTTTCGCTGGTAATTGCATCCAGCATCATCGGGCAATTCGCCAGAATGGTGAGGCTCTGCTGTGTCTCCCGTTCTTATATAGAGCAGAGCCTCACCATTCTGGCCAATTGCCCGATGATGCTGGATGCAATTACCAGCGAAACGTCGTACTCAAATTGTAAATTGTTGTGGTTTCACGCTTCAACACACCGGTGGGCTAAAGCAGTGAACTATTTGTCTTTTGTCAACGTGACACTTTTTTACTGATTGGCCGTGTCGGGTGGTGGAGGGTTACGACACATTTAGAAATAACGCGAGCTAAACCCAAAAACGTTGATTATGAATAATATTGGTCGCGAAAGCTTACGTGTTAAACTAAACTACCTTTCTATAATTGTTTTTTATTTATTTGGTACTGTGCGTAATACATTTAATGTTTTGACTATCACGTCGCTGTCAAATAATCCCTTTTTTTAGAGATACAGAGTGAAGCTCTGGA